CTATGGTTTTTTCAATGCTGGGATGACCCGCGCTGGGCGTCTCATGATGTGCAGCAATGACGTCACTGATTAGAGATCAGTTCGTGGGTATAACAAGTCTCCCCTGTCTATAGATTAGTCTGTCCTCGGACATCACGTGAATGGGTCCATGTCGGTAGGTATACTGAGAACCAGGGTGTTGGTCATGGTATCTTTGAGCTTCTTGAACACCATCTTAGTGTCAGCCCCCCAGATCCAATCGACATTGCCAGTCAGCCAGTTCAAAGGCGTCGCAATTCGGGCAAAGTCCTTCACAAATCTACAGTAAAAGTTTGCAAATCCTAGGAAACTCTGTAAGTCCTTCTTACAGGTGGGCTCGGGCCAGTCTGCAACCGCAGCCACTTTGCCTGGGTCCATTCGTATCGTGCCATAAGAGATAAGATGTCCGAGATATTCTACTTCCAACTTTTCAAATTCGCATTTTTCTGGCTTACACATGAGTTTATTCTGCCTGAGACTTTCTAAGACATGTCTGGTGTCCTCACGATGTGTTTGCAAATCATCAGAGAATATCAAGATATCGTCTAATTAAATGATGACCTTCCCTTGCATGATCATCTCATAGAATAAGTTGTTCATCATCATTTGGAAGGTGGATGGGGAGTTCATAAGGCCAAAGAACATGACCAGGGGTTCGTAAAGGCCACGGTTCATGATGAATGCACCTTTTTCTTCATCACCCTTTTTCATACAAACATTGTTGTATCTCCAACGTATGTCCAGCTTTGAGAAATAATGACAGTTTTTTAACTTGTTCAATAGTTCTAAGATGAGTGGTAAAGGGTATTTGTTTTTCTTTGTCATCTCGTTTAATTTACAATAGTCCTGCACAGGTCGCAATTTCCCATCCTTTTTCTTCACAAAGAAGAATGGAGCCCCCCATGGTGACTTCGAGGGTCTCATTTGTCCGGTTTTGAGATTTTCTTCTAGAAATTCATCTAGCACCTTTTGCTCATGGAGAGCCATGGGGTAGACCTTTTCACAATAGGGTTTAGCTCCTGGAAGGAGTTTTATTGCATGGTCCCATGGCTTCCTGTCTGGTAAAGCGTTAAACATGTCTTTTGAGAACACATTAGCAAAATCTCAGTAATGTTCCGGGGCTACTTCCTCCATCTTTTTAGCTTTGTATTTTCCCTCTGCTATCGCTATGTCCGTAGTGTTGGCACGAAGGTACTCTTTACGATCATGGATGGTTCTAAGCCATGCATTGCTATCCATCATAAATATACAATCCTTGCATTCGACTAGGTTTTCACTGAAAACAGAGCATGATTCTGGGCATCAATCAAATTTTAACAGTTTTCACTGCCAATCAATGGTTGGATTATGGTGCTGAATCCAATCAAAGCCCAGGAATATATCCACACTCTGTAATTCAGTCACAAGGAATTGATGTTTTTCCTTGTGCTTCCCAGTGCCTACTACGAGTTTGACAAAGTCTGTGATCCTTCCCCCAGAATTTGTTGTCCCATCTGTGTTATAGACTTTGATAGGGTTGGTGATTTTGTGTACTTCAATACCATGTTGTACCACAAAATTCCTATCAATGCATGATCCCATGCTTCCTGAGTCTAATAACGCCTATGTGTCGATCACCTTTTCTGTTTCCAGAATGATGACTGCGATAGGCAACTCCATCTGTCGACCACAACCTACTCCCTTCACTACTACTGTCCCTCGGAGCTTTTTGCTGGTGCTACCAAAACCGGATGATCCTCTAGAAGTGTTCTGGATTGCAGTGGCAATGTCTATTTCCGGAACCTCGGCACACTCCATAATCAACTGCGCGATTCTCATGCTGTATTCGACATGGAATTCCTTGTCCGAATTGTTGATGAGGAGAACCTTAAGTCGTCCAGTGTAATCAGGATCAATTACACCAGCACCTATGTCTAGACCTTTGACTGTGAGTCCAGATCATGGGGCAATTTGACTGTATATGCCTTTCAGCATCTCTATTCGGATTCCAGTGTCTACTAGCATACGAGAATGTGCAGCTATACATAAATCTTCTGCCGCATAAAGATCATATCTGATGGAGCCCTCCATTTGTCGCTTTGGAGCTATGGCCCTTGGGTCATCAAGATAGATCTTTAGTACGGGGTTTGGTTTCGATGCACTCAAATTCTTTTTCGATGTTTTTGTATTTTTATTGGAGGAATTAAGCACAGTTGAAGCACTGCCACACTCATTGTGAGACACCTCTGCTTTGTAGGTAGGTTGTCACGACTTGGGGTCAAGTGACAAGGACAAACAAACATAAAGGCTGGGGGCGTTCGACTGGGTCTCACCAAAGCGATGGTGAGCAATGCTCAAACCTAAGGCTAGGGACAAGTTAAGTTAGCATAAGAAAGTAAGTAGGTACAGGGGCTTACTGACCTAGGGACAAGAGGTCAAAACTGAGGCCCCTAGGGCAGCAGAGGCCGGCTTATATACAGAGGGAGATAAGGGCAGGCTGTGCACGTTGGTCCGTGCGCAGCTGGTCCATGCGCAGCATGCTGATGCGGCCCCGGGGGCCAGTGAGTCAGAGCAGCTGTGTCAGCAGGGCCTGAGCTGTGCCGTGCACTGCCGCCCATCTAATCTAATCGTACAGTAGATAACGAGGTGTCCATATCATGATACAACGGTCTATACTCCTATATCGATGCCTGACTCGTAGACGACGAGCGAGGACTTATGGACAGTGTGTCGTCCTGAAGATCGAGCGAGGAAGTCGAGAATGACCACTACCCCAAGCGAAGAGGAGCAGAGACTTGAATGAATAACCAGGTCGAACTTAGGGTTCGACCGACTAATGGTACAACTACTTATACAAGTACTGACTGCGCACGGACCATCGTGTCTATGTGGTCGTGTTTGTAAAGGAAGAAACGTAGTGGTACGATACCAGGCACGAAGTGCGCACGGACCCCATTATGTAAGCTACATAATGTTCAACCTGCGGGTGAGCACTAAGACAGGCGCCAGTATGGGCGCTAGTAATACAAGAAATAGAACGGAAAGACAAATGTTTCATTACCCCCCTGCCAGAGTCGAAGTCCCATTCGACTACTTACTGCTCACCATCTCCATACAACTCCCAATCTACGCCGTCGCCCTCTTCTTCGTCAAACCACTCCTTGCGCGCGTTCCTTCCTACGTTCGTCCATTCCTCACCAGAGAGGTGCTTCTGATTCGGCCAGGAGCTGTCCCACGTCCATTGAGTGGTGTTGGGTGTCCAGTCGGGGTCGACTTTGCGAAAGACGACAGGTGTATCGGGGCGAGGGCGCGAAGGTCCCGCAACGGGACTGGTCGGGGGTTCGGGGTTAGTGCTGCGCGGTGGAGGGATAGGTACCGCTTTCGTCTGCCTTTCTTTCTCCTTCCTCTCCTTCGCCTCGTTGATGATTCCTTCGAGAAACACGTTGTCGACGACCACCCCCATGCGTCGCGCAGGTTCTTCAGGTGGTGCGGATACGTGTCGCTTCATCGGCCTGGTTCCGCACTCTCGCTCCAGGTGTCCAGGGGCTTCTTTTCCGCATCCTGCGCATTGTACGTCTGGACAGTCCCGTACCCAGTGTCGAGACGATCCGCATCATCTGCAGCTTCCCTTCGGGGCCCAACCAGGGTTGGGTTGCCAGTCAGCCGGAATGGTAGTGCTCCGCTGATAGGCGCCAAGCCCCTCTGGGCCCCAATACACCTCTTTTCGGCAGTCGCATCCCGCCCGGCACTTCGACTCAGTCACCCAACACTTCAATTTCGCCTTCGACGCTCTTCGACATCTTCGACGGTGCGCGACGCTTACTCGAAGCTCAGCACGGTCGTTCCGATGCCTCGCGCGTAGATCTCGGGACATCTCCCGCATTCGGCGGACAATAGGGCCACTTGACGCCGCTCGTCCAAGCGCGCGCATCGCTCCGTGCCACACCGACGTAGCCGGTCTTTCCCGATTAGGTATCAAACCTCGCGGCATGCCTTCAACGACGGATACCAGTCCGAAGTGTCCATATGTTTCTCTTCATCTCCGCGTTCGGCATGACGTCACTCTACCGATGGACTTGATACGTGCCACTCGGTGAGGCAGCTTCGTGCGGGACAATGCAAAGCCCCTTGTACTAGTGTGCCACTCTCGATAGTCGTAGCGTCCTATGCGTAGTATAAAACTTGTCATACTTCTCTCCAAAAATACAAGATCCGGTTCCCCCCTCGAGTTCAGAGCTCATAAGTCGAGTTCGCCCTGCGTCTAAGCCCTCAACTGCGTCACTTCGTTCCTCGCTGCGTAACCTCGAAACCTCGTCTACTGTGTTTACTCGTCGATACCGTCTCGATGAACCTTTCGACTTCGGCTATTGTCGAAGAACTGCGTTGCACCTCGAACCGCGTACTAGCTAAGTCCACCCTATCGAATCGTGTCTCTTCCCTCTACGATACATCGAAGAGCTCTGCCGAGCTTCGATCGTCTCCACTAACCACCCACAGCCTCCGAGTAGCTTCGACGACGTGTCGAGCCACCTCGTACTTTCCCTAGCGTTCGTAGCCTTTTCCGAGGGTGTTTCTCGTGTTCACTCGAACCGCGGGACACCTTGCTGCTAACTCCCCTCTCACTAAGATAATAACCCGCCTCTAGTCCACCTAGGTCGTACCCAGGTTAGGGGTTAGGGTTTCGTAGATCGCATCAACGGCTACTTCCGAGATGCTTCCATCCTTGTTGAGTGTTCCATCGATATTGTAGAGCAGAATTGGTTCCTTTAATTTCCGTGTTCATACTCGATTCTCCTGGATGAATTGCTTGTTGATAAACTTCGTGGTGGCTCTGCTGTCCACCATTGCAACTATGTCCTTGTGCCGTCTTTCTCCTTTGAGGCACACCGGAATGTGAAAATGCTGAGACCCGTGGTCTAATTCGTACACATTCGCAGTTGCCAATACATTGTACAGATTATTGTTACGAGGTTCAACGCATGCAGCACGAAGCGTGGACCGGATCAAAAAGACTCCTCCTTCATCGCCCGATAGTGCTCCAACTCTTCGCGCATTGACTTCACCTGTGCCATTAAGGCCGCCAGCGTCTCAGATTTCTCTGGACTCGCTGAAGCGGCACTTATAGTTGCCGAGGGTGATGTTGTGACGGGGGCGCTTGTCGTGGCCTGGGTAGAGCCCGAGGCAACTGTAGCCCGCGCATCAGCGCGCTTGGTGTAAGGCTTGTCCTTACAATTGGGGCACTCGAAGCGACGGTACCCTTGCTTCTTGCAGCCAAAGCAACTGCCGGGGAAGTCTCCTTTTCCGACGGCTGCGTTGATGCTGGCCGAAGCTCCGTGTGATCGGGGTGCACCACCGCGCGCTCCTCCTCATCCTCCTCCTCGAGCTGAGAAGAAACTGTTCAACTCAGGCTGACGGGCCCGGCTGATGTTGAGTATTTGTTCGACCTCCATGGCGCGCTTGTCAGTGTCTTCCCACATGGTGAATGTTTCAAGCTCGATTTTGCGGTAGACACGGGAGGGGATGCCGCTCAGGTACTTGTCACGGAGTTCCAGGTCTCCATACCCTTGAACAGCGCAGAGAATTCCGCAGCGGTGCATTTTTCGCGGACCGACTTGTCCACACAGAGCTTTGCCAGCTCCACCTGGGCAGCAGCTTCGTCATCGAGGTTACCAAAGTGGGCTTTGAGTGCGGTAGCAAAGGCCGCCTCATTGGCGAAGGGGGTCATGACTCCTTGAGCTTTTAACTGTACTGCTACGAGCTGGGCGAAGAAGGGGGTCACCCAGGTGCAAGTGTCGTCATCAAGGAGGCTCAAAGCGACCTGCACCTTGAGCTCGGTGGTAGTCAACGACATATTGACCAGCCAGTATATGCGGAGTTGGGATAAGAACTGGTCGCACTCAATGACGGTCTTTCCATCGTATCGGAGGGGGAGCAGGAGCCTCAGTGTCTCCTTATTGGGAGGGGATGCTGGGGATGACATTACCAGCGATGAGGGGGACGGAGGACTGCCCGCGGGCGGAGACGGCTGTTGTGACTGTCCGCCAGGCGAACTTCGAGAGGAGCGAGTGCTCGAGCGGCCTCGTGGCAGCGACGGCGGTGGAGGCGACGGAGGAAGTCCAGAGGCAGGGTGACGTACGACAGGGACTGGAGTTGAGGACGAGATTGCTGATGACGAGCTGGCCCAAGTAACCGCTGGACTGTCGCTGGGCTCAGGCTTTGGGTTCCTTTCCAACCGCGGCCCCAAGGAGGGCTGGGGGATCGCTTGAGGGGTCGCTGTAGGCTGTGCGACTGCCTCAGTTCCTCAAGGGAGATTGGGATCTCCTCGTGCTTGACCTATACTGATGACAGGTTGGGGAATGCGGGTGCCTGGGGATGCAGGACAGGACGGGACGGGAGTGACATGGTGAGAAGTAGATCTCGATGTGCCGGCGTACCAGAGTGCGGGGCCGCTGGGGTGCTGGACTCATCTGATTGGTACGTAGCATCCTTCCTCAGTAGTGATGGACCGTGGAGTGCAATTAGGGCATGGCTGTTGATCACAAATGAAGAACAGAGCTTTGGATCTGTCGCTCTCTGGGTCGTCGCGGGAGACGTCGATTTGTTCTTGTGTGTCGAACACGTGCTCAAGTCGAGAGCAGTCGAAGAATTCATCAGCCACGGTGATGGGGGGAAGGAAGGGGAGGTGCGCATGCTATGAAAGGCCGTGCTAGCTAGCTTACACCTATGGCGCCCAAGATAACACTAAGGTTTGCAGTTCACGTGGGACCCAGTACTGCTTTTGGCTAGTATGCAGCAGGAGCCTAAGCCACGCGTCCGTGAGGACAAGCATCGCCCACTGAAGTGCAGATACTGAAGAGTTCATTCCTTAAGTGTTGGTGATGTATCGTAGGCTATCTAAGTATAGTAAGGGTGCGCACCACCCAACCTATAGGAAGTGAAGTGAGTGAAGGAGTTCGGAAGAATGCCGGCAGCGATGAGGAGTTTCGACCTAATGTCGCAACTTGAGGTCAAGTGACAGGGGAAAACCAAACAAGGACGCTGGGGGCATTCGACTGGGTCTCACCGAAGCGATGGTGAGCAATGCTCAAACCTAAGGCTAGGGACAAGATAGTGTATTTAGTTAGTGAAGTAGGGAAAAGATACAAAGGGAGCTTACTGACCTAGGGACAAGAGGTCAAAACTGAGGCCCCTAGGGCAGCAGAGGCCGGCTTATATACAGGGGAAGATAAGGGCAGGCGGTGCGCATTGGTCCGTGCGCAGCTGGTCCGTGCGCAGCATGCTGACGCGGCCCCGGGGGCCGGTGAGTCAGAGCGGCTGTGTCAGTGGAGCCTGAGCTGTGCCGTGCACTGCCGCCCATCTAATCTGATCGTACAGTAGATAAGGAAATGTCCGTTTCAGGCATATAGTACAGAGGTCGCGGGTTCGAGCCTGCAAAAAGGAAAAATTAAAAAACGGCTAGACGCCGTGTCAACTCATGACATATATAGACAGGTGCTTGGGCACTGAGCTAGCACTAGATGACTGTACCCATGTTCTATCCATAACGAGCCATCAAGTCATGCATGTACAAGAGGATACCGGACATCAAGCTTGTCGGGAGTGAAGAGGCAAGCGAGTTGAACAAGAGGTGCCGATACTGGCATTGACTAGTAGGGTACAGAGAGCACAGGCGCCATTTTAAAAGAACAAGCCGGTAAGTAATCTGATATCCATAGAGTGCCTGTATGATGGCATATATTGTTTAAAAATCTTGGCAGGGACGAGCGGGAAATGGATAGCACCTCATGATACAAATGAACTTGTATCTACGAGAGGCCGTTGATACTAAGTAATATTCTGTTAGTATGTACAATGGCCGCCAATTGGTCAAGACTGCTACATCCTTACATTCTTGGTGGGTAAATGCTTAATAAAATACTAGCTTTCTGTTTATTCTTGTCTTGTACCTGCCAGAAATTGAACATAAGGATGTGGAACAGGAGTACACTGCAAAATGAGTGCACTTGTGCTTACCATTTTCTGGCCCATGTGGTTCCACATGGGCGCTATCAACGGATGGTCTTTTGAAAAACAAATGAGTGTTGAGTCGTGACATGTCCACATGGCAGCCCATACTACTCACATCAACCTGACCAATGCAATGAAGCATCACTGAAGTCTTGCAGACGGTTTGAGTGCGCAAAGGGACAAACTGTCATGATAGCCAATGTCTCCGGGCTCAAAGTAAGCACTCTCGGAATCGGCCACGCTGGACTCAGATACCAGATCAAACACATAGTCAGGTACAATGACTGATGCTGTCTCGTGAAAGGGGTTTTCTTCTATGGATGTAATATCCATAGAGGAAGTGTTATCATCTAAAGAACGTAAGTAAACGCAAGTGAGAGGTCGGACAGACAATCCCATACCGTCGACATACTCCGCAGTATCCCTCACTGATCATGAAGATACTGTGAGAAAGCAGGCAAGAAAGCAAAAGAAAGAATTCACAATGGTTGATAGCAGCATCCAGCGACGGTCCATCCAGTGTTCTCTTTCTTGTCCACAGATGCTTACTCCGAGCCTCTTGTGAGGAGGTCTGAACAGGGGTTTGGAGAGTAAGGAAAATATATGTCTAGGAATAGGATCACATGGACATACTATGGTGCTTTCGTTTAGCTCTGCGGCCTCTTTGGCATAGGCACAGAACTTCTTGCGTCACATGAGAGCCTGCATCCGTCCCAATTTGACTAGATCTGTCCTGGAGGACTGGACACTGTCAGATGAGGATTAGCACCATTGATCTGTCTTTGCCAAGTTTGATCATACCAATCATAATACTCCTGCAACATATCGTGAGTGTGCCAATCCATGATTTCAGCTGTTTCTTCCAGGGTTTTAGAGTTGCCGCTTGAGCCTTGTCCCCCTGCTTAAGCTGGTTGCACAGTGCGAGGGTGGTGAAGTACTTAACATCCAGCTTGCTGGCCGGTACAAGGGCTGGTGTAGTAATCGTGACAACATTAGCAGAAGCATCTAAGATCTTCAAAATGGTCTCTGTGGTTGATGGCATGTCGAACCCGAAGATATTTGTAACAGGCAAAGGTAGGGAGGTCGATAGGATGGGTTCTGGTTGATGTGGGGCCAGGTATGGACTATATCATGCAGTGGACAATGGACAGGATTTGACAGATGATCATTTAAAGTAGGAAGGCAGGCAGGGCATAGGAATGTTCAGGTCTGGATGTAATGACACAACATGTGTCCTTGACTTGGAGATCATCACTGCATTGGCCCATCCGTGTGGCGGAAGCATGGGTTGCCAAATAACGCATAGCCAACATGGTGTATCCATCGCCTAGTACATGAACAAGGATGGCTTTCGTGAACTGGTCAATTTGATACGGCCAGGATGCATTCTTGTCATGTAGAGCGCAAAGATGTGTCTTGAAACACTTAGAGATCTGCTTGCGCTGCAGGCATCATTGAAACTGCTCTGTGCTGAGTCAATGACATCAGATCATGCTAGATATGCATGCTTGGAAGGTGTGGCTATGCATGAGGCTGCAATGCGGTAGTGGTTATGTTCATTGTCCGCAAATGATGCAGACATCACTGGGACCCTGGCGCCTGCATGCGGGCATGCGCCCCCCAGCCCTCACCCAACACCTGTATACCACCTCTTCACGATACGCCGAATACTAGCTACATTCAAAATTGCTGCTTAAATCTCGCTGGAAAACAAGCGACTTTTCGCTGCTTTTGAGCGCCCAAATGTGGCTGAAGGTCGCTGAAAGGTCGCTGAAAGTGTCACAGATGACTAAGCGTGATGCAGCCGTGATTTGATCACGTTTTCGGTTCGCGAAGGGCTGACCAGCCTATCAGGTTGGCGAATCATGTGACATGGCTGTAAGCCAGAATCCGCGAGCGCTTGCGCCAAGCAGTCGCTTATTTGTCGCTGTTCAAGGAGGGGAGCTCAGATTCTGCTCGCTGCTTTTGGACGCTTAAATGCCGCTTGTTTTCCAGCGAGATTTAAGCGGCAATTTTGAACGTACCTACTAGCGTATGCCTCTCGATGACGAGCAATATTCAAAGCCTACCGACTGTTGAAACGCGCAGCCCCGCGTGGTCAGGAACGAGTTCAAAAGCTCGGGCGCGCGAGTAGCCGGGGGCCGGAGGCCCCTATCGTAGTATAAAACGACCCCGCGCGATGTACATACCGCACGCGATTGTCCCTTACGGGCATCGCTACGCCCGTGGACAAACGCGCCCCGCGCTGTTCGCACCGTTGTTCCAACACCGACAACCACTCTCCCTCATACAGAAGGCGGCCTTGGAATTGCGGAATTCTACTGGCGTGATCACCAGTTATGGTTGCAGGAATGTGGCTACATGCTTCGACCTCGATATAAACCTGATTGGGTCCCCTCCTGGCTGGGCACCAAGAAACATTTCTCCGATTGCGAGGATGGGTTTATGTCGCAAGTACGTTGATAAATCTTTTATCACGGCAGGTACTAACGCAGAACAGCATCCGTACATTTTAGACGCGACTAGGATATCGGACGGTGCTATGGTATCGCTCAAGAAAGTCTCTACTGCTGTCCACCCCCATGAGGCCGATATTGGGTCATATCTTTGTTCCAACGAGCTGAGATCTGACCCGGACAATCCCTGCGTACCGCTATACGATGTTCTCAAGGACCCTCTTGAAGAGGATATAGTCATTCTGGTCATGCCTTTGCTCAGGAAATGTAACGACCCCGAGTTCGGAACCGTCGGGGGAGTAGTGGGGCTCATACGGCAGCTCGTTAACGTACGTGTGCTACTGACGCACATCCGCCTGAATTGAACATCTTACTTGTCTAGGGCTTGAAATTCATGCACGTACATCACGTCGCCCATCGGTATGCCCTCACTCGGTAATGCATTGTAGGACGTCCCTGACGCGGTTCAAGGGGCATAATGTTGCCGAACGTTATGCTTGATCCCAGAGCGATGTACCCGAAGATGTATCATCCTCGTTGTAGGGATATGAACCGAGATTTCACCGGTACGGCTAGACATTATTCCCGTACAGAGCGTCCGACAAAATACTACTATGTGGACTTCGGTCTATCGCGCAAGTACAGCCCCGACGAGTACCCGCCTCGCAAACTACCTATCCTGGGAGGGGACAAGAGCGTGCCCGAGTTTCAAGGCGAGGGTTACGACGAAGCTGTAGACCCATTCCCAACAGATATATACTACCTCGGGAACCTTATCCGAATGGCGTTCACGATGGTACGTTGAAAGTCCGGTTCTGTCATTCCATCTGCATTGACCGGAGGTGCTATAGCGCTACGAAAATTTCCGTTTCATGGATGCGCTCATTGCAGATATGGTGCAGAACGATCCTCAGAAACGCCCGCCTATCGAGGAAGTTTCCTCTCGATTTATTGAGGCCACGTCTAAGTTGTCCTCTCGAATCCTTCGTGGTCGTCTCGTAGAGAGAGATGAACCACCCGTCATCCGTTTTCTCTTCGGTCTCGGACATTTGTTTAGGACGGCGAAGTACGTTGTGAAACGATGTCCCCCAGTGCCTATCCCTCCCACGTAGGTGTCATTGGTGACACAGCTCGATGCTTTGAATACTACCGATACCCCATCGCTACCGTGTCTGGACATGCTTTTGGTTCTGTCACTCATTCTACGCTCCATTGCTTGCTCCCGCGTGCGATCAAAACATTCACGGAAGCGAACATCTACCAGATATCGTACGTCGACTGCGCCATCCGCGACATGAACAAATTTACAACAGTGAGTTCTACAGCCCACGTCGCCTTGAAATTACATCGACGAATACTGAAGCTGGCTAGAGATTCATGAATGCCTTATGATGAGATATCTTCATTCCAATAGTCAGCATAGAGCCAGGTTACCCAGCCTTGGACGTACCACGACGCTCTTAGGCAGCAACGACTTCAGCAGCCTCGGTGCGACGCCAGTATGCTGTATCGAGCGCGCCAGCAGATACTTCTTCCCCGCGACGCCAGTACGCTGTGTCGAGCGCACCAGCGGAAACTTCCTCATCGCGACGCCAATAAGCCGTGTCGAGAGCGCCGGCCGACACATCTTCGTCGCGGCGCCAGTACGCTGTGTCAAGCGCACCAGCCGAGACGTCCTCGGCACGACGCTCGACTTCCCCGACGTTTGCACGATTCTCTGCCGAGCAGGCTATGGTTCAGCATGAAGCCTAGGTGCAAGTATATTGGTACTGACCGCTTCCGGGAGCAGGGAGAGCTATCGCCTCCAAAGCGATGAGGGGAAGCAGAGCAGCGATCGCGGCCAGGACTTTGAACTGCATGCTGAGTGACAAGGGCTTTCTGTAGAGCAAGCTCGGTCGGCGAGTCACTGTGACCAGCAGTGTGGTTCCTGTGGGCCTTATATATGTTCGAGAAGTAGACCGAAACACTGACAAATATGCTACGTGCATGGGGCATTTGTCCTATCGAGTCGGCGCATGTTTACAGACAAATAACCCCGGTTCGTCGGACGTTGTTCGAGCGTTACGCAACACAAGTCCAACTGGCGAATATTTTGTATTTTCACTTCAAATTAAGGGATGGGCGGACGATCCCCAGGGGCAGCAGACCTGGAACCGTGCCCGATCTCACTACCACTTTCTTTGGTGAGAAGCATTTCCTCAACATGCAGCAATCATCTTCAAGCACACTGAGTATGTTCGCTGTGTAAGGGCAGCATCGTGCGCTGCTATCGTCACCTGTGTTAGGCTCATTTTCACGTTTCCAAGTATCAGCTGGAAAACGAGGGGTTGATTCGACATACCAAATTTCGATATTGAACGGGAAGGATCCCGCGCGGAACACCTGCGATTTCACCATTGAACGCCTCCGTTTCGCGATCCCGTACTGTATATCCATTGGACAAGGCTTTGCACGGGCGCCTTCTGATGTGAGTGGGCTCGATCTCCTTCAGGAGACGGCGGAAGATCTACCGTCAAGTCGCCAGCGGGCGCTGGCAGAATTGATGGTGGTACTCCACACCTGATTCGCTGAAATACGTGCGGAATCTGCGTGGATCGCCGAAGTTGGCCGCATGCGGCCACAAATGCTTTTGTGGTGGCTGACAGTCAGGCGGCATCTGTTCTCTCAACTTGCGGCGCCCGTCTAGAAAGAATCTCGTAGAGCTGCAGTATTGAACAAAAAAATTGAGAACTGAGCCCAATCGTATGATCTTCGGGGAAGAGAACGCTGCGATATCTGAGGCTCCGGCGCGTGGGTTAAAGTTGCGCCAAAGGATCCCGTCTGCCTGCATTTGCATCGTTCCCGGTATCTGCTGCGAGAGGTTCCGTACGTCTGGCCCGCTGCAAGCGCACACTTGTTCTGTAATCCTCGGGCATCAGATGTGAAGTGTGTCATACGCTGATTGTGCTCACCGTGGGCACTCTGGACAAAACGACTGACGCGGAGCGAGCCACGACCGACTCTCTTGCCATGTCAGACCTTCGCTTTGAGTACTCGCCAGCTGGGCATGACGTGGACGGGTCGACCGACGACCTGCTCCTCAAAGACAGGTCTTCCACGTCTACAAGACTCACCCCAGACTGGCAAACTTTCCGTCGAGCGATCCCATGGATAGCCCATGGCGTCCTTATTTTCGTCTCGGTCTCGCTGTTCCTGCTGTCGGTCCGGCTCAACGACACCCGATGTGCGAAGAAGCTGTCAGTGTACTGTAAGCCTTTGCATTGCATGTCATCCAGGGAGATGGTCACAGTACACCACAGCTCCTGCGATAGACGCCGTGGAATACCACAACGTCAGGTTCAACGGTACCCTCACATGGCCCTCCGAGTTTCGCGGCACCCCCAGCCCGGAGCTCGATGCCGCCTGGAAGAGGATCGCAGCAAACAGTGAGGCTTTCCCCCGCGTCAGTGTGCCTTCCGCCCTGAGCGCCCGCAGTGAGGCCGTTCAGGATCACCGGGGACATCTTGCGCAAGATAGGCAAGAAAGAGCGGCCTTCGCTCGTCAAATTCCTCGACGAAGACGGCGGGGGCTACATGGCGACGCTCGAGGTGACCCATCAGCTGCACTGTCTCGTATAAGTCCGGCATGGTCCTGCAACCCCGTTCAGCGCGACTGAGACACGCACTGCAGAACATGCTGCGGAAGCGGACTTACTACGAGCATTACGCGGCGGACGACGTGTCGATCCTGGCCGGCCCCGAGGCTTATCGGACCCACCTAGGTAGCGCACCGTCTTCACGAGCGGGGCGGCGGGATGCTGACGCACACTGACAGATCACTGCATCGAGATGCTGCGGCAGGTCGTCCTTTGCACCGCGGACGTCGGACTCGTGACCTACGACTGGGTCGAGGGCTACCGCCACCCCTATCCCGACTTCAACACCTGGCACAAGTGCAGGAACGTCGACAAGGTCGTCGAATGGAGCAACGAGCACGAGCTGCATGTTCCGTTTGATCGCATGCTGCGCTTCGGGAACGAGGACGATCTCGTAGAGGCGCCGTAGACCACACCATACAAACTTGAACCACGAGTAGATCAGCAGCCGGAACAGTAATGATGCCAAGTGAAGAGACCGACCGACAGAGATGGCACAGCGCTATGTTGTTTGAAATAATGAGCGAGGTGCAATCTCGGACAACATACGACAAGCTCACCGTGCTGCTGTGATCGCCATCAATGCGAGAGAATAGCCCAATGGTGAGACACAAGTATGCATTTACACTGTGCAGTGCGCGAAGTGCTATCACTCGAGCGCCAAGCTCAGTCGTGTTTGTGACATCGACGAAAGGAGCGAATTGCAGCCAATATGGACTATGCTCTGGAAGAAGCGGAGTGAAAACATAAAACTATCTCCTAGATAGACCACACAACCCATAACCCGCGCCGTGGAATCTGCCCCCATCTCTAGACCTCACGTGAGATTGTTTCTCGGTCTCTATCAGAGACATCTACGCGCCGGGGGGACGTATCCGAGGGCGAATGCGACGGCAGGCAGATCCAGCGCCAGAATATCCACCGGGGGTGCCGGCGTCGGCCACGGTCTGCGATCCTGTCCTGTACCGGGGATCAAATAGACTACGTTGTGGCCCCTCCAGACGAGGCATGAGAAGCATTTGAGGATCGACCGCGAAGGCATGCTACCATTTGGAAGTCGCGGTGGCGGCAAATTCGAGAGTTTCATAAAACCATCTGACATTTATTGCAGCGCCGGCAGCGCGTCATGAGCATCTCGCGCCGCCGGCTAAAATATGGGAACAATATTACGGTGGTGTGTAGCATGGTGCTATTAGTTAGAACTAGCTGGAGGAGAACAATATGTGGATAATCGTGCAACAGCGCTAGGGCAATTGCCCTCGCCCAGTATGACACCACCAACACCGCTAGCTACAGGAAGACATTGTGTGCAGCCCATTACGAGCTCTAACCCGGGCGACCCGGAGTTGGCTCAAATCCCAGCGCAGAGGACGTCAGATGCAGCGTATAGCCATCGTTTCGGCGTAACCAAGTATACCACAGACGCGCCCACCGGGCATCAAATATCAATGCATCGCACACTCTTCTCGAGAACTCTCTGCACGCACCGGCGACTCAACTCGTCCAGATCGCAGGATCATCGATCGGTACTCAGTGCGGAGTACGAGTGTCGGCCGAGCGGGAGAACCGTGCGGACTCGGGGTGGCGGGGATTCGCGCAGCCTGCGCGGGACTGGGCAGGCTTCGTGCGCGACCCAGAGCAAGCCTCTGCACGGCACCGGCGCCGCAGCTCGATTCCTCGTGCGGCGATGACGGCGGGCGGCGGACGGCGGATAGCGGGCAGAACGAGAAGTCAGATATACCGTCTCCGGTGAGTCTCCGAGAGCAGATTATGTGGATGGGTGGACGACGTGTTTTCGCACCCGCAGCCAAAGGAAGAGCGGAGCAGCTGAGCGTCTAGGATGTCGTCGCTTGTGCTCCCTCTCAGGCTCGGTGTGCATGACAAGATGTGTCCCTGACAAAGCTCTACAGAAAAAGGACGAATGAGGAAATACACATCCTGCACGCACCATCACGTAGCCTCTTCGCTGGCGCAATTTGCAGAGCAGACACGGGCAAGAACGCGTAGAACCACGAGAAGACGCGTCGGAGGAAGGCTTCTAAACGCACCGCTGTCGCGCCGCCGCAATGAATCTGACAGGCGCTGACCAATGCGCATTGCCGGCCACTCGGAGTGTTTATATTATGCCTCGTGTACGCACCCAAGTGAACAGGAGGCTTGAATTTAAGACATCGCTGCGCGCCCGAAAGTTGCTAGGAGTAGTTACCTAAAAAGGCTAGGTGAATCAACGGAATGATGCGATATCAAAATCTGTGACCATTACATGGGCGCTACGTGGGCGCTAAACGGAAGGGGGGACTGAACTGCCCCAGACCCCCTTTTCGCGGTGGTGGGGTGCGGATACGGGGGGATGGGTACGAGACCACTTTTCGCGGTGGTGCCACGGGTGCGGATACGGGGAGATGGGTTCCGAATGGCCTGGTGTATGTGCCATACGCGGTCATGTGATCTACTACCCTGTATCGAGTCTCGACTGTACTTCTGGCAACAGGATCCCTCTGAGTCTACTTTCGCGGCTGCGAGTGACTGAGAAAAGCAGGAATCGGAATCGTCATCATACTTGAACTCAAGCTTATGGAACATACGTCCTATTACGGCAATGTATGGGAGATGTTTGTCCACGGGTGTAAATTGCGTGCAGTATGTACATCGCGAGTGATCTATTTATACTACGAGGGGCCCGGCGACTATCGCACCCAAGCCTGCGAGCTCGTTCCTGACCGCACGCCTCAACAGGAGAATCACAGTATCCTTCGCTACCAAACGTATTGAAAAGTTAAGTCAACTTCAGTCACTCCCAGCGGCATGATCCTGACGATGAGGAAGCATAGCATTGCGGTGGTAGCCTGCTGCTACAGGAGTCCTGGACGATTGGCCAGACACAAAATCGTGGTTGCTTTCGTTTGAGTTCTGGTAAGTGGACAGTGCCATGGTCGAATACACTCTGCATGCATCATCCGTTACTAAGTCAGCGGGGGACACGAAGATGATCAGCTACCTCCGCGAACAGAGATGCAGTCTAGACTGTTTTGGTCGCAGTTCTTGTTGCAGTGGATACGGTGGATAAGACCAACTGTGAAGAGTATCATGAGGCCAAACGCGACGGCGTCGAAAATAGGTCAGGGACAAATCGCAGCGCGCCTGGCTTGCCATGCTCTTAGGAGATTGGCTCTCGGTTTCGGTACCATGACAAGATGGTAATTCCTGTCGGAATCAGCATCCTGAACGGGATGTCACTCGATTTCAATATGCTTTGCTTCCGGTGTCATGACTTACGTTCAAAATGGGCGAGGTGTTTGCCGCTGGTCATACTTATCAAATATCCATAATTAGCGTATCTGCAAAAATATGCGTCTTGTGCGTACCGCCAGCGTAAACATCTCTGACATCTGACACCAGTCAGTGTTAGTCTTGACCCGTGGCAAGTGTATCACTCAGCTGTCCGCCCAGGTGTGTTTGCTGTTTCCAGTTACACGGTAGGGTGACTGAACCTCACCAGTTCGGGGTCGCGGGTTTGCGTCGTTTTCTAGCTGCGTCGGCAGCAGGCTCAATATATGTTTAACGACAGGATTGTCTCTGCTCGGCTACCCGGGTCTTAATGACCTCGATCCTGTATATTGCATGCCCGCAAGTCTCATCGAGCGCATGGGGCTCAAGAAAGGGTGGCAGGCTCTTCCAAGGCGAACGAACTGACGATGTATCTCATGATGCATATGAATTGCTTGAGGTGCATGTTACTGAGTGGCCTGTACCGTGTACGTAACGCCCTCCCATTACGCAGACCTTTAGGCATTCAATGCCGAGAAGAAGACAGTTGCTCGGAATGCAATGCACTTTTGTATGGTTGTACGACCCAAGGTGCTGTAATATCCAGAACACCATCACGCACCAAGCTTCACGCCCAGATAGGTCATCCCTGCGGTCGATGGCTTCAAATGATTGCACGTCTGTTTGTGCTTTGGCCAGTCGGCCTTCTGGCATGCTCTCGGAGCTGCGCAGTACGACGCCTTCCTGCATCGCGAGCACTGCGGTAGCGACTTGTCGCCCTCAGGGACCCTCCCGCAGAACGCACAAATCTTCATCCCAAGTCGCTTCCTCCGTTCATCCTCCCTGTCAACCACATACCATGTCGGGAGCGCCCTGCGCAGACCCCTGGCGCGCGTAGCATCGACGCAAGTCCGCACGGTCTGCCCGTCGTTGTCCTTGATGTCAATGTTCCCACCGTGTGCAAAGAACCATGCGAGCCCGTCCGCCGCGCGCTGCGCAGGCTCCTTCTTCGTGTAGTCCCAGATGAGCGCCATCTCGTGGGCCGCAGTGCCGCCGTACCGGTTGCGGTGGTTCACGTTCGCCCCCGCGTCGTATAGCAGCTGCCCGTACTCTGGGTCGAATGTCGGCTTTGTTGAGATGGTGTGGTAGATCGCTTGTGACCCAGACAGATCGGTGCCGTCCACGGGCACCTTGGCGTCCGCGATGAGCCAGCGTGCGATAGCCAGGTGCCCGGCCCGCGAGCGGGGCTCAATTAAGGTGCAGAGGAGGATCAGGTTGAATATGGGCACCCGCGTAGGGCCCCAGCGAAGGCTGTATAGCTCCTGCGCTGCATCTGCTCGAGCGGCCTCCGTCGTGTCGGCCTCTGCCATGTGCTGCGACTCTCGGCGGGCAAAGTCGTCTTGAACGCTAGCAAGATCACCCATCATGATTCTGCGACCATACTCGTCGAGGTCACGGTCGGGCTCCATCCAATTTGAGGTAAAATACGACCTCAGTCTCTGTGACTCGGGACCTTGGAGTGGATCATTGCTAGGGACGCGATTGAGCAAACGATTTCGAATGATTAAACTTAGACTCTGGTTCAACCGACCTGTTAAGCAGTTCCGACAAAGACCTGGGAGAAAAGATGACATTCAAAACTGCGCAATGGACTAGACGTCATCAGGACGTACCTGCCCTGCCCAGTGTCTGCCCAGGCTGCCAGAGTGCGTAGGAAATTTGGATCACTAAGATCCATATTGTGAGAGTTCCGCCGCAAGTCTGCTGGAGCCGGTGTATAGGTAAGCGCGTCACGTATGCTAGATATTTAACGAAGCCACCGTGCGCTGGCAATCAACCGCTGTTGATGGACGAATGTAAACTCCTCGTGATCGACCGACGATCAACGTCGAACATTAAATCGATCAGAACTGATGGGATAAATTAAAGGTTCTCACACCCAGGTATTTGCAACTGGATGGACGAAAGACACCGACGTACACTCTAGCTCATCAAGTCATTCTACTCGTTCTCAGGGATACACACATATTCGCAAACAGGGCACATTACCATTTGCTCAGAAATGACATATCCCCAAGTTTAGGGAATGGGCAGAATCAGACGGCACCTACATTGATCATTCCCCCTTCATGATACTCTCAATGCGAGCAGCCTGGGCCTGATGGCGGAGCTCTCCAAGAATGGGAAATCCCAACGTAAGAGCACCCAGTGTGTAAAACAGCTACCCAAAGCATCCGATGAGCATGTCGTACCAGGCGATCAGTCGAGGACCTACCCCGATACCGAATGGCGTGCGATACTTCCTGCAAAGGGTGAAGGTGTACAACGCCTCCAAGGAGTGCGCAGGCAGCATGATCCACCACGACGCGGCGACGGCCCACGGCGGTAGGGCCGTGCGTATCGCATGAGCGGGCCAGAAGAGGTCTGAACGGTAGTGCAGCGAGGACGGGCTAGGTGCCCATGTCACGTAAAACAGCAGGAGCATCAGCCCTCCTGTGAGTAATCCCAGAGACGGTAGACGGATAGTGGTGACCTGGGGTGCGCGTGCCTGCAGCGGGACAGTTAATGCATAGTGAAATACACGACTCGTGCAACGTACCATGCCGAGGGCCTCTTCGGCGTCCACCTTCATGCTCAGGAGGCGTGGCTTTACTTCTTCGTAGCCAGCCAACGGAGGGTCGAACGGGACGCGAACCTGCTTCCCTGCTCCTCCGCCCTTAACTTTGTACGACAGCGTCATTCCCTACAAGACACACATGTCATTCTAGCCCGCATCGACACAGAAAGAACGTACTTTCGTGTCAATGACAGTCATCTGTGCGCTCTCTACGCTCTCCTTGACGTTCCCATGGTGTTTTACATATCCCACCAAGGTGTCCGGATGGTTCGACATGTACATGCAAAGGAAACCGGATTTCGCAGCGACGGGGTCAGCCATGTCGAAGGGCTAGCTCGTCGGTGATATTCGACGGTTCGCGATGGAGGTCGAGAGGAGACCAGATTCCGTGGACAACCGTCGTCAGTATTCAGGTATAAAAGCGCGCAGCGTCATTGCAGGATGATACGCGGAGCCCGTATCGGCGAGAACGGCGAAGACAAGGGCCATCACCATGCTATATGCGCGTAAGCCCGAGCAACTCGGTGATGCATATACTTAGGCGTGATGAACAACAGCCGTGCTAGCAAACACCTTAAGGTAAGGGCAAACGGTGTGCTCGTCAAGTTGATCCACCGAATCGCGAACGGATCTCCGTATGTCTCAAATATTGTACACGGCTATATCGGGAGCATGAGACCAAGGTACACTTCAACATATTGTATTTGAACAGTGTAATGACGAGTCGTACAACCGCCGAGCGCAACAGCAAAATCCGGGATAGAAGAAAATGGAAATAGCAATGACCCTCTAATACCTGTAGCGGGTGGAGTAATCTATACAAGCAGTCAATACGAATGGCGAACACCGATATGGCACTACGGACCTTTGGGCGAAACAACGAGACCGCGGCCCTTCGACGCACCACGGTATACAGTCTCAATGATGTCAATTAACTGGTTCAAGCGTCAGTCGCTGGCCAAGCGTATCAAATGATGTTCGGGCTCACCTCTTGTTTATTATCCATCGCCCAATTTCTAACACCAGTAGGTATTAGGTCAGTCAAAGTTGAAGAATGTAGAACACGGACATACATTTTGTTATTATTACCAGTACCAAGATCAATCATAATATGCTTGTTGCTGGTATACGCAGTGTTAGGAAGAGATGCCAGCAGGGCTAATCATCATAGAACTCACCGATAGAAGAACATGACCGTGCACGGGTCGTACAACTCGTACATCTGGGGTGAGGTTGAAGTCGAAAACTGTAGTACAGCCACAACGCAGAATTACGCACCTTGTTGAAGTCCGGCACCTCCGTGATGTCAACAAGGTAGATCACAGCAAAATTTTGCACTTTCTCTGCAACAGAGTACAGCGTCTCGTCCATCGTCATACACTGGCTGTCCCAGTCATGGCCGAAACGGATCACCACGACGCGATCCTCTTCAGATTTGATCGCCTCGTCAACGTGCCATCCAGAGGGCAGGTGGGGAAGGAAGTAAGACATTGCTTGTGATATTTATAGGTGGCAGAAAGAGCGATTACAGGGCTTGAGGTGAAGTCTGAAGACCAGCCCGCAATGAGGTCCTGAGTTTGTCCCTGTTTGAGCCAATTGCCATTTTTGAACTACTGCCTCGGCGGCTGCATTAGATGCTCTCGTGAAACTCGACAAACACAAGGATCTTGCTTCGAATTTTCTGGCTTGCTCTGAATATTCACAACTCGCAATGTCTTCTCAACGGCCAATCGTGTTTATGGACGTCAACATTGGTGAGACGCCTGCTGGCCGTCTGAAGATGGAGCTTTTCAGCGACATCGTACCCAAGTACGCTCGTTTTCTGTTCTATGGATCCAATTCTGACGTATGTGCAGAACAGCGGAGAACTTTAGGCAGTTGTGTACCGGAGAGTACAGGTGATTTGCCTTCCTTTGCGAGGTTTGTCCGACCTGTCTTAGATCAGTGGTAACTGAACGCAATGGTATTCGCAGAGTAAACTCTCGGCCACAAGGGTACAAGGGAGCGACGTTTCACAGGTGAGTATGCAGACCATGGGGCTCTATAGAGAGCTAATTCATGTTCTCATAGAGTGTAAGTCTACAGTGCTCCTGTTCGATTGTGGTGTTTGATTGGAATACCGTAGTGTTCCAAACTTCATGTGCCAAGGTATACTCTCGTTTGAAATCCCTTTTGCGTGTGTTTTGGTATTGAACCTGAGGATTAGGCGGTGACTTCATGAAGGGAGATGGTACAGGGTCCTTCTCAATCTATGGCGACAAGTTTCCGGTGCGTTGTCGTGTGCTGACGCTTAAGAGGTATTCACTGACGTCTGTCACGAAGGACGAGAACTTTCAAGAGAAGCACACCGGGCCAGGCCTGTTGTCGATGGTGAGTCTGGCCCCTGGGCCATTTTCTCGTCTCTAGTTCGAGTCTGAAGCCTACTTTGCTTGGGACTAGGCCAACTCAGGGCCCAACACGAATGGTTGTCAGGTGGGTTTTGTTGACATCTACCTCCCGTTCCATGCTGACCCTGCACCGAAGTTCTTCGTCACCACAGCAAAGTGCGACTTCCTTGACGGCAAACATGTGGTGTTCGGCAAGGTGATAGATGGTATGCTCACACTACGCAAGATCGAGAACGTCCCTACGGGTCCAAACAACCGGCCCAAGCTTGCTGTAAAGATAGTTGGTGAGGACATTCCATTCCCCTATTGTTATATACTGCTGATATTTTACCTTTTCGAACATGATTTGTTCAGAATGTGGCGAGATGTGAACTTGCTCTAATCTGGACTAATTCAACCTGTATTTTGCCCTCTATTACTCGATGCCATGTTGTTCTGTGATGTCTTGAGACGTGCAATTCCGCCTCCCGTCCACAAGTGCTATTCACGCGTATCTCGGCATTGAGTACATGGTGATCCGGAGCCTGCGTAGGCTGAAGGAAGTGTATTTTGTTCTGCTCACAGGAGACTACATTGAGTGGCTCTAATCGCGAAGGTCTTCTGATACTCTGCTTGTCTTCAACCATGTACAAACCGCTATATCGTCATGGGGCAGGCGACTTTGCTAAAATCTGCGCCACCCACTAATAGTGACTTCATTTTGCAAACTCACCATACGGGCATGCTTCCTTCCGCTCGCCATCGCCTCGCCCAATCATTTTGAAGATCTTCTCTCTATAGTTTGTTGTAGTACGCATCAAATGGCTGCCGACAATAGGGGTGCAACCCGAGCTTTCCAATGAGCATAACTCCAAAATTATCTGGCAAGCGGTGTGGCTTTTGGCAGAAACGAGAGACGAGCCCGTTACGGCCATACTTATTTCGTACTCCCTCGGCACCTCACGGCCGTTCAAGCTCAAGTTCGGGGACGAGGATCTGGGCGGTTGCACGACATTCAAGTTCGTGATTTTCATTTTCATTCGGCCCGAATGGTCGGCGTGCAGACCTCACGTCACCGGCGCAGTATCATTTCGGACTCCTCTGCCTACATACACCTCACTGCGGCGAGCTCGCACGTTGCGCGCAAACCCCCTGCTTGATGGCCAGCCATGAGGACAAACCCCTGCCGGAGCTCCCGCAACGACCCAGTCCCACGAACTTGACCATCGAGAGTCGCGCGCATCTCCAGCGATTCATACTGCGCGCCCTCGACGACCAAGGCAGCTCCACGGACCACGAGCAATGGGCCGACGCACTGCATAACGCGCTGCAGGAGCTGGGCGATAGCATTACCCGCGGCGGGTGGTTGCCCGGACTGAGACGCGCTCGGAGCCTCAGGTCGAGACGAAGACACGAGGAGCGTGTGCAGCGGTTACGCGAGAGGGAGGAAAAGGGGAGAGAGGAAGGCGAAAGGGAAAGGACAAAGGGCAAGTCGAAGGAAGGCGTTGGGGACAGCGAGCAGGCGGCCAAACTATCCTCGTCCGAACGCGGTTCCCCTCGTCTTGACAACTCCGAGGACTCTCGCGACGTGAAGCTTGGCCAGCTGCGTGCACTTGTCGGGGGGCATCTGCGGCCTCTTGTTCCGAAGCCGTCCGCGAAGCACCTTCTCCTAACGGTCGATGCATTTGGGACTGCGGACCTACGTCTTGACGGCAGTATCGACGGCCGTGTCGCGGAATGCACATTCATGACGAACGTATTCTCTATTAATGGCCCTAGCGGGGAAGACGCGTCTGAACAGGTGCTATATGGGTTGGACGAATGGGACGGTAAGCTGCTCCGACTTGTACCATCGGCGGACTCTGGTCGCTCAGGGTCACACAGCACATCTGAACGACTCTTCCAATGACTCTTCCGTGCAGGTCGTTGGAGGCGCCTTTCACTTTGGCGGTGTCACTCATGCAGAACAACACGATGCGCTCTGCAGAGTCCTCCGTCTTGGTCTCTACGTCTACCTCTCGCTCGTGCTCGAGCAGCACCTGCTCTCTAACTCACACATCCAGTTGCACTTTCCCCGGCCGGCGACCAAACCGAAACTCTCGTTGCCGCTTGTGCCGTCGTTCAGTCTGGACCGGGGCCCGACGCAGGACGAGAAGCAGGGACAGAAGCGCGAGGGCGCGGTGGCGGGCGGGCTGTGGAACTTCTTCTCGAAGAAGACGGAGACGCTGCTGCACCGTGCAGCCAGCGTCGGGCCGTCATTGGTGCATCGAGGCTCGGCTGAGCTCCCGTTGACGCGTTCACAAGGCGAGCCGCGCACGTCTGTAGACGAATTGGGCCAGCAAGGGGGTAGAATATCGCTCGACGCACACGGCAGTGACGGGGTGGCCCGCGAGCGCCCCTTCACTGCGACGCTACGCCAACTTGAAGGCTCGAAAGACCTGCTGACGACGAGCCCAGGGATGGCTATGCCATTGCCGGACGTGCTTGTCGGTATTGCAGGGCGCGAGAAACGGGATCCACTGCGCAAGCTGTCGGGCGATGACAAGGCGGCCCTATCGAGCGTCCTCGGATGGGAAGGCAAGGACGTGTTGGGCAGAGGGATGACGGGCACGGCTGGGTTTGTGCGTCATCAGGGCTTGTCCGTGTTGTTCTCGACACATGTGCCTACGCCGCTGGTCGCACCGCAGGCTGCGGCACCATCTGGCTCGGTATTGTCAGTGCCAAGCACCATAGCGCCTATACAGATGACTTCTTGCGGGACCCGGCGCAAGTGCGTTACCTTTCGGTACTACCAACGGGATGGCGAGGCAGACGAGACACTCGGTGAGATGGTCATGAACGCATGTGCGCGCGCCGACGAGTTGTGTGACAAGCCGGGCTGCCCGTTCATGCGCGGCGATCATGACAGCAGGTGGATCCACGCAGGCATCCGCGTCGTCGCGACTGTAGGCTTGCCCTCGTCAGGCGCGGGCGACGACGACGGGATCATTATGTGGGAGCAATGCGCGATCTGCGGACGGCAGACACGTAGGGAGCGCATGCATGACGGAACCTAGTGAGTGCTTGTACACGCATGACGGTGTCTGACTGGTACTCATGCACGTTCGCGTTGAGGCAGCCTGTTCTCGTTTGCAAAGTATCTCGAGTTGCTGATATACTCGCCGGTGATATACACGATCGCGCCGCCGCTGTGCGAGCACACACGGCTGCCCGCGCGCCCCTGGTCCGCGGAAGACACGCCTGTCCCGCGCAGTCGGTTCAATGTACACCGCAAGTTTGCGTATAGGTCACGCGTTGTGACATTTTCGCTGTCCCCTGTCGATGATATCTTCGAGCTGCGAGCCCCACGCTTGCAGATTGTACGGCGGAGAGCACCGGAAAAAGCTGCGGAGAAGGACGCACAACCCGCCGCGGCGGGAGTCCCACTAGTATTCACAGAAGATGACCGACGGTCGTTGCGACTGGAGATCAGGGGCTGGTGGCAAGGGCTCTCTGAACATATCGACGAACTTGTGAGTAGTCTGGTTCCTGCAGGCCAAAGGTAAACTCAAGTTGACGATTGAAAGGAAGCGAATTTCGTCAGTGATAAGGGGAGCACACGGACGAAGACGCTGCCTCGCCTGCCGTCCGAAGACGACGCGTATAACGTTTCCGATGAGGCAGGCCTTGCTACCCCGAAGCCCTCTATGTCGCGCCTTCCGTCGTCAGCATCGTCAGCGTCATCCGCACCTACTGTTACGCCCACTACTCACGACGCGGCTGCGTCCACCAGCAGGCCGACCCTTACTGCTGTCACCACCTCCGAGTCGGTGTTTTCCACCAGGTCATCCAGTTCCTGCGAACTTGATTCGATGTCGCTGCTCTCCAGCCTGCGGCATGCCTTTCAACGAGCAGAACAGACACTGTACACTGAGCTATCACGAACACCGACAGCTTCGTTGAACGATGTCCGCCGTTCGTTCGTGACGGCCGCCCGAGGCGCGTCCAAGCGACTGTCAGCATGGGAGGCCAAGCATTCGTCGCAGTTCCCGAAAGGGTTCAAGGCGTCTGGCATGCCTTCCCTTGTGGAGCCCGAATGGTGGAAGGCCGGCTGCCACGCCGTGCCGGGCGGTAATGTGATAGTCAGGGAGGACGATTGGGGATCCATCATTGCTTTCACATTGAGGTGGGTCGTAATGTTTTTTTTGCGGCGAAGTGTGTGAGTCTAAGGTTATTTTCCAGCTCGGTGGACTATCAGGGCGAGTTGGCGGGGATGTCGAGCCCCAGTCCGCATCCAATGTCTGTCCCTCAGCCCCCTCCTCCCACTCCACTCGAGCCTCGGCCGTCATACTTCACGAGAGGATCCTCGTTCAGGCATCTCTTTCTAGGCAACTCCGCCCAGCTAGATCCTGACCAGGATAACGTGGTGTGGCAGGAGCCAGAAACGTACTCTGCAGTGATTAGTCGGAAGGAACACCCTCGCGAGCTAACCTCGCTGATGCCTTTCAGGGAGGTCCTTCGACATAAACCAAGCTCCGACGCATCCGTCACCCCAACGCCCTCTAAGCTGGCCACCTCTGGGTCTCCCAATCCAAAAGCCACGAAGGAAGTGCCGCCGTCCGCGAGGGCAAAACCCGCGGTTGAGCTATCCATGCAGGCAGCGGACGGCCGGCTCAGTGGGGGACCAGAGACCGCCGACAAGATTCTTCACGATCTGGAGGCAAATTCAAGCATGACGGACTCGTGGCGTCATTCCGGCTCGAACGCTCCTAGCTCTAGTTCCGGATTTGTTGAGACGCATATCCGCCGAGGAAAAACCGCATCTATCATCTCGACTGACAGCGATGTTACCACCGGGGCAGACAGCAGCTGGAGCCAAGATGCTACGCCACCGCCACCGCCCCCGAAGGATGGCAACGACTCCTTGACCAATTCTTTAGAGATACATTCTCAGCCTGCAGTGGATCCTGGCGTTGGCGCGCCTTCTTCGATCACTGTAACGCTGACCAGCACCATAGCCAGTGCTATGCGATACATGTTGAAGCCTGGTGAGATCCCGCGCGCTCTACCATCTGCGCCACATCATGGGCTGCTGTCGGCGGACTCGCCTGCGATTGACGAGCGGCCGCACATCAAATATGACTGGACGATCGGTAAGAGACTGAAGTTCAGCTGTACGGTATACTACGCCAAGCAGTTCGACGCGCTGCGCCGCCGGTGCGGTATCGAGACTGTCTTCCTGCGGAGCTTAGCGAAGAGCGAGAACTGGGCGGCCGACGGTGGCAAGAGTCGGTCGAACTTCTGGAAGACGTCAGACGACCAGTTTATCATCAAGACGCTAGTGAACGCGTGGAATGTGGCAGATCTGTAAGTGCGCGCGATGTCGAAACCGTGAGCCAGACTCATTTATTTGTCTTCTTTCGCAGCCAGGTGCTCATTGAGTTTGGTCCATCTTACTTCCGCTATATGGACGCGACCGCAGCCAAGCCCTCCGTGCTCGCCAAGTTGCTGGGCTTCTACACGGTCGAGATCCGCAATCTCGAGACAGGGGCAACGCAAGCGAAGGCAGATTTGCTAGTCATGGAGAACTTGTTCTACAACCAGAAGATCAATAAGACGTTCGATCTTAAGGGTATTCAGGGCCGGAAAGTGAAGGCATCGAATTCCACATCGAAGACACTTTTTGATGGCGAATGGATTGAAGGTATATCATTAGTCCCTCGAAATATCGAAAATTTTGACGAACCTGTCCGAAAGACCAGAGGAGGGCGTTGACGCTCGTGCGTCCACATTCCAAGGTCGTCTTTCAGGAAGCCATCAAAGCAGATTGTGATTTCCTTGCTCGTAGCAATATCATGGACTACTCGTGCGTCGCACCCGCACGATGAGAGTCAGCTTGATAACAATATTTGTAGTCTGCTTTTGGGTATCAACGACGAGAGCAAACACATCGCTTGTGGTCTGGTAGACACGATCGGTATGACCCGTTCTCCTTTCTTCAGCCAGTGCAGCGAGCTTATGTTTGCCCTCAGGCAGCTATACCTTCGCTAAGACACTTGAGTACAAGGCGAAACAAGGCCTCAATGCTGGCAAAGAGGTAACAGTTGTGCCACCGCACGAGTATCAGGAGAGGTTTGTGGGCGCTATGGATGACTACTTCCTAGCATGTCCAGGTGCGCAGCTTCTCTATGGTGCACTATTGCCCATCCTCATGTTGAATGTGACAATTCGTAGACAAGTGGTCGCGACCTCTTGACGACACCAACGTCCCTCACGATTGCAGGCAATTACCCAGTGTGCTGTGATGTCATACTTCTGTATGCGTAGACGTGCGTGCGATTCCTCATTGTGCTACCAGCTTGCCTGACCTAGGCCACTTCCGTGAATAGTATTCAGATGTACCCGTTCGGTTATGGACATCGGACTTCTCACTCGCATATGTATATCTTTGCCGCAATTGCACCTGTATAGCGATCGCGTTCCGGTAGACATTGTACTGCATTGCACATGTACAGTACATCAACGCATTCTTTATCATTCATACTTGGCTGCCCGTCTTCTTTGGTCAGCGGCTTACATTGCATGATGTCGCAATACGAATCGGCATGTAGGAAGGCGAGTGAGGCCTGCTGACCGAGTCGGAGCGCGGGTAGGATGGCGCACCAGTTGACCGAGCTGACCAATCGCCGAACCAAGCTTCAAAGCAATGACGATGTCTTGCGTCTTCACCCGTTCACAGGCAAATAAATAGACAGAATGCCTCGCCATTCCTTCTGGCAAACTTTCTTCCATCTACACTCACTCCTCCACTATAACATTTGATAACATGTCCGCCCGACCTGTAATTGTCGTCGCAGGCATTGGGAATGGCTCAGGTAAGACCGTCCATGTTCCGTCGAGGATGATTATACTAAAATGTATAATTGCGATTTCGTACTACTACAGGCACTGGTGCCGCTACCGCGTATGTGATTTCCGCTCCGATGACGATCTTCCACAGCTGAACAATATACCCATAACCTAGGCGCGTATTCGCCAAAGCGGGATACCGCGTCGCACTGATCGCCCGGAACGCCGACCATCTGAACAAGCTCGCATCGGAAGTCAACCAATCCGGGGGAGAGGTGAGCACAGCCGAAACACTAGCCAATGCAAACCAAGCTACCCTTATGGTCGTGACAGGCTGCTGCATTCCCCGTTGCTTCATACTCGTACGAAGCCGTTAGCGGCGTCTTCACTACCATCAAGCAGCACAAATGGGCGTCGCCCGAGAAAGCGGAAATCCGTGTCGCTCTGTGGAACGCGGGCGCAGGCGTATGGAAGGGGTTCCTCGACGTCACGGAGCAGGAACTGCAGACGGTCGTGGACACGAACATCACAGCACCATTCGCGTTCTCGCGCCAGGTGCTCCTCGCTTTCAAAGAGAACGAGATCGACCAGCTGGGCAAGCGGGGCACGCTCCTGTTCACGGGCGCGACGGCGAGCTGGAGGGGCAATGTGACAACGAGCGCGTTCGCTGCGGGCAAGTTCGCGCTGCGTGCCTTGAGCCAGAGCCTCAACAAGGAGTTCGGCAAGCAGAACATTCACGTAAGTGGCTAGCGGCCTCATGTGAACTTCAGTTGACACTTTGGGATTGACGATAGGTCGCCCATGTGAGTCTTCCTTCATAGTGTAAGTAGCGAACTGAGTTCTGACGATGCTTCGGTTATCGAGGCCATCATTGACGGAGGTCAGTGTTACTCCGAATACACTGTTTGCGCATCTATTCACATCTCTTTCCAGGAATTTTGACGGACCTGTCCCTCTCGCGCCGTTCGGACCCGAGTGCAAGCAAGGCGTGGAAGGAAGACGCGAACATCCGCCTGGACCCGGAGAGTATTGGCAAGGTAATATACTGTGTTTTCTATGGTTACCATTCTCCTCACATCTTCCTCAGTCCTACCTTTATCTCGCCAACCAGGATAGCTCTGCGTTGACATGGGAGTTGGATTGTAAGTTCTTCGTTGAGGCGTCCAAGACAGAGTGCCTGATGCTTACCCGCTTACTTTGCAGTGCGCCCTGCGCACGAAAAGTGGTGAATGAGAGGCTCGCAAACAATGTCAGCGATCATGGAAGTGTAGGAGTATTGGAGTTCAATCGATGTAATAGCATCGTATTCCCTTGTCGCACCATGCAAGCAATGTTTTGAGTCTTTTGTGAGTGCAATGAACGGATAGTAAATATGCGCGAGCGGTACGGTCTCTGTTTGGCTCTGTTTGGTGCTACCACAGGCTCCCGAAACAGTAATTGCCGACTGCATGAAATACCAGCTCTGCTCATATGGGAGAGACTATCGGAGAGACCCGTCCTGAATGAAACATCCGGATAGCATTTCATTTGACGGCGTTCATGACTTCTTCGAGACGACGTTTGGACGTCTTGGACGGTACGCAGAAATCTGAATCCCCACAACAGTGGTGCACGGTTCTTCATAGCTAGTATTTGCAGGTCCTCCACTATACCGCATGGTACTCTGCCCTAATGCCAAGAGGTTGATTATTATGATTTACAGCCACAAAGAAAGTCCGATTGTGAATTTCCTAGGGTCCCCAGTATTTCCCGCGCTTTGTGTTCCGCAGGAACTCACAGCTCCAGGTATGGCTTGATTTGATCGACAATATATACTTTGTCTTACAGTTGCTTCTCTTCTCGTTGTTCCTGAAGAAGTCCATGTCGGATTTTGACTTCCCCGACCGGGACGCTTGACGTCCGCGGTCGAAATCCACACTCCCTACGTCAATCCGATAGTTTAGCTTTTTCTCTGTCTCGCTACACGTGATACCTACACTCCCTACTTATACCTCGCTCACTCGCTCCCCACTTCTCTCCTCAGTCGCTGTACCACTATGGCTGAGGTATGTCTGTCTCGTACTGATCCCCCGTACCAGTACTGATTCGATGTATAGCTGTAGACTTGCGAGAATCGGTACAGGTATATATAGTCGTCGTACCACTACGGCTGAGTTGCAGACTTACGAAAATCGGTACAGTTACTAAGGTCCAGTATCAATGGCCAACGACCAAGAGTTTTCATTGAGTATGACATCCCTCGAGGAGTTTTTGTGGCGACCGCGAACATTGGCCTGTTTGTCGATCGCGCGCCGTCAATGCAGATCATGCACGTCCCCACCTTGGGCACTCAAAGTGAGCCGTCTGGCGCTGCGGTCTTGAATCTGTTCGAGGTATGTCTGTAGAGGCTCGCGACGCCACACATTGACGTGCTTCTAGTGCATACCCACAGTATGGTGACCCCGTTCGAAACGACGAGAGCGATGTGCGGAGATCGACAGCGCGATTCATCTTCGCACGAATCCGGTACTCACCTTCGTCCCGCCTAGAAGTTCGCGTGACTCGCACTCAAAGATGGCTTCATAATATCGAGAGGAACCAGGTTGCGCCATCATGCGTCTATGTATGTGAGCTCGGTGCGTGTCATTATTGTTACACGGTCACTATCCTAGCTGGCTCAACTGTGAAGAGATTGAGATGCCAACCAACAAGAATACGGCTTGTTGAGAAGCAATGTATATATTGACTATCCCCGCTCGGTTACAGGTACGTTCTGATATCTCTCGCCAATATGTCCATTCATTCACGTACCAAGTTTAGATTAGAAGCAAGGTAATTACCAGCGTCCATGATTCCCTCATTCATGCCACTGTGTGGACTTCGAGTTCGCTGTCCTCCGTGCGCAGACGATCTTCCGATTAAGACGCCAACTGTTACCACTTGTGAGATCAACACATCTCTTGACCACGGTATTGCAGCCCGCTCGAATCAGCCCTATGGCATTCGCACTGCCAACCCTGGTACCATGGAGCTCCACTACGCGAATGCAGCTTGTCCCATCAGACTTCGGCCACCTTGCGCGCGGTAGAAGGATTCTCGACGTGTGGAAATGAGCTCGTGGCTATGCCAGGCTATTTGCGGCCGCAGTGCTATAAATGAAGCATCGTCATCAAGCATCCTCACCGTTATAGTGTCATCACCGTTCGCCGGGCCTTCATACACAGCAAATTTCAGTCAGCCTTCAGTTTATGTGGGATGCCGTTGTCATCGGACGGATCGCTGTCAAAATAATGCGGTCACGTCCCGCTCTTGCCCCGGCCGAACTCTCAGACACTTGGCCGTCTATCGAAACCCCAAGCTCCTCCTTTATCTTACCTTCCGCAGGGTCAAAGAGCAAGGCGGGAGGCGACGGTCTTGAGTGTGTGGTAGTTTGCCGCCATCGGGAGTTCGAAGAGCTGCTCCGATATAATGCCTGGCCTTGACCCGGAACATGCAAGGACGCGTCTATATTGCCGGGAGAAGCTATACCTTTGGTAATTACGAGCGTCTTCGGTTGCGCTTCTCAGCCGCACGCTGCGTTGTTCTGGTCTCGATTGTGGAGATGAGGCCGCATAAGGCTGATCGATGCCACAATACGTCCGGACCTGCGCCCGGATATCCATTTGCTGCACATTCGCAGAAAGACAAGCGGCTTTCTGCTCGCGGTACCGGTGACGGGCTTTTCGCCACAACCTGGCTCGCGGGTGTCCCGATCTTTCGGCCAGTCATGGAAGAACAAGGTTCTCTAGACACTGTGCCTTGCAGCTTCATGTTATTGGAATTCTGATCAAGTGTAGCATCCTCCGAGGCTAATGTACCTCTGCGTTCGTCAGGTCGTTGGCTACAGCTCTGCGTCAGCGTCATCGCTGTGTAAACAAGCGATCACTTCGCCGCACTCTACATTTTGCTTTTCGGATGGGTATTTGACAGCGACCTACTCTTCGGTTGCGGCTAAACGTGCGTGAGTTATTATCTTATGCTACGGTCGTGCCTTCTGCCGTCTTGTTGCCCGACGGGCGTCCCCTGGCGGGAGGAGCAGTTCGTTTTGATGCTCCACGTCCGGAGTTCTATCGGGTGCGCCCTGTCGCCGCCCGCTCGTTTAGAGTGCCATCATGCATCGCGGGCAGAAACGTGCGCCGTGTCACGCGGGGTCAGCGACTGGAATTGTGGACACAACTCACCTCGCATGGCGAGACAGCCTGTCTCGGGGATGGCAAGACAACCAGGAACGGCGCAGGCCTCTTGCATGGGAAGTGGCATGGAACGCAGTCGCTGGCAATGTCTGCACAGCTGGTCTGTGAGCATTAGACGTTGGATTAGACATTGGTTGTCCGCATACGCGGCAGTGGGCGCGCCTTGTGCGCATTCTTTCCATCTCACCTGCCGTTGGTCTTCCCTAGGCAGCCTACAATAGAGCGCCCGTTTTGATGGTTGGAAAAAATACTGCATCAGCATGCGCAGGATTTCAGCCACGCGACGGTCCTGCCAGTGCAGAACGGTACCTTGAACTGCGGGATTCTCGCATGCATCATTTGTGCAAGTCGCGCATCTCGCATCAATTCCTAATGCGATGACTGTTTCGCATTAGCCTAGGCATACCTCATAGACTAACTTATGCCTAATTCTGAGTCCCAAACGTAGTGGCGTGGTATTTCAATCCTTGCGAGGTGGAGGTTTCGGTGAGTCACGGTCACGTGACCGTGACTTACCGCGCACCCCCTCAGGTTTCAGAACACGATGTTGGTGACAGTACTCTCCGGTAAGTTCAGTGGTGAGGCCCGCGACTGTCGGCGTAGCGCATGATCTAGGCCACTTATTTGATGGACATGGTCCACACGGGCGACAATATGCAACGTTGCGCTGGCGTCGCTTGGAAGGCGGCGACATGGGCGCTGTGGCGTGCCTCCTGGCGGTGAAGTAGAACGTAAGTGCGCCCCTGGACGTGAGCTTGATCAGCGGTGCGGCTCACACAGCGCCGCGCGATGATCGACATGGACTCCAATCGCCAAGTGCATTCCTGCTTCAAACGTGAGGTCTCGGGCAGCGTTCAGTGTACCCCCCCCACAACGCTGCGCGATGATCGACAGGGACAATTGCCAAGTACATTCTTGCTTCAAATGTGGGGCCTCGGGGATCGTTCAGCTCGCGTCGCGTCGCGTGTCTACGCCATATAATGCAGCGCTTCAGCCGCCACGGCTGAAGCGCTGCATTCTTTATATATTATTAGTGCCACCGAAATACGAAAAACGAATACGCAGGCCCCCTATCGAGATCGCATCCGGGTACGGCCAGTCGTGGGTGAATCAGCGCTGCCGTCGTGCTGGCACATCCATGCGCGTAGAGCGCAGTTGGTCAGTGGGGTTGTCGAAAGCAGCAGCATTCGAAACACCGAGTCATTGTCGGTGGCGGGTCTGCGCTTTCCTGGGCCTTGTGACAGGCTTTGTGGGACAAAAATACACTGGGATCTAGACGCGATTGTTAAAGAGATTGCATTGAATGGAAGCGCCCCCTGTGTGGATATCGATGCAGGTTTAGCTGCATCTCTTTATAGCACTTTGCATGACATCTACCAGTCGTTTGTTACAACGTCTTGGCCGGTCAGAATCGGAGTTGGAGTGTAAGAGACGAGCGCGCTTCAGCAAATGCTGCCGGCGGTTATAAGGGCGGAACCAGAACGACGGGTCGAGTTCTCAACAGTTCCGGGTAAAAGGAGGAAGCGCCGTCTATGATTAGCAGCAGCGTCGTGCCACTTCATCGAGGCATCGTCGACGGCGACCGTGGAAGGCCATCATCTTTCACATAGAATAGATTCATGTGTTCCCACTGACCCCGTCCGCAGCTTCGACGCGGCGTGCTTGCCGATATTATTAACAGAGAAAACGCAGGACGAGGTTCCGTCCCCTCCTCGTTCCCTGGCGAGATACTGGCGCATTCAAGCGAGCGCTTTCAGCACACTGGCCGCTACGTCCATCAAACCCGTCATCAGGCATCGCCCCCGCCCTGATATGCCTGCACCAGGCAACCGGCACAGCCGACCGCGCGGAGAGCAGGGCGCTGATGCACATCCGACCATTTCGACCGCTTTCTCTGCTGCCCCCAACTCCTACTCTCATTCCCTTCTAATGGCCCTAGCATCCCTTCTCAGCACTAGAAAAGGCGACGACGACGGAGACGCAATTGAGTTGCTGCCTTCGCCCGGCCACGTTCCTGCTGAGCCTTCCAGTCACCGTCGACCTGCGCGACAAAGCGGGGAGATGTCGTGCTCTGCAACCACCGAGTCCACCATTGCTCCGGGAGATGCGGACTACGACTTTGCCGTCTCATTACAAGATGTCGTGGACAAGTGCGTCATCCATCGTCGCCCCCCTGCCGCTCCTTTACCTCATCTCAGCTGCCATGCTAGGATTGATTGGTCGGACGTCAAGCGCAGGGAGCTTGGTGTCGTGTTCGACAACTTGCGAGTCGTTGGCCTTGGTACATCGGCAGCTCAACAGCCCACCATGGGTTCGATCCTGAATCCTGTCAACTGGCTCTCTGGGATACAGCACATCCGACATCCAGCCACCCGGGACATCGTCAATGGTTTCGAGGGGGTCGTCAAGCCGGGAGAGATGCTGCGTAAGGCTATTGCACGTGCTGCTCAGCACTCAGCCGGGTCATGCTGACCGTCTCGTAGTGGTTCTAGGGCGCCCGGGCGCTGGGTGCAGCACGCTGCTGCGTACTCTCGCCAATCAACGCGCAGACTTCCATGCCGTCCTGGGAGACGTGCACTACGACTCGTTGACGCCACTTGACATTTGGAGCCACTGCCGCGGAGATGTGCAATACTGTCCTGAGGACGACGTGCACTTCCCGACGCTCACGGTCGAGCAGACCCTGGCGTTCGCGGCACTCACACGCACGCCGAATGCGCCAAGAGAGTCGATGTCCAGGGAGAAGAACGTGCAGGTGATGACCGATGTGCTCAAGTCTGTCTTTGGCCTGCGGCACGTGAAGGACACCCTGGTGGGCGACGCCTCCATCCGAGGAGTCTCCGGCGGCGAGAAAAAGCGTGTCTCGATCAGCGAGACCCTTGCAACTCGGGGTCTCTTGACGTGCTGGGACAAGTGCGTTGCGCTATCCTGTCTGGTATCTAATTTAGTCTTCCAATGCTGATCGTCGCTCATCTCTATAGCTCCACGCGTGGGCTCGAGTACGTCGCGTTCCCATCCCCTGTCTTGCTCGGAATCTGATCGTCCCCGCAGTTCCTCGACCGCGCTCGAGTTCGTCCGCGCGCTGCGGCGGATCACCGACCAGACGCGGCTGACGACCGTCGTGTCGATCTACCAGGCCGGCGAGCCGCTGTACGAGCTGTTCGACAAGGTCTGCGTCATATACGAGGGCCGGATGGCCTACTTCGGCCCGGCGAATCGCGCACGGCAGTATTTCGTCGACATGAGATACACGCCGGCGCACCGCCAAACCACCGCGGACTTCCTCGTTGCGGGTGAGTGGCTCCTCCGGCCCTGGCCTGCTGACACTGACATATACGTTGCGTATACGCAGTCACGGACCCCAACGGGCGCACGCCACGCCCCGACTCTATGCTCTCTGTGCCACGATCGGCGGCCGAGTTCGCGGAGTATTTCCGCCACTCGGAGTTTGCGGCCCTGAACCGTGCGGACATGGCTGCGTACCGCACGGCGTGCGTCGGCAAGCCCGAGCGCGCGCGTGCGTACCTGGACAGCGTGCGTGCGGAGCACGTCGGCACCACGAGCTCGGGCAGTCCCTATCTGCTCTCGATCCCTGCGCAGGTGAAGACGCTCATGGTCCGTCGAGTGCAGATCATGCGCGGCAACATGACTGCGGTGTTCATTGAGCTTGCGTGCGTCCCGATGCCTGAGACAGAGAATCAGGCCACATACTGACAACGTGCCCTGCAGGTCGTTCATCATCCTCGCGCTGATTGTCGGGACGATCTACCTGCGCATGCGGATGAACACCAGCACGTTCTTCTCGCGCGCGAGTGTGATCTTCTTGTATGTCCAGACATTTGGATCTTGCGTTCGAGTCGCTGACTGGATCTCGCAGCGCGTACGTCTGGTCTGGGCTGTCCACCATGGCTGAGATCCCCACCCTGTTTGCACAACGGGCCATTATCCTGCGGCAATACAAGGCGTCGATGTACCACCCCTTTGTCGAGGCGCTCTCCCTTACGCTGGTAGATATACCCATAACACTCGCTACGATGATGCTCTTCTCGGTAATATTGTACTTCCTTTCCGGCCTCCAAGAATCAGCGGGACAGTTTTTGTGAGCCGTTATTGCATAAAGTCTATGCGCCACTGCCCACTGACATCTCGCCACAGCATTTTCATGCTTTTTGTTTGCCTTATGACTATCACGTTGAAAGCGTTCTTCCGGACTATCACGGCTGCATTCACGGACCCTGCGCCAGCGACTGCGGCCGCTGGTATATTCATGCTTTTCTTGGTACTGTACACAGGCTACCCTATTCCTCTGCCCTCGATGATCCGCGCGCTGCGGTGGATCACGTACATCAACGTGGGTGGCCCATCTCGCCGCTGACCATGCTATATCCTGCTGACGTTCCCTGTGCAGCCGCTGAAGTACGGGTTTGAAGCGCTCATGGTAAACGAGTTCTCGACGATTGAGGCGGAGTGCGAGGAGCTCGTGCCCTCAGGTCTGGGCTACGAGAACATCGCCCTGGCGCATCAGGGCTGTGCTGTGGTGGGCTCGACCCCGGGCTCTGCCACTGTCTCGGGCACAGCGTATGTGGAGCTGGCCTACGGTTTCGCGTACCGCCACCTGTGGCCGGTAAGTGTCGGCTACCTACTGTGAGATGCAGCACATGATGCATCATCTGTTGCAGAACTTCGGTATCCTGTGCATGTTCTGTATCATCTTCATCGTGAGCCTTGTCTTCCTGACGGAAATCAACACCGGCACGAGCGAAGAGTCGTCGGTCGTCCTCTACAAGCAGGGGACGGCGCCGGAGGACATCCGGCGCGCTTCTTCGGGCGACGATGTTGAGAAGGCGGGGACGTACGAGGCCAAGTCTCCGTCTCCGACGGTCAGCGAGATGAAGAAGCCGCGCGAGCCATACGTGGACGGCGTTGTCAAGGGGAATGTGTTCTCCTGGCACAGCCTGTGCTACTCGGTCCCCGTCGCGACTGGATATCGACAGCTCCTGGACAACGTCTCTGGGTACGTCGCGCCTGGCAAGCTGACCGCGCTGATGGGCGAGTCCGGTGCTGGCAAGGTGCGATCGACATAGATGGTGGTTAGCTGTGGGATGACTGATGTCCCCTCCCCTCGTAGACAACGTTGCTGAACGTGCTGTCAAGTCGTGTCGCCCAGGGTGCTGTGAGCGGGGACCGTTTTATGAACGGCCAGAACCTGCCATTGGACTTCCAGGCGCAAACGTAAGCACGGGTAACCAATCGTCTGGATAGAGTCCAACTGAGTTTATCTCGTCAGTGGCTACTGTCAGCAGATGGACACACATGTGGCATCCGCGACCGTCCGCGAAGCCCTTCTCTTCTCTGCCAAGCTGCGCCAGCCTCAGTCGGTTCCTCTGGCCGAGAAGGAAGCCTAGTGAGTGCCCGCGCTATTTGACTGATCGGGTTGTTAAGTCGGACTCATTCCCCGCAGTGTTGAGAAGTGCTTACAGATGTGTGGTCTCGAGGCGTATGCCGATGCTATCGTGGGCACACTCGGCGTAGAACAGCGTAAACGCACCACAGTGGGCGTGGAGCTTGTCGCGAAGGTACGTTAATGCTAACGTATGGCCTGGTCTTCGTATTGACTTTGGTCTCCAAGCCATCCCTCATCTTCCTCGATGAGCCAACGTCTGGGCTTGACTCGCAGAGCGCCTGGGCGATTGTGAGCTTCCTCCGAAAGCTTGCCGACAGCGGACAGTCCATCGTGTGCACGTGAGTAGATGTGAATTCTCTTCAATCTATGAGTCGAATAACATGCATTCATTTTTTTTCAGCATCCACCAGCCTTCTGCTGAACTGTTCCAGGTCTTTGACAAGCTCCTTCTCCTCCGCAAGGGCGGCCAGACTGTATATTTCGGCGATCTCGGCCCGCAGTCTTCCACCGTCATCAACTACTTCGAGAGGAACGGCGCACGACCATGCGAAAACACTGAGAACCCGTGAGCTCGGGTCGTGTGGCTTCTACCGCGTAGCGTGCTGACAGTACATGACAGTGCGGAGTTCATGCTCGATGTCGTCGGTGCAGGCGCGACGGCGACGTCGGAGATTGACTGGAGTGATGCTTGGAAGCAGTCGCGCGAGGCAATGGAGCTGCAGAATGAGCTCGACATGATCTACGCACAGGGGCGTTCGCTACCACCCGTCAAAGAAGCGTTTCAGACCGAGTTCGCGACGTCGTGGTGGTACCAGCTGACTACACTGTTCCAGCGGGATGCACGCAGTCTCTGGCGCGATCCGACATACCTCATCGCAAAAATGGCGGTCAACATTCTGTGCGCGCTGATCATCGGCTTCACGTACTTCAAGTCGAAGAACACCGTGCAGGGGACCCAAAACCAGCTCTTCGTAAGTCGCGTCCTCATCGCTGCATCCACGTTGCTGTGTGCTGACCGATCGCCTAGTCCATCTACATCTCGACGTTCCTCGCTGCACCGCTTGTCGAGCAACTGCAAGTGCCCTTCCTCGACATGCGCAGCATTTATGAGATCCGTGAACGGCACAGTCGTATGTACCGTTGGTCTGCGCTCATCACGTCGCAGCTACTGGTTGAGATTCCATGGAACATCCTTGGCTCTACACTGTTTTTTGTCTGTTGGTACTGGACGGCTGGATTCCCTACACATCGCGCGGGATACACGTACTTGCTATTCGGCATCATCTATCCTCTCTACTACACGTCATTCGGCCAGGTATGATTGACCTACAGTGCGGCAAGTCTCTGTTTGCTAATTGTGAGTTCGTTCCAGGCAACCGCGGCAATGGCATCCAACGCAGAAATCGCAGCGCTGATTTTCAACGCGCTATTCGCCATCATGATTGTCTTGTACGTGTGTTCACGTTTCCTTATTGAACGCGCTTTAATACTATTTGTTGTAGCGACGGTGTCCTGCAACCATTCCGCGAGCTAGGCAAGTGGACATGGATGAACCGTGTATCACCATCCACGTACTTCGTTGAGGGATTCCTAGGTCAAGGTGCGTCTCGCTGCTCACGATCAGAGCCGCAATCTCCAAATCTGACACATCTTTATCACTAGCTGTTGGCAGGTCGGAGATTAAATGCTCGTCTGTGGAGTTCGTCAAGATCAACCCGCCTTCGGGGGAAACATGCATGCAGTACTTGTCACAATACATCACGCTCAACGGTGGGTATCTGTCAAATCCCAACGCCACCAACATGTGCGAGTACTGCCAATATCGCACCACCGACGAGTTCCTCAAGGGCCGGAATATCTACTACTCGAATCATTGGAAGAACCTGATCATCTTCCTCGGGTTCACCGTTTTCAACGTGAGTGTGACTAACCGAATGTGGTTCCCTGGCATTGTTGACTAAGCACGAATTATCAGGTCGTTGCGATCTATGTTTTGACTTATTTCTGTCGGGTACGGTCAGGCTCCCTGACAGAGGGACTGCGGCGGCTTGTCTTGGCGCGTTGGCGAAAGCTGCCCAATCGCCTATGACTTATTTATTGTTCTCATAAATTGTGTGGACGGCCAGGAATTACCCAATACAGTGGTATCGAGCAATTGTACAACACTAGCATTGCACTGTTTCAGTATAATCTCTTTTAAATGTATCATCCCGTAATGCTTCGCGTTTGGTCATGTTCGCATGCGCGAACAATTGGCCAGTCGCGATGATCATGAAAGATCGGAAGGTTGCCGCTGACAGCTCTCAATCAATACATATGCGGGTATTCGTAGAGTACTAAGTACCATACAGGTCCAGGTTATATAGACACATCATTCCAGGCATCCTCATCCTCATTCGCGTGAGCTGCCTTCCCAGTGTCCTTGATATCCCGCTGCTTCGGTTGTGCTCCTGCCGCTCCCTTGAAACCTTGGGTCAGCAGACCCGCGCCACTGGTCGTCAAAGCCACATCACCCACCGCCGTGCCCACATTACCCGCGCTGGAACCCGTGTTGTCAAGGACTTTCCGCGCCTGGGTTCCGTATGTATTCTCCACGCGCTTCCCTGCGGCATCGGCGAGCGCGCCGCCCACTTCCGCGGAGCCAGCGTCGTAGCCGTCTGCCATGCTGTCGTGAGCATTCGAGAGCGAGTTCAGCGTTTGCGATGCAGGCGTTGTAGTGGTGACGAGGTGCTCTGTAACCCAGGTACCTGCCTGCCCGGCAACGGTGCCAACGGCGATCGACATGCGGCGGGCGGCGGAGGCAAGCGACTTGGAGCCATTTGCGTCACTGTCTGAGGCCGTGTGAATTGCCGTGGGGACCTCGACGGGAGACTCCGTCAGCGCATTCTCTGATAAGTGGCTGGTAGCAGGTAAGTTCTTTGTGGGGCCCTGAAGATGAGTTGACTACCACTGCTTACCTCTCCGTCGAACCCCTGACCCGTTGTGCGAGTTTGGCGGACTCTTCCCGCATGCTCATGCCGATCTCGTCAGCGGCAGCCTCGATACCCTCCTTCAGCAATCCGTGGTGGATGAGGGCCTGCTCAAACTTGGTCTGAAGCTTCTCAAAGGGAGAGTCGACTACGGTTACGCCCTCTGGTAGGAGAATTTTGACATATCTACATGACGCTCAGCCATTAGCAGGCAACAGCAGAATCAGTACAAGCACAACTCGCCCTCCCACTTCGCCACCGATTTCAGGTACAAACACATAAGCCCTCATGTCGTCCGCCAGAGTGCCAAACATGGTCGTCTTGAATAGTGGGAATGCTGCTTTGCCGATAGTCAGAGTCAGTACCGGCGCATGATAGCTTGAACTGCGCGTAGGAGACGAGGGTGCGACAACATGTGCCGACTCAGTTAGAATCAGCGTGAGATCTCCCCGTCCAAGCTCCGCATTGGAGTCGCCGAGGACGTGGGTTGCCACGACATCCGGTATGGAGACCAAGAAGTTGGGCAGTGCTCCATTCACCGAAGACATAGTAATGAGATGAGAAGGTCGCAGGTTGGTGGGTGTTAACAGCAAGGAATGGTTGAGTTGAACGGAGGAATGCAAGTCTGGGATTGGATCCACTACTGCCTGGCGGTGGCGTCATTAGAACCTAACCCCAGAATATGGTTACACGGGCACACAAGCAATATAAATACCGTCATTAGCACGGTTGTATCTCCTGGCAATTAATGTACAAATGATGTCTACTCAAACAGATCGTGTCGGCTCGAGCATGTAGCAGATGTCAGATGGATCACTTACATCTCATCACCTCGTGCTATGGCCAGACAATGGCTCGTCCGCCTCATAAAGTGTATACGTCGACATCACTCATATCGCCTTCAGCAAACGCCATTGACTGGGTATAAGTGACGATTCAATGTTGGTAAACATACGCCTCGTGAGCCAACGCGCTCACCTTCATACCCACAATCCTTTCGTCATCGATCATGAAACCCGAGTATTCAAAGTCTCCCGTACGGACCAACAGAGCGTAAGGCAGATATGTCACAACGTCATTCTGGAATATGAGACCCGAGGAGATCTTCGACGGCTCTGTCACGAGCTGGTATGAACCCGTCGTCCCTCCCGCAGGACAGATGTTCCCTCCGACAGGGCGAATCGGAACAGGGTCGTCTACACGTTGAGGGTGAACATTGAAGTCGAGTACTTGTAACGTGCAGTGGGGGATGACTGAGGCTGTCGACAAGGACGGTGGTAGCGCAACCCGCTGGCCATGTACATATCTACTCGGAAGAACATCAGTCTTGTCCTTCACCAGCTTCTATTACACGCGGAACGCACCGGAGCCACTGGAATTGATGAATATGCTGTATGAACCTGGTATTTGCTGGGCCCCATGCGTCCCACGGGATTTGAGATGCAAACATGGTGTCGAGATCGGAAGCGCGCTCAACAGGAGCAGCATTGGATTGTCCTTTAGCAGGAATGAAGGACAGCAAGAACCGGTGGTGTACGAAAAGGTGATAGCGCGGGCCATGATCGTCATACACGAGGGCCATGAGATGCACGCGCGCGGTGCGGTCAGCCTCAAACGGCTTCCCTGGCATGGGTTTGTGTATGTACGGCCCCGAATGGGTAGCAAAGCTATGAGGTCCTTTGCCATCCTTCACTGGGGGAAGGCACAGTGTTTTAACATGACGCGCTCGGCAGCCATGATCGGACTGCCGTCCGTCAAAAGCATATAGGTGTATTGAACCTGGTCCATGCATGGACGTGATCATGAATGCGCGGTTAGAGAGGAACCCGAAGTCCCACACATTAAGCGGAAGCTGGAGCCCTGCGAGGTTCTGGCGAATATAAGCACGTGTATATGGTTCTGAACACCGGGAGGAAACTTACAATTAGCAGCTCAGCATGGTGCCAGTTCCAGATGAAGAGCGCCGGGCCATGTACCCAGCAGAACATGCCCACGACGTCGTCCACTATCTGGATGAAGCAATTCGAGTGGATCCATGAAATAGGCACGGAAAACCCAGCCTGCTTGGCCAAGGGGTGGGGTGCGTTAGTACTAATTGTCCGCAGATGGAGTTTGATCGCGAAGTCTGCCGGGTTACTGCTGAGTGTCATGTCAGAACTGCTCACCCTGCGAGATGTAACGGGAGCACTCCAAGCTTAAATGCTTACCTGTCGTCTCTGGATACGATGACGATCAGATCTTGAGACGGATCAATAGCGAAGTCTCGAGTAGGCACGCCTAAATCTTCTCGGATGAGACTTCGAGCAGGCTGCGTGCGAGAAGGAAGCCATGTCGCATTGAGGTGATACGAGCCTCCCATGTGCAGACCGCCCATGGTCTTGGCAAACACGCCCCCGACAAGCTCATAAGCCTGGCATGCCCCTGGCATGGTCACTGGGATCTTCTCAATCCAGTCAAGCTCGCGCCATCGCCGGCGGCGATCAAGCAGAAGGGCGAGGCGGTCGGCGGTGTTCATAGGGACTGAAGGAACGTCTACCATGCCGTCTGCTGCGAGCTCGATGATATATCGCAGCTCGAGCGATTCTTTGACGACAGCACGGAGCGATTTGCATACCTGGGAAGCCGATAACTTGTTCAATGTGCTGTGGCAGACCAAGACTTGTGTGGCTTACTGCAGAGCACGACAACAGATCCTGACACCCAAGGTACGAGAGAATCTCCACCGCAACCTCAACCGGGAGACCAAGTAGCTGAGGAGGGGTCATGGTGGAGGGAAACATGGCAGGACGGTCGTCCGATGTCGGCTCGGAACATGAAGGCTGGCGAGTGAGAGGCAAATACTTTGTGCGGGAAAACAACAGTGATATAAAGTAATGTAAGCAGCGCGTAAGTAACGATTCTACTTATTCTATCACGCGCCAGTAAGGAAGTCCCGAATGTGATATAGACTCGATAAGAGAGGAGCGTAATCGGGGACTGAATTATAACAATGCACCGTTTCATTTGAATAGACCCTCGTGTATACTGCCTACCGTCATTTCAACCGAAGCTCTTCTTACTACCACCAACATAAGTACTCCAAGCCTAACGATTCAGGTAATGCTATACTTCTGCTGAATTACTAGGTCATAATCGTGTTCCTCTCTGGTCTGCGCGTGGTCATGTTGTCAAAAGGTCTGGCGCTGCTGGCATGGGTTTTCTTCGTACATCTCGCTGGAATCTACTTGTACACACGGGGCTTCCTCCTTACTCGTCTTTCGCTCTCGGACACTACATCGTGCGACGACGGCTCATGCACACTGAAAGCTACTCACAGAAGAGCCGTCCTACTCGTTATTGACGCGCTGCGCTTCGACTTCGTCACTCCCGACTCGCCTTCGCCGCCTTCGCCGCACCACCATGGTGTCCTGACCTTGCCGCAAGAGCTCACTGCGATGCAGCCAGCGCAGTCCTTCCTGTTTGACTCGTTTGCGGATCCGCCAACCACCACTTTGCAGCGAATCAAAGGAATTACGACCGGCTCGCTACCCACATTTATTGACATGGGTTCCAACTTTGGTGGCGCGTCCGTAGTCGAGGACTCCCTTATTAGCCAGCTTCGCAGCGCGGGCAAGAGTGTACGTGTGCATCCTCTTACTGTCGTGTGCACGTCTTACAACAGTGCAGCGATAGATAGCGTTCATGGGCGACGACACGTGGACGACCGTGTTTTCCGACGCGTTTGCATCCGACATGTGCTTTCCTTATGACTCATTTAACGTCGAAGACCTGCACACCGTCGACGAAGGTGTGATACGGCATCTTTTCCCGCTCATGAACAATGCCTCTGCTCCATGGGACGTCATAATCGGGCATTTCCTCGGTGTTGACCATGTCGGACACCGCGTGGGTCCTGACCACCTAAAAATGCGCGCAAAGCTCGCACAGATGGATGAGGTACTGCGACGCACGATCGAAGCGTTGGAGGAAGATACGCTGCTTGTGGTGCTCGGCGATCATGGAATGGACCGACGGGGGGACCACGGAGGAGACGGTGCGCTCGAGACGTCAGCGGCGTTGTGGGTGTACAGCAAGATTCCGCTTTCTTCTCGGCCGACCACATCCCCTGCGTCTCTCCTCCCCGCTCGCACGTTCCCTGGCGCTACAGTACCTCACCGGTATGTACAGCAGATCGACCTTGTTCCCTCTCTTGCCCTCCTTTTGGGACTACCCATCCCGTATAACAACCTAGGGACGGTGATTCCTGAGCTCTTCTCACATGAGACTTTCGATCGAGCATTGGAATTGAACGCAGAGCAAGTGAAACGCTATCTCGACACGTACCGCGCGACTGCACACGGAGGAGAGCTCGATAATGCCTGGACCAAATTGCACTGGCATTGGACCTCCATCAAGACGGCGGAAGATCTTGAAGGACGCTGGGAGGCAATGGGGGCGTTTACGCGGACTGCACTTGATGCGTGCCGCATTCTGTGGGCGCAGTTTAACGTGACCCACATCGGTCTTGGACTCATACTGCAGGTCATGGGCATCATCGCGGGTTTCGCACTCTACCTGAAGTTCGGCGAGTTAAAAGACGACTGGGTTGATTGGGCAGGAAACGTCAAGCAGGGGTGTGTGCGCGGCATGGCAATCGGCGCCGTCTCTGGCCTCGTGTGCTCCGTACCGCTCAAGCACTTCGTCAAAGGCATTGATACGCTCGACTATGTCCTCTTTGCCGCCCCTTTGGTGTCTTCACTCTCGGTCATCAGATCATGCTGGCCAACGCGAGTTGAGTTCAAGTTGACATCCCTTCCCCTTCCTCTCATCCTGCACGCCCTCGCATTCGCCTCAAATTCGTTCACTATCTGGGAGGATCGCGTGATCACGTACCTCATTCTCTCGTCCATCGTGCCCGCCGCGCTCACCGGCTTCACAGCGCCCACAGCGCGCCTGCGTGCACGCATCCTGGGTTTCTCCGCGCTATTCGCGCTTTGCGTACGCCTGATGGCCGTAAGCACAGTCTGCCGCGAGGAGCAACACCCGTGCTGTCATGTCACATTCTTCGCGTCATCTTCGCTTCCTGTCCCGCCGCGCGCCGTCCTCGCGCTTGCACTGCCCACATCCCTTCTGTTGCCCTTCGTGATTCGGTGGTTCCTTCGCATCTCGAAATCCGACAATGGCATCGCCGCAATCGTTTTGACACTGCTCCTGCCTGTGGTGTTACTCCAGGGCTCCGCGCACTGGTTGCTCGAGTGGCTTGACACGGCGGAGGTCGTCGGATCCGAGTGGCGCTGGATTCTGCGCCCAGGGCGTACGCTGCTCGCGCAGTGTGCCATGGGTGCTATTGTCTTCTTCGGCATGGCGCTCTGGTGGCTCATACCGCTGTGCTTAGAAATCAGCACGAGTCAGGCAGGCAAGGACAATGTAGAGGAGACCGGCGCGGAGAAGGCTGTGCCGGAGAAGCCGAAGACGCAAGTAACAGTATTGGGCTTTGCGAACGCATTCGGCGCGTCCTACCTAGTGATGTGGTGCACCGTGCTGGGTCTTCTGTACACAGTCACCCAGTTGACGGGACAGCTGGTACTGGCGCTCGCGGCCATTGCGGTGCTCGCGTACATCGAAGTTGTGGACAGCGTCCGGGACGTCAAGGAGCTTGAAGCGGCTTTCGCGTCGTCTTCTCCGTCAGCGATCCTTGACGGCAGCGCACGCCGGACGCCGCAAGTCACTTTTGCGGAGGTGGTCCCGCTTGCTCTGCTCGCGCTGCACACCTTCCACGGAACAGGTCACCAGTCCACGATCCCGTCCATCCAATGGAAGGCCGCGTTCGTCCTCACGCCCACACTGAGCTATCCCTTCTCGCCGGCGCTGGTGATCCTGAACACGTTCGGTCCGCAGTTCCTCATTGCGCTCGCTGTGCCTCTCTTGGCCCTCTGGAACGTCGAGCCGCTCCCGCAGCCCGATGCGAGCGTAGGCGCCAGTGGCAGCGCCGTGCGTGCCGCGCTAGGCGCCATGTTATATTTCGCGGGGCTTCTGCTCGGGAGCGCAATCAGCTCGGCGTGGCTCCGGCGGCATCTGATGGTATGGAAGGTGTTCGCGCCGCGCTTCATGAGTGCCGCGGCTAGTTTGGTGGCGGTCGATGTGGCAGTGCTGCTCGGAGTGGGTGTCGGGGTGTGGAGGATTACCGGGCAGGTGACTAAGGTGTTTGGTGGTATGGGTCCACAACGGGAGACTTCCGAGCCCTCTAAAAGTGCATAGAATTGAATGTGTCCATGTAGAGTGTATTTACCGTTGGCGCTGTTTCAGGCGAATTGACCCTGAACGAGCAGACCAATTCGCGAGCCCGAGCGGCGCCTCCGGAGACCGGCGGCGCCTTCAGGAACTCCGGCCATTCCTCTTCCCTGTCTGCAATGCGAGAACAAAAGCGTCGGATCAGCCCTGGACAGGCAGTGACGGCGAGCCTCACCCTCGCCGCATTTCTGCCGCCAGGATAAGTTCGGCCCAGTGGTCTTCTTGATCCATCTGTCACCTGGCAGCACCACTCAACAATAGACCGCATTCAGGCATAATTATTTCACTCCAACTTCACGTCGTTCTTTCCATGCCTACAACAAACCTCCAACTCCCGCATCTCCTCTCGTTTTGCAAGGCCTTCGAGCTGCGAACCAGCCGCTATTGTCGCGACGTCAACGTAGCTTCCAAAAAATGGGCGCTACAGAGCGGCTTCATTGACGAAGACGAGCGTCGCAGAATCCCAGGCCTCCAACTAGCCCTTCTAGCGTCGCTGAGCAACCCTACGTGCGACATGGCACAGCTCTTGCTGGTCACCCAATTTCTAATTCTACACGTGCATTGGATCGACAAGACGCCGGAGTCGGGCGACGCAGCCTTCAACGAGTTCGTACGATCCATCGTATTGGTCCCGCATATGTTCTCACGCATCCACCCAGGATCTGGTCGAAGCTGGTACGGACAACAACAACCAGCTGGCACGCGAGGTTTCAGCATCACCTATCCGCGTTTCGTTCTGCTCGGGCCCTCGTCGTAGTGGACAACGAACATGCGGTCGTGCCAGACTTGGAGTCTTATGTTGCGCTCCGCCAAGATTCGGCTGGCGTAAAGATGCTCTTTGACCTGATCGAGTACGCTGAAGGCCTGCGTATACCTGACAAAGAATACTCGTTGCCAGTCCTCCGGCAGCTGAGGCACGGTGCATGCAACATCGTGGCGTGGCTAACCGTGAGTGCAACCTATGTTCGACGCTGTGAATGCATGAAGGCCACACTAATCGCGCGCGAAGGATATTGCCTCGTTCGCATATAAACACGCGCGAGGCGACAGCCATAACCTCGTTGTCGTGCTCATGGCGGAGCGACGCCTACCCATGCAGAGTGCGATGCACGCTGCCGGCACGCTTGTTAAGGAAACCGTGGATACCTTCCTCGCAAACGAGCGCCTACTGTCCGCGGAGCCTGTGAGCGCGGATGTACGACGCTACGTGCAGGGCCTACGCGATTGGATCGTCGGCACGACACACTGGCTCTACGAGACAAACCGGTTCTTCGGGGACAATGGCGACGACGTGCGCGATTTGGGCTGGGTCTTCTTGTCGAGCTGAGTCTGGTGGGATCGGATGCTGAGCGCAGGGAGGAAGTAATGGGACAATTGCCCTGTACAAAGTGCTTCGGGATTCGGAAGGAGGTGTCGTTGCTTTTGGACATTCGTTCGCTATTACCTATACTAGTATATTTGGAGTGGTCGACTACATATTATTACATTTGGACTCATACTGTGTTCTACTTTTTGAGGAATGCCCACAGAACTCTTTACAACCAGGGCAACCACATGTTCGATGATTGGTGCAGGAGAGCTAAGAGTTTCGGACCCCGTGTATTTGTGAATGTAATCATGGGTAAAGACGCCACATAACAGGAATAGAAAGATTATTAAGGCGCATGCTTGTTTCGCCGCCCGCCACAGCCAGCGGCGGTGGCGGTCGGGTACTCGTCCCGGGGACCACGTAGAGGTCTGCGCCAGGACGGACGAGGAGCGTCCGCCCTCCCCCGGGTTACGCACCTGATTTGGGAAGCGAGCCTTCAGCTCACTTGAACGTCTGGTGCGCGCTCTTGGTCTGAAACAACTGACAGTGGCACCGAGAGAAACCTTAAATAGGCTATAAGTTAGTGAGATAGATAGATATAAGTTAGTACGAATGAGACAAGGGATAAGTTAGGGATAAGTTAGTGACAGCTGAGAGAGACTCTAGGTAATATTAGATATAAGTTAGTAGAGCCAGGCAAAGAGAGAGAGAGAGAGAGAGAGAGAGAGAGAGAGAGAGATCGAATCTGCTGTATGTTAGTAAAGCTACAAAGGAGAGCATAGGTGAGAGCATAGACATAGTAGGAACAGGCATAGAAATGGAGAAACATATGAGCGCACGAGACGTATCAACTTCCCAAATCAGAAAACCAAGAGCTTGAAGAGGATTCGTGAAGAAAGGGAAGGGTATTTGAGATGGCTGGGTATACCGCTATGCGGGGCAGAGTATGTCGGCTGGAGGTCGTGGTCGTGGTCGTGGTCGTGGTTGAGGAAGGATGAACCAAAGCGCACATTATATACGCACGAGGTTAGGCGCCCGAAAACCAGTTGATGCCGCGCACGCCTCCAACTTGTGGCCAGTTACCATTGTTCTTCTAAAACGGTCAATACAAGACCGTTATGTAAGAAAGGACGATATACTATACACGTCTCACACGGAGCCCTTACTACTATTCTGCTTCTCTATTTCTGCTGGGTTCATCACATCTATTCCCATTTCCTCCGCTGTACGCATTACCGTCAGTGGCGTTACACAAAAGCTCTGTACTCCGTGGCTCACCTGCAATCTGCTTGACAGGGCCGGTAAACCATTTCCGTGCGCTGATCACCCAGAAGCCGAGGCTGTAAGTCACCACAATCCCCACAGCAACGATCGCGTAGTTCAATGTCTGCGAGTTCACTGGGTTCTCCTCCGGCAGGATAAATGCGATAAAGATAAAACATATCCACAGGACTGCGCCCGTGGCAATGGGGCTGGAGAACGCTCCTAGATGAAAGGGCCCGCGGACGAACCGCGACCGGTAGATGACTCGTAGAGCGATGGGGATACCTGGAGGATGTAAGTGACTGAATGTCAGAGATCGGGAAGTGCTGACCATATGACACGTAAAGCCCGATTGTGGCTATACTCGTCGCGGCAGAAAATGCTACTGAGCTCCCTAGACTGGGCAGACCCAGGATAAAGCTGAGCGTGCATGCCAACCATACTAGGAGAGGCGTCAATGAACGTCCCTAGCTTATGTGTGGTGCTAGCGTACCTGTTCTGATGGGCGACTTTCGCTTCACGTCGACCTTTTGGAAGAATTTGTGGCCAGGTATGCCACCATCCCGCGCAAAGGCGTACATCATTCTACTATTTGAGGTGACGGAGAACGTTCCACACCAGAACATTGAGCCAATAACAATTACCTAAATATTGTGTGAGTGATTATTGGAAAAGTGTGCGTGAGGCTATTCATACCATGAGCACAATGGCGCCTTTCTCCCCTACAGTATCTAGGAAGATTTGCGCCACAGGCTCGCCCGTTGGGGAGGAAATGGTGTTGTCCAGATCCTGAATGGAGAACAGCAAGCCCAGTAGCAGGAACCATCCGAGAACGGCAGAGACTCCAATGGCCATCACAATACCGACAGGGCCTGACATCGCAGCGTTGCGTGTTTCCTCTGTCATCTGTCAGGCTAGTGTCAGCTGGGCTCCACCAGCGGTTGCAGCTGCGCTCACATGTGCGCTAGCGTCAAAGCCTGCGACTGTCAGCGTCGTCCTGTGTGCAGTTCAAGCAACCTAAAAACTCACCAGTCAGCGTGTATTGCGCCATAAGAATACCAACAATCACGACGTATGCAGGACTAGCTCGCTCGCTCCATCCTACACCGTTAACACCAGTGCCGTCGATGAACGTCTGGAACACAAAGTGCCCCGTCTGATGCGTTGGCGCCTTCGCTAGGACGGCGATAACGAGCGCTGTCGTCCCGAGCGCGTGCCACCACACGGATATGTTATTCAGATAACGGAGTAAGTGAACGCCAAACGTATTGATTAGGCCCTGCATGATGAGCACGGCAGCATAGATTCCAATCGTCGTTTTGGCAGTGGGGACGAAGTCGGTGTTGAAGGTCGCCAACGTCGAGATGAAGGTCGCACAAGCGAAGCTATGACAGATGAGACTCACTTTGCCGTAACATTACAGGCTTCATACCTGATACCAGTCGTCACAGCTACCTGTCCCAGGAGATTGAACCAGCCGGTTATCCAGGATGCAAATGCAGCGTGTTCGGGTTTACACATCATCGCCGCCCAGAAATAGGGCCCACCGCTAGTTGGATGAGCACTGCAAACCTCTTGAATAATAGTTCAGCCGAGTTATATTCCGGCGATCATCCCCTGCACTGACCGGCCATAGCTAGTCCTACAAGCATTGTGAAGCAAGCTGTGAATAGAGAATACATTTCAGTCCATATCCCTTATGAGTAGAAAGCCCGCACTGCGACTTGCCCACGACTATCCATCCCCAAACCATGACCGCAGGTCCCCCCGTTGTCTATAAAGTAGAATCAACGTGTATACAGTGATGTCAAACCAAGGCCTCTTACCAGACCATACAGAAAGAGGGAGCTAACCCCGGTTATGACGCTGATGATCGAGAACGACACACCAAAATTCTAAACCAGATATTCAGAGTTAGTTTGATATGAACAACTCTCAGCTTACTTGCAGTAGACCGAGCTCCCGCCTGGGAAAACTTCAACATACGCCGACATTACGTATCACGCTTCTCACCTCAATTCCTGCTTATAACCCATCCTGGCGAGCTCGACCTCATCCACGTTCTCTTTCACGATTGTGCTGACAACTGGTTCGTCTTTCGAGCCCATCGTGCTGGCCATGGTAGAAGGAAAGGCAGGCGGGGTGAAATATCGTTGCGCCGTGCGATACCTATATCAGCTCTGGGAAGCGGTTCTCCATGATTTGATACATAGGGCGCCTCGAGATCTCATCTACGAATGAGATAACGCTCGCTGAGTTCTGAAGCTTCCGCTAACTTTGCACGATCGTCGCCTGCAGGTCCGGGCGTTCTGGGTCCGAAATGCCTCGATAGTCGCCCGTAAACTGCCTATATAAGGTTGTCAGTAACACGGCCTAACTCATGAAACTCTGAATACCTTGCCCTGCCGTCGAGACGGCGTTTCCACTATCAGCTATAGCAATATTATGCCTTATCGTAGTACGCCAAGCATGTGATACGGATCTGCCACGATCATTTAAGAGGTAATTCGAGATATCATCGACTACGCAGTGGCTACGGAACAAAACTGATTTGACCAGCTAAATCAAGACACTCAGCCGCCGTCAACATTGTCCCGCTATGTATGTGGAGACACGCAACGTACCGTATATGGGCATTGGACGTCAATATCACAGCCTCGAACATCTGCTCAGATTCTCCTGTCATCGTCATGGATAACGGCAGAACATGAACGTGCACTTCGGGATCCAGGAACGCGAGCATAAAGTGCTGCTATTTCTGTTCGTCTCTCGTTGTTCACCCCCGCACTGTCGCCGCATTCTCACACCGATGTCGTGAATGGTGCCCATATAAATATCTAGGGTAGGTGGGTCTTCATGTTTTCTTGGAGGATGGAGGCATCATTGATGGGTTGTGAGACTACGTCCCTGCGATATTTTATCACCAGTCTTTGTTTTGTGTTTTGCATGGTTTGAGGGTATATAGGGTCGACTGACGTCGAAGCAGGCTCATACAATCTTGTACGGAATCCAGTTCCCATAGAAGAACAGAGGTCCTGTCAAACAAACAGCAGGACATATCAGCCACACTACACCGGCAGTATCGTGGAAGATAAGTGGTACAGCATCCCATAAATTTCGTAGCGCAAGTAAGCGAAGGGTGGTCAAAAGGCAAAGTCCTTGACGAACAACACTTGAGTCTTGACAAAAAGTACGCGTGTTGACTGAAATACGACGTCGACCGGATAGAAGAGCAATGCGACCAAGTCTTCTGTAATCGCTGATCAGCACACGTTCGCCAAAGTGAAGCGCAGACATACATGGACAAGGTCTTTGTTTTTAGCTTTTTTGAATTGTAGCAGCATGGCACACAGTCAGTCATGAAAAGGATGTCGTACAAAAAGCTAAATATCATGGGATCTAACTATACATACAACAATGCAGTACATGAAACGGTTTAGCCAGAAGAGGGGAAAGCACGCAGGTCCGTGAAATCGATGCAGCAACCACGACGAGTCCATGAGGTGTGTTATACTCACCTTCACGCATCATCACCATCTTCCAGCCCTCGAGCATCTCGCCGGAGTTCCTCATCCTCAACGGTAATGGGATCCCCTGGTTGTTCGTCTCCCTCCCCTTCGTCTTCTTCGTCCTCTTCTTCCACGTCCTCTTCTGCTCCATCCTCTGGCTCTAACATTTCCTCGTCCTCCTCAAGTGCATGTTCTTCGTCGCCTTCTTCATCGTCTGGCTCCGCTTCTGGCTCTGACTGGGGCGCCGACTCGGGACGCGTTGCTGATTGCGCACGACTAATCGTGATGCTGGGCACTTGGGCTCTTTCCTTGTTCTTGCCACTCGACCGTGCTGAGATAGAGGTCGAGACAGACGCAGATTCTGCTTGTGACTCGCGTGCCTTTCCTTTCGAGGCACTGCTGCTCTTGCGGTTCTTGTCCGCTTTTTGTATGTCGCGGTAGACTGAGACAGACGCGATACGTTCAGTCAGAGGTTCTGCGCTCAACATTAGACGACGCACCATCAAGCTCCTGCTGGATCATCTGCACCATGTCGCCCATCTCGACCATCTCCAGAGCTTTCAACACATCAGACGCAGATATGCTCTTGTGCTGTTTCGATGCAGCAACCTCGTGTGCGGTGGCAGCTAAGCATCGCGTCAACTAAGATGATGGGTGCATAGTAAGTGGTCGGTAGCGCACCTAGGTAGTTTATAAACACAGTGGCTGACTTCTGGTAAGACAACACCACATCTTTTTGCATTTTGGCGTCCTCGGACATCTGTTTAACCACCCACAGCATCAGATGAGTTCTTACACATTTCTGCCACACAGAAACGCGAAAAATATACCCCAGACCGCGCGAGCTTGGTGATAAGGCTCCGTGGTAGTTGAAAGTTCTCAATGCCTTCTGAAACTGCATCCTGCTGCGCCTGGGCAGATACAGCGGATGTAGAAATAGTCGGAGTGCGTCCCATTTCGTCGCAAAGACACAAGTATGTCAACTTGGTCGACAATTGGTTAATTCGAGGACTCAGGGGTGATGGCAATTAGGCGCTTATGATGGTGGCTCGCACGTGATACGTATCTGAAGTTCATTTGAATTGCTTTCGAATCTTGATTGATTCTCTTACACAACCTGCGACGTTTGAAACACCAACTAGAACTTATGTGGAAAGGGCTGCTCTGCTTATGAATAAGGTCGGTGATGCGTCACGGGCACCTTCTGAAAATCACAGAACTCTAGCCCTCGGTTTCGATTTCGGCTCACGGCGGATATGCAAAATTAAGGAAACGAGATCGCGAGTTATTGATCGCTTCGGGGTGAGCATTCACCCGCATGCGTCGTCGTCATGCTTAGATGTCTCCTGCATAGAGGGATCGTCTGTAATAAATAATGCGCATATATGCTCTCTGTACTGCCGCATACACGGCGCAACGCGGTGTTCGTGACCGCGAAACACCTGACTTTGACGCGCGGTCAGGCGCGCAACGCTGACAAAACAGATCATGCGGATCTTGTCGTGCGCGCAGCTTCGGGCACATTCCGGGCATGAGTCGGGGTTTCCAGCCGCGGGCAATCTCACTATCTGCCTCCCCCCACCGACCGCCCCCCAAGTCATCCGGCGATCCCTCGCATGCCGAAGGCACCTTCAAGCACGTTCTCGCATGTCCATGGCGCGGGCTCGCCTCATAATGCTCATGTATTGAGGCGGAACCAGGTATGGTAAACGCATTCCATACAGGACTGCGTTTGACGTGGTCTCTATTTCAGGCCTGTCACCAGTGTCGCAAACGGAAATTGGTGAGCGATCATCCTGTTGTTGACTCATGTAGGTCTCATCGGGCGTCGTCACTTCACAGAAATGGTTGGTTTGGTCGGCTAAATGTTACAATGTATCGCTGATGGGGTATACTGTGACCCTCCCGTAGCGACGCAAGACGGCCATGCTCGACCTGCATCCGTTCGCATGCGTATGCTGTTGCGCATGCGCCCGCAGGAGCGAAGATGCCGCCCCATCCGGATTGCACGTACGATGTCGGTGAGTAGGGAGCGGATGACTACAGAAGAAGGGTGCGCTGAAGTACCTCAGTACCTGAGATACCTGCGCTTGAGCAACGGGACCCACCAAGGAGCCGCCTGGAGAAGCTAGAGAACCGTATCAGTAAAGCACATCTTTCATCGAGTGCGCGCACATGCCAACACATCTACAGACGAGCTTGAGGCCTTGCTATCAGAGCAAAACAAGGGCGATGGTCAGTCCGTGTTGTCGCCAGACACCGCTACCCCCAGCCGCACAGGCTCGAGCCTGTCGAATGGACGCACCTTCGTCGACTCGCCGCCATCCTCGATTGGCCCTTCGAGCATCGAGCAGTCCATCCCCGAGCCTGTTATTGATCCTATTCTCTCTTTGCCTTTCCCACCGTCGCACTACAACGGGTCACTGGATAGCCTTGCAGATGCTGCGATTCTCATTGAGAACCCCGCCGCGTCCGCTCCCTCGATGAACCAACATCATGCGTCCAACACGCCTGCTACCGGGGAAGCTGTCAACGCGGTATTCAATACACTAGTTAGTGACCCCATAATGGATGCGGTTTCCACTACTTGGCGGCGGAATTTGCCCAGCCCGGATCTAGTCCGACATCTGTATGTTACCTGCCACAGTTGGTCTGTTAACACTATGAAGCTTATGACACGTCTGCAGGGTCGACGCATTTTTCTCGTGGGACGCTGATGCGAACCGACTTTTACACCGGGCGACGTTCATGGCCTCGCTTTTGTTCCCGCCGACGCATCCAAGGTTCCCGCTCAGCGGGCTCTTGCATGCCATCTGCGCAGTTGGGAGCTTGTATACAGCTGCGGTGGATCCTACGCCAAACCCCACGGTATCTGCCTTCCCAATGGGTACGTATCACGATGATATTGTTTTAGACGAATAGAAGAATGGCTGATATCTTGTAGACAATATCTTCGATGGAAGGCATAGACAGAGTGAGCAGCGGCCGTTCTCCTTTGCCGAAGTGCAGGCAGAACACGCTCGCCGGGAGATCGAGATGTCCGTCGAGATGGGCGAAGGGCTTTTCCAGGGCTTACAAGGTTTGCATGTTATGCTCATGGCTCATGAATTTTCGTTTCATATTATCTCCCTGCAGCGGAAGTTCTGCTCAGTTCGTGGTATTGGGCTTCAGCCAAGTGAGTATTGCCGCTCGATACTATTGTTGCCGCGATTGACGGTCCTTCGTTTCTTTGTAGATGGTCTGAGGTGTGTCTGATGCAGATGGCCGTTTGTGTATGCGTCCTAAAAATCCGGATAGGCCTTTATGTCTGCCTCCCGGTCATTACGGTGTTCGATCCCTCTTGGGCTGAACATTGGGACCCCTTTCCACGCTCAGGATGGTATGCGTCCTCCCTCCATCATCATTCAAGCCAAGACAATCATGGAAGAGGAAATGCGTCGTAATACGTTTTGGCTAGGTCGGTCTAGAGTCTTGTTACTCAGATTCTCGACTCATTGGCTCACGGCTCGCTCTTCAAAATCAGCGTATGCCCTCGAGCGAACAATGGGCTGCGGGCACGGCTGGGCTCTCATGCTCGATGACAAAGACATCACCCAAATGCTGCCTCTGACAGCGGCACAGTTTGAGAATGGGGTGAGAGGTCTCATGGAGCTGCTGACAGCGGTGCTCATGTCCCCTCATGTTTAGGAATATGTTCCTCCCGAAAGACGACAATGGTCAAATCACCCCGATGTGCTGCTTGTCCATCCCCCTGATCAGACCGACGCCTTCGTGCTCTACATCAAGTCGACCATGCTCATTTCTCGCGTCAAGGTCTTTAACTCGCGGTTCCGCGCCAAATTCTATTCAGGGGATCCAGAGATCGTCAACATGAGATACACCTCTCTTGGAGAGGTCGATGGACTAGACCCGAAGGACATCCGCTGCGCAACTGAATTTGCGGAGCTGAGCCGCCTGGTCGGCAGGTTCCAGGACTCAATACCGTCACATATGCGGCATCCGGTCAAAGATGGCGTTGTCAATGCGCATCTCTTCGCTGCGTGCACGGCACCGTTACTGTGAGTAGCTGAGCTTTGTCATCTCTTGATCGCGGCTAAGCGAAGACTAGCGCGCACATACTCCTTCATGAGACGCATGCGCACGTTGGTTCGGAGACGTGCCAGTCATCTCTCAAGATCCTGAACGGCTCAAGAGGTATCTTGAATCTCGTATACGACATTTATTCGACCAGCCATGATCTGGCGCTGCTTGGCCCGTTTGCCATGGTACGTCTGCATGACTCAACAGTGATAGACTATAATGCCAACATCTATATAAGGTCTCTTGGTTCATGGCTGGCCGCGTGCTGGTGCGCTTCCTCCGCGAGGCTTTGAGCTCTGGCTCAAATGAACAAATACAAGTCCTGCAGATGGAGATAAGCTTCATCCGGTGTGTCCTTATTTGCTTTGTACATCTTCATGCCACCTGATCCAACTCCACCGACAGCACGGTTCTGTCACAGGTTGGAGAACGTGTTGCGCTCGCTCGTACGTCATCTACGAATTGATGATCACATAAACTTAATCCTCACTGTCCACAATAGATCGTTACAGCAAGATGCTGTACGACTTCATTTGTGCGAACTGTGGGTCACAGCATGCTACTCCAACTCAGATGCTCGCTCTGCCGCCTCGGGGAGGTATGGGGTCGCAACCCGTTCCTGGAGGCGAACCGAACACATCGGATCTGGCGTTGAACCTGATGATCAACAACGACCATATCTCGAGATGGTGACCATGAGGGATGTGCAGCCCCCTATATGCATATATACCAGGTATCTTTTTTATTGGATAAGGACAGTTGTATCATTGATGCGTGGATGTGCCATATAGGCACATTGTTGCATTATGTGTGTATATATGTTATTTAAAGTGCCTTCTATACTACTCTTCGTTCCTGCTGTAGGCCCCCTCAAGACCGAGAGGTGAGGCTGTAGATTATTAGTGTCAAAAGCATTGTATTACCAATGTTCTCCGGATGGTCCATCCCCTGAATGCAATCAGTCTGTACAGGGGCGGTGCGTGGGCGTGCATCCTAATTTCGTAATTTGAAGCTTCCAGTGGTCGCTTTCATCACTCTGAGTGACACATCTGCCACGGGTCAAGACTAATGCTGGCTGGTGTCAGATATCAGAGATGTTTACGCTGGCGGTACGCACAAGACGCATATTCTGGCAGGTTCGCTAATTGTGGATATTTGATATGACCAGCCGCAAGCAGTCGCCAGAAGCCACCTCGTCCGTTTTGAACGTAAGTCATGACATCGGTACGGAAGCAAAGCGTATTGAAATCGAGTGACATCCCGTTCAGGATACTGACTCCGACAGGAATCACCATTTTATCATGGTACCGAAACCGAGAGCCAATCTCCTAAGAGCATGGCAAGCCAGGCCCACTGCGATCCGTCCCCTGACCTTTCTCAACGCCGTCACGTTTCGCCTCATGGGGCTCTTCACAGTTGGTCTTATTCACCGTATCCACTGCGGCAAGAACCGCGAGCAAAACAATCTAGACTGGATCTCAATAATTTCAGCATCGGACATCTGCAGCTCTGTCGAGGTACAGAATGCCGTGGCGTGTGGTACGACGCAATATCTCTCCTGTCCTCGCTGTCTTCATTACTAGCTTTCTCCAATCGGCTTCCTCGTTGTCTGTTCGCGGAGGTAACTGATCATCTTCGTGTCCCCCGCTGACCCTAGTAACGACTGCCTCCAAACCAGTACTCAAAATATCCTGCTCGAGGCCAAGAGCATTCCTTGGTTACCCACTGTCTATTGCGATCATATCGAGGATGATGTCACCTCTACATCTTCTACTGCCATTGCAAATGATGCACTCGCATTTATTATCATATTATCCACTCAACGTTAATGCATGCAGAGTTTGTTCAACCATGCCATTGTCCACTTACCAAAACTCAAATGAAAGCAGCGACGATGGTGCCTGGCTTATATATACAGAGGAACCTGGTATTTATTTAACCACGCTTTATGATCAGCGATTTAGGGACTTCCCACCAATCAAGATTTATCAGGCTACCACCGCAATGCTATGCTTCCTCATCGTCAGGATCATGCCACTGGGCTTAGCTCTTACGTTCGGTAGCGAGGGATGCTGTGATTCTTCTATTGTAGCATGCAGTCAGGAACGAGCTCGCAAGCTTGGTAATAGATCGCTCGCGATGTAGTACGTACCGTACGCGGTGTAGTACACCCGTAGACAAACGCGCTCGCCGACCGAATCCCAGCTGCACCAACTTCTCCCATCCACTGACGTAATAGGACGTATACTGTATGGTGATGATTCCTGCTGTTCTCAGGAGCTCGCAGCCGCAAAAGTAGACTCAGAGGCGTCCTGTTAGTCTCCTGAGAGCAGAGTAGACAATTTCATCAACCTACGCCGGCTCCGGATATCCATGTCCATCCTGTTGCCAGAAATACAGACAGTCGAGACTAGGTACGTTCAAAATTGCCGCTTAAATACGGTAGATCACATGACCGCGTATGGTACTTACACCGTTCGTTTCGTGCTTGATTCCTAACATGTTTACTGGCTACCAGCTGGATCAAATACCGTTTAATTTCTGTTGTCTTCAGTCTTGATCCCTGCAAGGAATCTAACAGATCCCTCCCGAGTCAGACGGCTGATGACTCCTCCCTTCTTTGACAGATGCGCGCCGGCATCAGCTGCCAGGGCCCAGTGTCAACGGGCGGTGTGTCGCGCAGTCGAGCTGTGATAAAAGCCCTATGGCAAGAGCAGGCGTAACAGTAGCTCCAGAAATTGAAGCCCAAGCTACCCCCTGGCCCCAACCATCGTCTATCTACCGTGATGCGCCAAGAGACATCCGCAATTCTGAAAGCTTGGAGAGCGGGGCCATTCGCGATCCTCCCGCTTTTCTTTCTTCACGCGTTCTCCTCTGGTCTGACGGAACATTACAACTTTGTTCTATATCAGAACGTACATTGCGACGCATATCGCACGGGGAATGTTTTGAACCAGACATACAATCAGACTCAAGACAACATGCTCTACTGCTACTCTCCCGACGTGACTAATGCCGTTTCCACCAGTATAGATCAGCAGTACCTTGCTCTGACTATCTTGGGCGCCGTCATGTCTGGAGTATATGGCGTCTTGTGCGATTCACGAAGCAGAAAGTACGTCATGGCCGCAGGAACGGTAGTCAGAGCCATCGGTGACTTTCTGTTATTTCTTTGTCGTGAGTCGGGTGCTACTTCAAGGCTTGGTTGCTCACCCCGCTTGCTAACCTGTGCAGTCAGATCGTCAGTTCTTACCACTGCCAATGCCGTCCTTCTTACTGCTCTATTCACGGGCCTGGCGGGCGGGAGCTATGTGGTCCCTACAGCCCAATTAGCATTCCTTACCGATACATCATCCCCTACCAAGCGGACTCTCGTACTCGGCCTCGCCTTGGCGATGATGCCAATAGGTACAATCGTCGCAGTCATCCTTTCTACGGCCGTGACCGCTTTCAAGCTATATGGCGTAGTCTTCAGTGTTTCAATGATTACCCATTCGACATACCTCGCTTATCTCACTTTCTTCCTGCGCGAACTCCGCAAGCCACCCCAGCTCGAAGCGGTTGCTCTGGAAGAAAAGCAGTCCTCCATGAAAAAACGGGTATCAAACGGAGCATTGTTCCCACCAATGTTCATGTTATTCTCTGATTCAACACTTCGCTGGCTCGCTACGGTGGCATTGTGCCTTTCACTTGTATCGCAGATCCCGAGCACAGTTCAGTCAGAGGTCGGCGAACATCTAGGTGTGATGCCTCTAAGAGTGAGTCGTCAGTCTACTTTTTCGATGGATAAACCTCAAGCATAGTGCTCACAGCTCCTGGTGACTACGTTAACCGCCATCACACTAAGGGTATTGGTCGCATTCTGCCTCATTCCTGCCTTCGTATTGCTATATCGAAAGTATGCCACACGACATCAGAGAACGCCAATCCAGGGCTGGACAACGCAAGACGGGCTATCTATCGTGGATATTGAACTCGACAATGCTCCCAAGGGCACAAATCTTCACGGGGACAGCATCGTAGACGTTGGATCTGGGAAATCCAGGTTCGATTGCAAAGTGGCAGTTCGACAGGAGCTATTGCTTTGTCTAATATGCTTCGTCGTGAAAGCGATGTCGCTCACTCTGATACCGCTAAGCAGGAATGCATCTCACTTCAGCGTGGGTGAGTTTCCAGTAATTCTCTTGGACAACGTACATGCCCTAAAGTTTTGCTCAGCATATATCGTCGACGCGTTCAGCTCTCCTGTAGATGCCTCTCTCTTCACGCTCACCACGCTGGCAACAGAGCCAGGCCAGATTGGACGTGTCCTCATGGGTGTTAGCGTGATAGAAGATTTCGCGCATGCATCGCGCAAGCCTCTGCTATCCGCCATCTCCAAAGCGACTTTGGAAAAAACACCATTCACAGCGTGCTGGTTCGCTGCGGTGAGTCTGCACTGCTATCCTGGATCTATTATGTCTCATCCAGGTGCTCAGGGCATTTGCGTCCTATGTGCAGTCATGATCGCGAGATTACGTCCTGAGATGTTTCGCGAGGACGATAGGCACTGAAGACTTCAGCGGAGCCGCTGGAGCGGCGACAGCGATGAAGCATCGGGGAAGGGACACTTACGCTGTAGTCTCGTTTGCATCCCACCAAAATGCGATAAAAGGCAATCATATCTCTCTTGAGGAGGCTCGAAATGCCAGGTTTGTTGACATCTTGAATGACCTTACGCTGATTGCTATATTCGGGGGGAGGGTCATTAAAAGTAAGGTATACTAGGTGTGCATATAAAATCCGGGGTTTTTTTTGCACGCAGACTCTTCGTCTCATTATTGTACCACTGCACCTTGCCATGATGCTTCGCTGAGAGGAAAGACGTCGTTGCAAGTAGAACGACCCGAATGGTCTCCTTTGTAATTTTCTGACCGTTTCAGGTGACCGTTTATCCCTAGAGACGGGTCAGAACTGTCTACTATCTGATTTGCAGAAGTCGCGGTTAACCCATCTGGCCTAGGTTTATGACAGTCTATGCGAGATGAGATCCCACATGCCCTGTGCCTCCATATGGTATGTATATTGAATCCTCTATTCGAAACGCCTACTGCCAGATGCCTCGTATTCCAGAATTAATGAAATGTGTGAATATCTCCATACGTGTGACACGCGACAACTCCGAGTCAACATACGTGAACGCACACTCCTCGAAAACTCCACGCATCGAGCACTCAAAGACAAAACTCCTTCAACGAAGCATTGATCATCAGTAAATCTCCCATGGATGTGCGAGCGCTCACACGCTCGGAAGCGAGTCATGCGCCACAGTGGCGCTCACCTGGGAGAACCGCGCGTATCGAAAAGGTAACGCAGCCTCATTCGCAAGTATGCATTGCCCCCTGACCAACGTGTCAGCGTTCTCGATGACGGTCGAAATGAGCGTCAGTCCTGACAGAATCTAAGGCGGTTCGAAAATTGCTTCATAGAAGCACCGGTCGTCGGCGCCTGAAGCACGCAGACTTCTTGAGCGTGTATGATCTTCGTCCGTGAACGAGTTGACGCGCTCTCACAATGCATAGCACTGACTCCGGTCGGGTCACGTCGCGCTACGCACAAATTCCGACGCCTGAGAGAAAAAACTGTTGTTTGCATATCCCGCCCCATGTATTTGATTTCATAGGTGGCCATATCTTCCTCCCCCCACAGCCTCTCAGCGACCTGCTGTGTCGCCCTCCGGCCACATACTGACTTCAGTGAATATTCTTGAGCTGCTTGCTGAGATTATTGTTCCAACTGTTAGGTGAGTATTTGTCCAGGATGTGATCGCAGGAGCTGAACTTCGACAAGCAGACGTAACTCTCAAGACGGCATTTCATAAACAGGGTGACCACCTTACATCCAACGTTGATTCGCGTATGGACTTGCTCACGACTGTTGCAGTTGCGTTGAGGTCATCCAATGGAGGTTCTACTTGAACATTCCATCACGCCCGACTTACGGGTTGCACGGGTTTTTGACGCATGCAGCGGCATACCAGCAGAAGCGCATCCTGGACGTGCTTCTGCAAAGTTGGCGGCGGATCCACAGCATGCCTCCCGACTCCTGTCTCATAATGCGAAGGTCCCAATCAATCGTCTTCCTGGCGAGCTATTGTTAGAAATTTTCTACGTCCACAAGCTATCTTCAGCCCTCCGTATCGGGTTGACGCACGTCTGTCATCATTGGCGCGAGCTTGCGCTTACAAGCCCGCTCCTCTGGACCGCAATATGCTTGGAGGATAGAGTCGAATTTGTCGATGCTTGCCTCCGACGCTCTGCGGTCGCCCCTCTGACGATCGTGTCTCGTTGCTACATAGAGGACGAGCTCGCCCTCATGAAGTTCATCGCGCCGCACATCGGTCGAATACGCGCTTTGGACTTGCGGTCACTATCCACCTCTGCTGCTGAGGCGCTCATGCGTCAGTCACGCGGCTCTAAGGGTTTAGTGGAGAGCGTCACCTTGCACGTTCATCCTGGATGCCGCTCGTTAACCACTCCCACATTCGTCCTTGCGAGAAACTCTACACGCCAACTTCGCTCTCTCTCTTTGGGTGGCATCGCGATCGCTGCGCCATCTTCGCCGCTGACGGCGCTGACGCGACTGGATCTTACAGACACATTCCTCGCATCTACCGCAACGATTGACGACATCCTCGATCTACTGGAGAATTGCCCACGTCTGGAGACTCTGTCCATCAATGAGAGGTGTCGACGCTTCCCAGTGAAGTCCAAAAGCGCCGATCGAAGAGTCTCGATATCCAATTTGCGTCATATGCGGCTAGCAGCTCACACGGCCTTGATCTCCGGCCTCCTTAGCTGCATCATACTGCCTTCAGACACCACCCTAGAAATAAAATGTCTAATCAGCACTCACGGAGTATCTCCCGCCTCCATCAGGACCGTCCTCCCGGACGGACTTGGTGGCCTGGGCAACCTCGCGGCCATTCGCTCTCTACACGTCTTCGTCTCATCCAATATCTTCCGCATCAGAGCGTACGACATGGTTGGGTCGGCTGCAATCAAGAAGCTCGATATGGATTTCGACAACGATCCGCCGGCCGACATGTCCAGCATGCTCCCCCAAGCCCTTGTCGAGCTCGCACGGAGCTTTACCTCGCGTGGAGTGCGGGATCTACAAATCGTCGGTGATTATGGTCTGCTGATAGAAGGCGTCTGGCGAGAGGTGTTCGCCCACCTCCCATACATCCAGCACATCGAGATCGGATCGCGTGGTACGGTCAACAAGCTCTTTGCAGCCCTTCTTGCACCCTCGTCCGCCGATGCTACAGATCCGTCTTTCTGTAGGGATCTGAGAAGGATATACATTCGAGGAGCTCAGCTCGATGTCGATTCCGCGGCTCGCATGTCCACCCTGGTTGCAAATCGCTCACTGCAGAACCGTCGGCTGGACACGCTCGCCCTCTCCTGTACGTCTGGCAAGGATCACCTCTATAGAGATCACATGCAGGTTATCAGAGAGTCCGTTGGTTCCTTCATTTTCAAATGATGGTGAAAAGGTATGGCCTTTGTACATTTGAATTCCGTGGACTTATATTCGTATCGACTTTGCAGAAGTCGTCTTTGGGTTTCTAGATTCCAGTTCAGGGAAGACTGGATTTTTATGGTACGTTGTACAAATCGCTGCCCGATTTCGTCAGTTTGGTCATATCGGTGAAGGGTTAATATGATCCGTACATAGCGTACATTGCGATAGACGCGATTTACAACATTTGGTATTTATCTGTTTGTCAAATAGAAGAGATTATGGCAAGCTGCGATCAAGGACAAAGGAGACTAGATGTGCTGGGTGTAAGAGTTGGCATGGGTACAGAAGACTTGTGACAAAACCCGGATATGTTGAATCGAGTTTGCGCAACAGTGAGATAACTTCTCCCAGACGGTGAGGGCATTGCGATTTCAAGTATTACCTAATACTCGTCGCTCGGCGAGACAGACGACCGTGAAGGGGGCACCGGCACAACATCAGCGGGGAGACCTGCTTCTTTCCATGCGCTGAACCCGCCAATTATATCCGTCGCATTGAGCATGCCTAGATCATGCAAGGACGCTGCGGCAAGCGAAGACGTGTAGCCTTCCTGGCAAAACACGATGATACGTAGGTCATAGCGATTCGCGACGGCCAAGCGATGCGCACAGCGTGGGTCGAACCGCCATTCGAGCACATTGCGTTCGATGAAGAGCGAGCCCGCGATGCTGCCGGAAGCGCGGCGCTGGGCGTCTGGGCGGATATCAACGAGCACCACTGGCCATGGGTTTGTGCTATCATGGGCTTCATCGTATGCCTGCCGGGGGGTGATACGTTCAAGGCGCGCGCGAGCATCAGACAGCAGCTGGGATATGCTACGGGAGCCCGGAGGAGGGGTGAGAGGATCCATGAGAGCGCGCGATGCTTTGCGGACGACGTCCCAAAGTGCGGCGTCGTCAAACGATGTGACGCCGAGGCCACGCGCTGTGCCAATCCATATGCCGCTCTCAACGGAATGCGTCGTCGTCACTCGGCCAAGAAACTTGGAGGCGATGAGTAAGCCTGCGCGTTGTACAGCCACGTCGTCGGAGCCGCAGAATAGCAGTGGTCTGACCTCCTCCGGCACCGTGCTCGGTGCGGCGACTGCAAAGAGGTGGCTGCTCGTGAGGACAGTTCGCTTCACGGCAGAAGCGACGAGTTTGAGGAAGCGCTCATCAGAGTGGTGGGAAAGGGTTGTGACGACGCCGACTTTCGTGCCATCGACAGTCTCCGCCTTGCGAAAAGCGCGGAAGGCGAGGCTTTCTGCTACCTGTAAGCGAACGTCGTCCAACGTCCGGGTTGGAGATTGGTTGATGCTTGCGTGTGTACTCCTTGATGGTGAAGTCGGTTGCGATGCCGGCTCCTCAGCGCTAGCGTCCTCGATGACCTGGAGGGGCGCGGGCATCAAATCTTGGGTGACGACTTGGCCGTAGCTCAGCGTTGATCTGCTTGTCGACGAGCTAATCTCGTGTACGGACGACATCGTTCGCGATCACTGTCTACATTATGTCACCGAAATCAGTCTCCATCGATCGGGTTAAGAGGCTTAATCTACAGACCGGTGCATAAGACTCACTTAACGAATTAAAAGGCAATCGCTGCGTGAGTCCATGCAAAGATCTGGCGACGCTGAACGTGGTCAATGGTAGAGAGCCGTGTGAATGTACCCACATTGGGATCCTGATGATTGAGGTTTCTTATAATACGCTGCTCGGGCGCAATGAAAATGACATCGGGGAGAAGACGAGGGATGCATTGACCTCAATGTGGCGTCAGGACTCAGAAGTTACGGGTGCATAATCACATCTATGCCTCGTGAGCTTGTTGGAACAGGGGTTTCAACGTATTTTCGCTACGCAAACTACCAGGTCAGGTGGGTGTGAGCATATAGTGGCGGAACTCCAATGGATAGATACAAGATAGATATGAGATTAATGTGAGTGAGATTATTTCGATATTCCTAGCCGCTGTTCAATCCCTCCTCCAAAACTAGAATCGGGGCCGAGCTTGTCGTTACGCGTATGATCCGCAGGAAGAGCCCCGAACAGAGTCGGGCTTGCGATGAACACGTCGATGCTCATGTCTCTTTGACTCCAGCTCTGAGACACAATCGCCTCCACTTTATCGAGGGCAGAGTGCCGCGCGTTGTACCGCTCTGCAGGCGTTTGGCGACCAGATAAGGATATTCCACTGGGAGATGGTGATGCTGCGCGTGAAGGTGGCATATTGCTATGCGATTTGGGAGAAGTCGTGACGGCGGGTGATACTCTAATTGACTTTTTTAACCGGTTCCGATAGGGAGACGCCTCCGAGGACGAAGGGAAAGGTAGCGGGGGCGGCTCACGCTTCGTGTGGAGCTTGTTAGTCTGCTTAATCGCAGGCGCAGCAAGCTGAACACGCGTCTGAGCCTCACGCGAGGGCAAACGCAGATCGAGACTTGGAGTGGACCCGAAATCCGGGTGAACGGAGCCGAAAAACAGCTTTGATTCTAACGGCGGTGACATGATGCGCGGCGGGCTGGACGGCAGAATGGAGGAATCGATGCGCGCCATCGCCGGGAGCGGAGCAGTCGATGTCGACACACGCGATGCTACTGGTGTCTGGAAGGGGCTGCTCCTCTTTTCCACTATGTTCCTGCGCGCAGGCATCGGTGTATAAGAGTCAGCCGCAGGTGTCTGACTATAAGATGGCAACCAGGGAGAGAGCCAAGTCCACGAGGAAGCATCCTTGATCAGATTAGGCCTATTCCGAGCTGACCCCAGACATTGTTCCTTAGCGAGAGCGTCCGCCTCAGTGTCTTCCTCGATTATTCTGAAGCCAGGCCCGGAGAGTTGGGGAGACACAACGCTTTCACTAGTCTCGGTGTTATTCCTTCTCGGAGTGGGCATCGGATGAGAGAGCAGTGACTCGTCAACGTCATCGACATTCAAGTCCGAGTCCTTCCTCCTGTGACCCTGTCTTCGACTGACCCTCCGAGTGGGCGACTCACGAACCGGGAGCGGATGGTGACCTTCCACGTCAGGTTCCCTCTGGACACTCTCCAACGGTCTGCGAAGGGTACCAAACTTGAGTCGTTCGAGGATACCACGACGAATCGACGTGTGCCGGAGCGTGTCGTAGGGGACATCATCAGCTTCATCAGATAAGCCAGGGGACCTCACTGCAGCAGCAGAACGTATAGCAGAGCGTTGCCTTTCCACTGATCTACTTGACGCAGCCACAGATGAAGAACGATCTAGGAAGGGATCGTCTTCTCCGGGGATATGTCGTTCAGTGGCATAGCGTGCGGATGACGGCGCAAGATGAACTTGGGGCGGCTGATCGGCAAATGTAGATCTTGTATGCGATTTGGATCGATGAGCGGAGGCTGATCCCGCGCGTCCTAACCATCCACCGTTAAGAAGGCTTCGCGAATGAGCTGTATGCGAACTAGTATCGCCAAGTGAAGCAGAGTCCTGCGTTGACGCTCGCATGCCTTCTTGACCGCTCTCTGAAGGAGGCGCGTAGCAGGGTCCAGGCTCCAGGGAGGCCTCACATACATCCTGACGCTTGGGCCTTAGAACACATAGACGGATTATCAGCCACGCAGACAGTGCACCAGCTATTATACCTAGCACAGCAAAGAGAGGAGCCAGGTAGGCCACATCAAACGAGGAGCTATGAGATGAGCCGGTGCTTGAACCACTAAGGGTGGTGGTACTGGCAGGGGGCAGAGCAGTGATGTGGATAAGCGACGCTGTAGATGTACCAGAGAGGAATGTAGTAGTCACTGCAGGACGAACTGCCGTCTGCACAGAGCTTGCCAGGAGACTTGTGAGACTGTTGGAACCAGTAGTCGCAGAGGTAGAAGATGTTGTCGTAGCAGGGGCTCCCCAGGATGGATATGGCCACCAGTCAAAGCTGGACGTAGAGGTTGTCATAGCCGCTGTTGGTATGGCCGTGGCTTGTCTTGCGAAGTGGGGTTTCTCAATGCCAGATAGCGTAGACGTTCTCGGCTAATGACAGGCTCGTCGATTGCCACACGCGAGCCAGAGTGACTGGCAAGTAGTAACAGTGCGGAGAGTGGAAACAAGATACTGCAAATTGCTTTTTCAGAGCATTGCGATAATCCAGAGTCAGAGCCCGAGTCTTGCAACTGCACCTCTCTCCAGAGGCTGACAGAGACCGGATGCATTGCAATCTCGGCTGTCAGGCCTGTAACAAATCCTAGAGGACGCATCCGCGGAAATCTTCCAGCCAGGAAACTCCTGTTCGGTGTAGCCTTTAGAAAATGCTCACAGGCCCCAGCAAAGGAACAGAAACGAGGTAGTGTAGTCATTTAGTTAGGCATGGCATCGTGGTCAACGTGTGGTCAACGTTGCACGAGTTGTGAACAGTTACATGTAATTTGACTAATGGCTAATTACCGTATCTTGAAATGCAAGTGTAGTAATCTAAGCTATATAAGTAAGCATAACTCAAGTCAGTCTTGAAATCAAATCTAATACGCGTCTTCATATTCAAATTGACGTTCAAAACTACTGTTCTGTCTCGTATTTATCCGACTCGCTACTAGAAACCACCGTCAGTCAGAAAACTCATCCAATTTGCCATCAACATCAGCAGTTGTAACTGCCGTTCTCCTCGTCAAGCGCAAACTTGTCTTGCCACACAATACCTCTGCCATATTGTGATACTTCTCAGTAGGGATGGAAGGGTGTTCGGAAGATCATACAAAGCCTGGAAGGCCGCTTACGGTCCAGGTTTCTAACATCATCGCATGTTATCAGCACCCGAAAAATGCTTCGTGTTTTCGACGCAGTTGATAACATATTTACATGATAACGTGTCGAAAAAAACTCTCGGTTAAAAATCTAGGGGTTTTCCCGGAACAGTATTCAGAACTCACTCGAATGACCTTCGAGTTGTTCGCACTGTACAATATAACTCAAGATGGAAGCAGATTATCTGCTGTGCGTCGTTACCCTATCTGCAATCGTTGCTCGTCTTCACCAGGAACGCTAGAATATCTTCTCTCGAGACGCTGAAGTCGCATCTCCGCTTTCTCCTCACGCTGCGCTCGAGAGAGGGACATTACCGCTCTCTGATACTTTTTCGCTTGTCGCTGGTTCAGAATGGCGCCAGCAAGCCCAACGAAACGGAGTACGGCCAGCTCTATGCAATGGAGGCCAATTGTCCTCACTTAGGTGCCGATATGTCGCATGCCGAAATTGAGGAATGCGATGCAGGCCTCGTGGCTGTCTGCCCTTGGCACCGGTAAATGCCATATATTATGCAATTGCAATTGTAATATTGATGACTCCCTCAGTTACGATTTTGACCTGCGTACAGGAGAGAGCGAGACTGGCCTCAAAGCCTGCACGTACGCTGTGCAGGTGCGCGTAGATGAAGATGGCATACGCCGTGTTTGGGTAGAGACACCCGAGGACGGCACTGACTGGCGGCTCGTTGAGCTCAGACCCGTTTCAGAAGGTGCAGACACATTGTGGTTTGACGGGCCGCACAGTGCATAATCTCCGACAACGTGCAGACTTTGCCGACCCCCCTCCTCCCCCAGATTTGTCGCGTCTCACGATCACATCATCTTCCGACGATAGGTCGATATCTTCTCCGACAGAGCCTGTTGTACCTGTTGAGGGCGCTCCGACGACGCTGATACAGTGGGCTGTCCTTATCCTTAATACCTCCAACCCAACCCTTAAGGTGGATGACAACCACAATGTTCCTTCTCACGTTAAAAAAATTTCGCATATAGGTTGAACGCACTCGGCATGCAGTGCAATTATTCCGCACTGGACAGCTCAAGACGATCGGTCATCGGTCGGCAACTGCACCTCGCCCTCCGGACGTTCCCCCTCGAGAAGACAGCTTTGCGCGCAATATGGTCGATCCCGCCAAGGTGACTCATCGCAAGAACAGGGCCGCCATGCTTCATGCCCTGGCAAACATTGAGCAATGGGCGTCAGTATCCTCGTAGTTGTTCACTGTTTCTTTGCTCATATGGTTCGTTTAGGATTGATTTAGCGTGAGGAAATAGTTCTACACGGTGCAGCCCTGGTTCTCAAGTTCTCTTTCTGATAGGTGGGACATTATAGCTAGATACGGTCCCGCTCACCCCGACCTTCCGCCCGCGTTCTTCTCTGACTTCACCAAGATGGCGTTGGATGAGTCTAAGCACTTCTCGTTGCTTGTCGCACGGCTCGCGGCGCTCTCCCCCGGCACGCCATATGGGTCGCTTCCCGTACATGCGGGTCTCTGGGACTCCGCGAGCGCGACTTTCAACTCACTGCGTGCAAGACTCGTGATTATCCACCTTGTGCACGAGGCGCGTGGGCTAGACGTGAACCCGGGCACGATTGCGCGCTTCCGACGAGCGGGCGACGACGAGAGCGTGCGCGCGCTCGAGGTGATCCATCACGACGAGGTGACGCACGTCACGACCGGACACCGTTGGTTTACGTGGCTCTGCACGAAGCAGGGCGTTGATCCGGTGCAGACATTCAGGGACGAGGTACGGAGGTGTTGGAGGGGCGATGTCAAAGGGCCCTTCAACGTGGAGGCTCGAGAGATGGCGGGGCTCACGCCGCAATTCTATGAGGATCTCAAGGGTGAAATGCCGCTAGTGGATCAGGCCAGTAAGTAAGGTTGTTGTGTGTGTCTCGTAGGCGAATTACTGCTGGGTAGCCACACAACCAGTAAGTGTCGGTGTCGTAGAAACGCTCGCTGAAATTTCAGGGAACATCTCGTGTTCTACCCGTCAACTAAACATCCTACCTGGATCAGTGTTTTATGTTACTGACACCTTTGTTACCTGTCAAGCACGCCTGTGTGTTGCACTGTATTTCGGCGATTGCAAGTAGTCGGCCCGGAATTTTCAATTTCGATAGCACTCGTGTATACCGAAGGTGCCATGACTTGCGGTCATTTACTGGACTGCCTGTCCGCTTCTGCCGCCAATGTCTCGACCTTTGAAAGCGAGGAAAAGAGGCTCCGCAGTGGTGCGTTCCGAGAACAATTCCGATAAAATCCAACCCAGCTTCCCGCTCCGGATCAGTATATTGTGCCTTGCGTTTATCTCCACAGCACCGAGGACTTCAGTTCAACGCCCGCATGGTACAAGCTATCGCCGTTTACTGCATTGGATTGTATTGTCTCAGTGTGGACAGCGGTACGTGGTCGCATCGTGCCCATCAAGTGCTCATGAGGACTCAGGGACCTCCCTGTTCGGCAGCCACGCCACTAGCAACTCACATGTTTGCTTATCCCGCTCTCACCTGCGAAATGTCTGTATGAAGCACACGGGTCTCCAAGAAGGCATTGTCACCTGTGACGGGCCGCTGCATTCTTACGTATGTATCTAACTATTTGTCTTCTGCGTCAAGGTTCCCAATATGCTCCGGTCGCGGCTGCGATTCGGGTGCGTCCTCTTAACAATCTTGGTCTCTAAGTTTGTTTCTGTCACATACTGTTCGAAGATGTGTATGAATCTGTTCCGTTGCTCTACGTACGTAACCCTGGCATACTGCTGGTCGGGCCCCATGCCCACTATCGGTCAGTTGACAAGCCTGCTATCCAACTATGCCCTACGCTACGACGTGCTCTCCCTTCGTCGAACACGCTCCTTCGAACCCTCCTCAGCAGCCCCGACGCTCTCCCGATTCTATTCGACTACGTCAAGGCAACCGGCCGCTTCGTGGCCGGGACGGGACGACCGAACCAGAACGCACTCCGAGCAGCACAAACACAAGGATAGCCTTACGATCGCACTACGATACCCAATTCCTACACACCTGCCTCACACCCCCCCTTTTTCCGTATTCCCTTTCCCATTCTACTCCCTTCTTCCGCCTAACCCTTACTGTACAAATTGTAATACCTACCTACTGCACCCTAGTTACTCTCCCTCGCGCCCACGCTTCCTTTCCTCACTCTCACACGGTTCCCCACATCGACAGCAACGCACTGCCCCGATCGCGCTCCCAATGACCTCATCCCCTGTGAGACAGACAGCTCGCGCACCCCCTATCGATGCTCCAGGACAGCCCATGATAGATTACTCCCTAGCCCACTTATGTACATGCACGTAGTATCCGGCATAGGGCAGCGCCCTCAAGCGGATATAAAACTGGATTTTTAAAAAATAATAAAATAAAAAAACTATGCCCTAGACACACTTCGGCAGTACCTTTCTCGGTCATCGCTATCGTGAACCAGAATAGTTCCAATCTGTCAACGAGGAAGACTTCTGAATCCGACAACAATCCGGCCTTGTTGGTGGCATATGCTTGTGTTCGTGAAGTCCCAATCACTGCGTCCTCCCTTTCTAATGACAATGGCAACGATACGGACAGAATATGACATCGTTACGTACAGACCGCATCAGACTGCTTGCCAATGGCATTCCTATCTTCTTACTGGACGGAGGTAAGTTATCCATGGTCGCGGTCGTTCAGCAGATGACCATTCTCGCTGCGGGTCCAGATAATTTCTCTCTTGCACATGGATGCCTCATGTTGAACGGTGTCGACCTCTCGCCTTCAGCCTCGACAACTCTAGGTCTTGATATTGCGACACACTGATTGGACAAACATCGTAAAAATAGCTTTCAAGAAGTCCGTACAATGCACCTATCCACTGCTCTCCAAGCGCCCGCTTTCAAAAAGTCCGTACAATGCGCACATCCACTGTGGGCTCTCCGAGCGCCCTAGCCGCTCTGAGCGCTGAAACTCACTTCTCGCAGACCATATCAGACGCCCCGTCTCGCCTCGCACCGTACATCGCCTTGACCGTACAACAACGAGCGGCATCGCCATGCAGCTAGAAGCTTTGCTCTGCTTACGGAATGCTAGAAGCTTTATGTCATCATCCGCTCAAGAGGACGTCAAGGCTTCACGAGACATTCGGCAACTCCAGTCGCTGATTGCCTGGACGTGGCTAGAGCTTCTTAGCTTCTGCGGCAGGTAACGTTACGACACTGAACGCCGACGCGCAGGAGCAACACCACGTAGGCGTTTAATTGGGTATCGGGCCATTGTGCGGAATGACTGCATCTCGTGTTTCTTGCTCGGCCTCAATAGGGCTCTTGCGGAGACATCGCATCGCCATCAGACAAATAGGGCTCTATTCTCTTCCTTCTTGTGCGTCTACGCGCATTCACGGGAGAATTTGGTGGCTGGTGCACATCATAACCTCGGATGCTAGTTTTGACGCTGATTCTGCGTCTATTGTCTCATCGTCGCTGCAGTGTGCGCTGTAGCGCCCTCTTATCACTTGGCAGCCTCCGATGAGCTCGTAGCTTCGCTATTACTGGTTTGCCTCGTTTCTGCCTGTGCACTAGGGTGGGCAGAAACTTGCTGCGGCCACAAACCTGTGCTTACGATCATGTTAGTCCGCTGATAGCTGGGTGGTTTCCGGTGCGCGATGTTTTACCGAGCCATCCGTTTTGACATCTCCAATGAACTGGCGAACAGAGACTGCCATCCTTGTGCAGGCTGTACGCCCGGTGGCACGAGAAATAGAAATGAGTTTACGCAAGTCCTTTGACGTTCGCCAACAGCCGCATAGCGAACTTGCAATGGCGAAACAATATTGATCCCGTGGTTGATGCGCAACGGAAGCAAATGACAAAGTTCAGCGCGGCTGGTCATTCTTCCGGGTTTAATCGCGATCGTACGGGGCGGGGCATAGCCGCTCTCCATATTGTACTACTTTAGCCTCGGTATGCGTCTGCAATGCAGCGTAAGAGCTTCCCCGGATCTGAAGCTTTGAATGACATACACACCGGCATTGTGCACTTTATTCTGAATATTCCCGGGCTTGCACACTGAGAAAAGGGGCTGTGGCGCCGGCGATTCGCGGGCGGCAAATGTGGTACGTGGGTTCTCTCAACAAACGCTGTGAAAACGCATAGCAGTGTTCTGGCTTCTTTTCGAGATGATCTGCTGCTCGCATCAGACGTGCTGAATCAATTGGTGTCGTGGGAGGTCGAGCACTCAACAGAGATCTACCGTGACAATGGATGTTTATGTAACGCCGGCCCGGAATGAATAAGTAGCTGCATGCAGTGGCTTTCCAAACTCCGCTGGCTACCGAGCGGTAGTGTGTCCATGTAGCTCTATGTTAGAGCCCCTTAGGGACTAATTCCCCCTGTTTCCCCTCGTAAACATTCTATTCAGCACGCAGTCACTTAATATAAAACTTTCCGCAAAACTACAATCGTGGTAATACCTACTAGAGTATGACTGCAGCGCGTCAGCCACAGCGGAGTTTCGGAAGCTATTCCTTAACTTCAAATCACACACGCGCTGGTGCTTCAATTCCACTTCATCCATCTCCATCTGTTTCCATGTAAATGTAGTACGCATAAGCTTGTCATGAAGCTCAAGCTCAGCAGCAATTGCAATTGTTCAGTTTGTTCTTCAATCTCTCTGGATTAAGTCGGAACACCACGACCTTCTACATTTCAAGGAATTGCCAGCGTCAGGTTCTGGCGTCTCTCGACGGTTTCCGTTCAGGTTTCATCATTCCCACCCCCTGCTGATATCAGCATTATCGGGTAGTGCTATCGGTCATTTGGAGGACGTTCGGTCAGGATCACAAGGAGCAGTGCAGGGAAGGTTGGTTGTCAGCATCTCGGAATGTCGCCACCAATTGCTTCCCTCGTCTCTCCCAGCACAGAGCCTGCTTCTGCGACATTTCTGGGTCGTATCGACAGCCGTGGGTACTGCGAACCGATTAGAACACGCCAGGTGGTCCCAGACAGCCTCTCAAGACTTGACCGTCGGACACGATCCCGATTCAAACGATTCGGCGGATTACCGACCATCCACCCGCCCCTCCTGTGGCGTACGTCGTGTTAACCATGTCGGCCAGCCAGTCGCAACTCCCGGTGCGAGTCAATGTCAGTCCCAACCCTACACTCCAACGCGTGACACCCAGCGCGGCGTTTGATTCAATCAATCATCCACCGTCCATAGTAGGATCCGGAGGTGAAAACCCCCGGAATTCCTCAGGACGAGGTGCGTGTCGCCCCCAGCCTTTGCCCATGCCATATACCCGCACCGCCAGCGCTGACCAGTCCTCCTAGACAACCGCTCCCCCTGGTCTTTACCGCTCTCGAGCTCAAACACTCATCTGCCCGGCTCTCAGCCGTCCAATACGATTACCACGCCGCAGCCGGCTATGTTCGGCCCACCGCCTATGTTCTACGATCCCGAGCAGGCCGTCCCCCCGCAGGATTCGGCGAGCTATCAGCAGTGGGTCGACAGTTACGCCCAAGGTGGCCATCAGCAGCTCAACTACAGCGCCTTCGCTGGCGGTAACATCGCGCACATCCAGTTCCCTGATCAGGCGCAGTCGCAGCAGCACCACCAGCATGCAGCCATGCAAGATATGTCCGCGGGCATGATGCAGCAGCCACCACAAAACCAGTACAATTTTGTGGAGACCCAGTATGTGCCGCAGAGCACCTTCGATGGCCAGTACGCAGACGTGCAAGGGGCGGCAGCTGACCGGCCCCAGCGAGCGCTCCCGAAATCAAACCGTCGGCCCCAGCTTCATTCACAGCCTAACCTGTCGGATCGCGGCTTCCAGCACCCCCAGCAGCCGCAGCCCGGCCAGCAGCTTACGTTCCAGCACTCCGAGACGCTCAACGAAGGCTACGTCTACGCACCGGCCGCCCAGGCTGACCCGCTCCCCCAGCAACAGTACCAGTTCGCCGCGTACCAGCATCCGGACCAGCTCAGCGTCCCCGGACCGTCATACACGCCCTCGTCCGAGTCGGCATCATGGACTAGCACGGACGATGGGACGATGCAGATGCAGGCCTCGCTTCGTGCGTCGCCTAGCTATACGCAGACGGGCAAGCGTGCACAGGACCGGACGGGTACGGGGAAGAAGGCGCAAGGAAAGAAGCGGCGCACGGATGAGGGGCCGCGCGGGCGCGACAGTGATTCGCAGAGCGACGAGGATGACGGGTTTAGCATGATCAATGTGGGCATGCCGCCGATGATGGGTCACGAAATGCCAACGCGACTGTGAGTGGTCTTCCGTCTCGCGCGGCGTTACACCGAGCGACTCACTGCTTATCGTCCTGCCCATTCAATCTACACCTGCCGTTCCCGCGACCGTTCCATGTCATGTCGCGTCATGCGCCACCGTTTCGCTCCCGGCGATTGCTTTCGCCGTGTAACTCTGCTCTTCGGACCTGCGTTGTCCCCGGTGCTGGACTCCCTCCTGGTCATGTTCGTCGCGGCGATTGCCTCGTACGCTCGACACCACCAGGCCCGGGGCGTGCAAACACTGCAAGAAACTCAAGGCACGCACATATTTCTCTTCTCCCGCCTCATGCTCCTGACACCGTTCTGATTCCTCACCATGCTTGCTGTCGTCTGCTTCGGATCGGACTTTCCTGACACGGCGTATACAGATGAAGTGCGACTTCCCCAAAGGCGAGAACACGTGTAAGCGCTGCAAATCGAGTGGGAACACATGCATCGTCGAGGGCCGCAAGCCGCGTAATGCGCCAAAGTGAGTGTCTACATTCTGTTAGCTCTGCAACATTCCGGCGCTCGAGGGAACCACGATTGAAGATCAGCCCCTCGAGACACCACGCACCCGGGGATGTGTTGTTTAAGTATCTCCGACGATGGCTGTCCGAGTTACTCCACTGCATCCTGCCACTGTGATAGACGTTTAGTCCCGCCGTCCAGCCTTTTGTTATTATGCGTTTCGTGCCTTCGTCACCTGATGGGGATGCGATATCTGACCGTCTCTATCGCACCAGCAAGCGCGAATATCTGCTTGCACAGATCCGCCAGAAGGATATCATCATCGAGAAGCTCTTGCGCGAGGTGTGTCCCCTGCCATGCGCGCTTACCGGGCTTTTATCGCTGAACTTGGTCTTGCAGCTGCACAACCCGTATACTGCGACACCGCTGTCCATAGCATCCTATCGTATGGCGACTTCGCCCTCGGACAAGAACAACCGTGACGTCATCGCGTGGCTTGATCGTCTCGAGGAGAGCGTTGCGGCGGCGGGCGGGTCTGGCGGCGCGGACGCGTTCAAAATGGACTCGCGCGGTCAGAACGACGACGACGACGACTCTGATGGCGAGCATGAAGGCGCAGACGCCACGGAGCGCGGGAGCGCGAATGGCCAAGAGGGCGCGGACGCGCCGTCGAAAGACGGAGACGACACGCTGACCCCGCTCCCTGACACAAGCGTGCCACTCGGCCTGCTGGCTAGCCTGTCACTGTCGGCGCCGAAGAACGGGCAGACGAAGAAGAAGAAGAGCCCGCGCCGCGCCGGCCGCGGGGACAGCTCCGACGACGACGATGTGGTCAGTTTGCTCGTGAAGTGTGCATCAACTGCCGTTAACATTGCTTGAATGTATTCGCAGGGCGTCGCAAATGAGACGTACTTTATGCCAGGTGAGCCACACCCCCTCCCTCATTCCCCAACAGGCGCTGATATTGCTTTGTTAGGACCCGCGTTTGATCTGTCCATTCGTGCGAGCCTGATCGAGAACCATAGTCCCCCGGAGATCCTCGTGCACGGACTCGTCACTCCCGATGATGTCGATCATCTCTTCGAAATGTCAGCCACGTTCTATCACGCTATTGATGTCTTTGCTAACGCGCAGTTGACAGCTTCTACACCAAGCTCAATGTGAGCATTCGTCCTTTTGCTATGGGGTGTTCATTTCCTGATGAATTTCAGGTCCAAGTAACATTGCTGGACAGGGAAATTCATACCGTGCAATCCACTTTCGCGCGTTGTCCATTCCTATTCACAGTCGGTAAGTGGATATACATTAACGACAAAAGCGACGTACTCATACATGCGCTATAGTCTGCGCCATCTCATCTAGATACTACAAGCAGAAGTCGGAGATCTATCCCATCGCCATGCATTTTGCGCGGCGTGCAGCTGCAGATGGCCTGCTCAACGGATGGAAATCGGTTGAGCTCTCCCAGGCTTATATACTCCTGAGCACGTACGCGGTTCCCGCAAGGCGCTGGGAAGAAGATCGGAGCTGGTTGTACATTGGCCTGGCAATTCGGTGCGTCGTGATGGAGTTCCTTTCACACGTCTACTCATGCGAAATCCAGCATCGCGACGGATCTCAACCTGCACCAGATCTCCACGATCAAACCCAAGTCCGACAGGCAGAGGCGCGAATTGTTGAACCAGGAGCGCCTGTGGCTGATATGTCACAACCTCGATCGCTCGATGGCCACGCAGTTCGGCAAGCCGTCGACAATCAAGGAGGATTAGTGAGACCCGAGACTCGATTCATTCCAGTCCTTGAAGCTCATCGTATACCCGTAGTATGATACGCAACGCCGAGAACTGGTACAAGAAAAGCCCCTTGAACAACCCGGTGAGCGATAAGCTAAACGACATCCGTCGGTGTGCTCATCGATCTCGTCAGTGGGACACCGGGCTTTGTGCCTATACGCAGATGCTGCGTATCATGACACATTTCCATGATGAGATCTACTCGAACCCCAATTCGCCGACGGGCTTGAATCGGGTGGGTCAAACTTTATGAGCTGAATGAGTTTCATATCGTGCTGAAGATTGAACCTAGTCGCTCGACTTCCGTGCCGTGACACTGGTGCACGACGAGCAGCTGACGATATATTTCGACGAATGGACTCGTAGATTCAGGGAGGATACAGATCTGAAGGGTAAGGAAGATCGACAAATGTGTCGCCGAGTGAGGTCTGACCCGTTCTTTAAGACCCAGCTTGCGCCTTCCGGGCCTCGCTTCTGCCATTGTACGTTTAAATTTTCCATTGCATCCGATTTGTCTCACAGGGCCCTGGTAGCCTCACGAGTTATTCGAGGCTTGTCATGTATTCATTTGGGTTCCAACAAGCGTACCGTCGTGGATTCCAAGCGGAAGACAGGCTATTCTTGGATAAAGTATGCTACAACTGCACCGATGAAATTCGGCATCTATTCATGAGAAAATATCCAGTGTTTCGAATCCGCGAAGAAGGTCATTTTGTGCATGGTAGATACGTTGTGCCCTAGTGACTACATGCGCTTCTCCCCTGACGGTGCGCTTTTGGCCTGAATCTCCGAGTGCCGGATTCGTCTGACCCGCTTCTAGGCCACTTCGTCTTCTCGTCATTTGCATCCGCCTTCCTCCTGAAGGTACGTACGGTTCTCGTAACCGCCTACGGAGTCGGCACTAACACCTATTTGTGCATCTAGTTGATGCGACCGGAGTTCAAGAGCCTGATCACGCAGGAACAGGAGGCGGAGATTTTCGACTTAATCGGGAGGCTCATCACGACGCTGAGCTCGCCCGAAATCGCAATCGACGATCGCCACACGCCCAAGTTGCACGCCCGTTTCCTCGCCGGGCTGCTGACGAAGCATCGCCGAGACATAGCGACGAGCGGCCACATCCGCCCGCAGAACCCCGACCCTCCGCAGAACCTGGCACAGACGCCGCAGAGCTCGACGAGTGCAACCACGTACACAACTCCTGGTAGCTCGACGGCGGCCTCGAGCCCGGCGCAGCACATGTTCCCCGCAACAGCGCCGCAGGGGGGCTTCCAAGACGCTCAGAGTATGGCGAATGGACACATGTTCCAGGAGACGATATTGTCGACGGAGCCTGTGTACCAAGAGGAGACGGTGTACGCTGCGGGCACGGCAATGGATATGTCGCCGGCCAACGGACAAGGCTACGAGGAGACGCTGGGGGCCCTGATGGCTCTCCAGAATCCCGCGTATTGGCGCGACATGATGATGCCTGGGTGAGTCGCCCATCGTCTTTCTCAAAGTAGTCGTGAACTGAATTGTGCCTTGCAGGTACTCGTGGCCGGAGTCGCCTGACTTGCAAGAGCAGGGCCTCCACGCGGGCTTCGACACCGGTCATTTCAACCACTTCCAGACGGCGGAAGTGGGCCTGTTTGGATAAAGTTACCGATGTGTGTAGATAGATGTGGCTCTCTTCCCGTTCTTGTCTTCTTGCTCTCGTGCCCTGATGTATGGTGAGCGTCGGTGCCGTGCCTGCCGCAATGTTGTTCAATGTAGTGTATCAGAATCGTCAATCAACATATTTCGTCTGTAATTGTAGTGTCCACTGTCCTCATTCTTCTAATGCAAGGTCGTTTTGTCTTGTGGATTATTTATGTGGTCAACGTTCTGCCGTGTTGCGACGGAGATCTAACTGGTGGGCTTGGTTTTAGATGAACAGCGGAGGCGCCGCGGGCATCTTATTCACGTGTTTGTATGACTATGAACGTGACGAGCCTCAGCCACGACTAAGACAAATGACTTCTTCCAATCAACCCAAGAGAACGACAGTAAAAATAGCAGCATATCCTATTTTTCCACGCACGCTACATGAACTGAACTTGTGTTGCAGTGCTCGGTTATATTGAAGCGCCATTTATTATCTTGGGATCTCGACGCGAACAATGTCAGGATTGCGCATCATGTCTTCAAAAACGTCAATCAATCAAATGTATTTCTGAAGAGGTGAAGCTGGCCGCGGTTATATACATGGTTCTGTCAGCGTAAAAGCCGCTTCGGCCGCGGGGCATCCACTCACCCCAGCGATCGCGCGGACCAAATACGGCAGCTTGATGCCCGCCGAGACATGTTCCATCCTTTGGTTGAACACCGATGTGCTCTGAAACTGGGGCGAGCGGCACCACCTTCGACCATAATCCACTAGCGAAGGTTCCGTTTGACTGACTTGCACGCGATGCTCCATAAGGCGTTGAAGTCCCTGGAGTAATACTCCATGTCAGTCGACGTCTCTGTCATTTCAAGCAGGGGGTAGATACCTAGATAGAACGTCCTCAGTTATCATTCAGCAGCTGGCATACAGTGATCTGCTAAAAGCGCAAGAGACAACACCGTCAGTGCTCGGCTAGAATTTTGTTTCTAGCGTCAACAGTCATGGGAGCGGACTCTGAGGCGGTAAAAGTTTGATTGTGGTGAGGATGTGTGTTCCTAGTCGAAAGAAATTGCTTGGCCCAACAGCGATAGAGCAATGGTACCGACAGTTGAAGGAGAATCAGCGGTATCAACACAAGAACGCCCGCGGAAAGTCGAGACAGAACAGAGGAAACGCATTGAGGTAAAATATAAGGTGGTCCAGATCGACCTCGTAAATCAACTTGATGCGGAGAACACGATTCGTGAGTCGACGACCGCGAACCCGACATATCATTATTCCAGTGGTTCCGCCGGCGTTGCTCTCCTGAATGTCGGCCTCGAGCCGCAATAGCACCGTGCCAGACTTCAGAAATAATCTCCAATTCGATCTCTGGCAGGTCGGGGAGTCTAGAATGGCAGCGAATGACATATTGCTCATTGTATCTGTAGATTGAGTATCCGTCCCCAGGCATTGCCTTCGAGGTAACACGTAGATGAGGAAAATGTGCTCGTGTCCGCGCAAGCGCGTTCCCATTAAAAATATCAAGATCACGTACGCTAGAGATTATCTCCTGCTGGAAATTTTTGAAGCTCCATTCGTGATGTTCATACGTTACGCAAAGAGACAACCTCTCTGCAAAGAATTTGATCCGCAGGGTCTTGAGGGAGGAGAATGCCCAAGACAAGAGAAAACTAGAGTCAGGCACTCAAGTACTTGGCAAGGACAGTTACATCCTCTTCCCTGTAATTTACTAGACCCCATTAGTGACATGACTGAGTATTTTGAGAAACAGTATACGCATCAGCTTTTGTTCCTCTCGAGCGTGATGGAGCCGCGTGCGACCACGTGTCTTGTAACCTCCGCTGTGGCTGTGCTCAGTGTTGTCCTTCCACTTCCGCCACCGACGCTAGATTGCCGCAAGAATGCTTGAGTACATTCAAAAAGTGTTTGAAGGCAAAATAGTGAGTGGCGAGAACATAATCAAGAGTTAAGGTATAGCGTCTCACTCGAAAAAGGACTTTGAAGGACAGAACTTGGTTGAGCAGATCGTGCGTATCACGTTGTTCGCGGCGACGGTGAGTTGCAGTCAGTTTGCCTCCGCTTGCAGTAATTTGACATCTCACACTCACAGGTTGTGTCGTTCCTACTTGGATTTGCCTTGCAATCTCTGCAAGTTACCTTCGGAGCGTTTAGTGTAGTTACTGTCGCCTTGTTCTTGGTGAGTCGCTTTCAAGTTGTACGGAGCTGTGTTTGCCTCATGGGGCGTAGGTTGTACTTCCGCCATGGCCCATGTACAACCGTTACCCTGTTCAGTGGCTTCCTGCTCAGGATACCAAGGCCAAATGAGGTGCCCCTTCCTCCACCCGTGTATTTCTATCGGAATCACAAGCTTTTCATATGTGTATGGACATTGGGATCATGCGTGGTGAGCGGCCTAGCAGTGTCAGTTTGGCATGACTACTGGCGTAATATGATTTTTCGAGATGCGTATTTAGACAGCTACCTCGAGAGATTCGTGCATTAGAGCCTTGATACGACCAACTAGTCGTTATGAGTCTCAGCAACGGTCTCGACTTCTTTGTTGTCTCCATGGTCTTTTGAGGAGTTCTCAACATCCTGCATACTGTCAGCACGGTGTTCTTGTGGGAAAGCATGTTGAGAAGACGCAATCAGACACCCCCGAAATTCCATGCACTGTCTCCGTGTGTACTCCTGAAGGTATGGACGTGCCACACAAACTTCTATCCTGGATAAATCACACTGGAACTTTTAAGTAGAATCATTATCGCTACAATAGTTTGAATAATTGTTAAGCTCAGGCCTGAGTTGGTGCACCGATGGGCGTCTGCGGGTCCAGTCTCCGCATTTTGAGCACTCGCCCTTTTGTCAGGACATACTCGAAGTGATCTCCATCTTGAAGGATGATGAAGAGAGTCGAAGAAGTCGAATTATATGTATTTCCGTGTTGTAAAACAACTCACTTCAATATGACACCGGGCGGAAGCCCGCGGAAAGCCCTCAAATCCATTTCATCCATCCGTGACTGCTGATCAGACTACACTTTCATCAATTCGTGCTCTCCGCCAGAAAATTGTGAACAATAATGTAACAATAATATAGATATATTTGCGTGCGTTGGCAGTGAATGCGAGTGTTGAGTTCGGTGGCCAAGTACAATCCAGTTGACTCTGCTTCTTGGACTGTAACCACCACGACAACGAACACGCTCTCATACTCCTTACGCTTTTACTTCTTACGCTTTTACTCTTCTCACCTCCATGCAGCCATAGCGTTCGGCTTTCTGTTCACAAAACTACTTTACTTGATAGTCTGAGGTAATCGCAGTTGGCGCTCCCCGCCCGTCTGGGAACTTTGTACACACCACCATCATCTTCCCCGCCCCCGCTGTGCATGGCCACGTTTCCAGTATTAGCCGGCCCACCCCTGCCCCAGGTCGCCGAGGAGGGCCAGATCACGCCCTCACACGGTGGAATGGCCACGGGCCACGAGTTCGACGTCCCGATCTCGCAAAAGCCATACCCCTCCCCTGCACCCGTAACTCAACCCCAAGCCGTTCGCGAGCAGAGCTATCTACCGAACATCCCGCCTTTATCACAGTCTCCAGCTCCTCGGAAGACGTCCTCGCAACACAAACCCCGGCCGCTCTCGATGCCGCCGCAGAATAACCATGCGACCCCAGAGCGCGGCGATCGCCAGCACGCTGAAGATGGCGGCCGACGCGAGCGAGAGCAGGGCTCATCGAGCAAGCCGCGGAGCACGAACAGATTGCTCGGTGATTACACGCTGAGCAAGACGTTGGGCGCAGGGAGCATGGGCAAGGTCAAGCTGGCGCACCACAACATGACCGGCGAGAAGGTGCGTACGCATTACGCGATAGCTATTGCTACCCTCACACGGCGCTGCAGCTCGCTGTGAAAATCCTTCCACGAGCGTCGCCACCGAGCGGAAGCACAACAAATCCTGATGCAGCGGCGAAGCAGGCGTCGAAGGACGCCTCGAAGGAGATCCGGACGTTGCGTGAGGCGGCGTTGTCGATGCTGCTCCACCATCCGTATATCTGCGGAATGCGGGAGATGATCGTTCATGCGCACCATTACTACATGGTGTTCGAGTACGTGAACGGGGGCCAGATGCTGGACTACATCATCAGCCATGGGCGGCTGCGGGAGCGGGTTGCGCGCAAGTTCGCGCGGCAGATCGGGAGCGCGTTGGACTACTGTCACAAGAACAGCGTCGTGCACCGGGACCTCAAGATCGAGAATATCCTCATATCGCAGACAGGGAACATCAAGATTATCGATTTCGGTCTATCTAACCTGTTCGACCCCGTGAATCATCTATCGACATTCTGTGGTTCTCTCTATTTCGCTGCGCCCGAGCTATTGAACGCCAAGGTGTACACGGGCCCTGAGGTCGATGTATGGAGCTTCGGGGTTGTGTTATACGTACTGGTATGCGGGAAGGTGCCCTTCGACGACCAGAGCATGCCTGCACTGCATGCGAAGATCAAGCGCGGGATGGTGGAGTACCCTGTGTGGTTAAGCGCAGGTGCGTATTCTCGGCGTGCTACGGGCGTTGAGCATTAACCGCGGTGTAGAATGCAAACACCTACTTACGCGCATGCTCGTCACGAGTCCGGGGTCGCGGGCGCCGCTGTCGGAGGTGCTCAGCCATCCGTGGATGTTGCGCGGCTTCCGAGGGCCACCAGATTCGCATCTAGTGCATCGTGACCCCCTGCGTGCCGACGAGCTGGACCGCCAGGTGATCCGCGGTATGAAGGGCTTTGAGTTCGGCACGGAGGAAGAGATCGAGCACAAGCTGGTCGACATCCTCGAGTCTGACGCGTACTATCGTGCTGTACAGCACTGGGAACGCAAGCGGATGATTCCTAACGGGCGCAACGGAAACGGGCGTCACTGGGGCGAGTCACTCTCTAATACGTCGCTCGCTATCTCGAACGACGGCGCGCATAGCTTGAATGGCAAGGGTGATTCGCCGTCGAAGGCCAAGCGGCGGTTCTCAGGCTTTGACTTCTACCGTCGCAAATTCTTCTCCCCAAGCTCGTCCCCACCAGGTACGCCTTTCGCCGGGTCACCGCCAACGTCGCAGTCGCACTTGTCAAACACGTCGCTCGTGGACGCTGGCCAGCGAGAGCCGCCAGATCCAACGTATGGTTTCCATCCCCTTATCTCTATCTACTTCCTTGCTCGAGAGAAGATGGAGCGCGAGAAGGTATACGGCCCAGGACACTTCGCGAGCTCACAGCTGTCCCTCGAGTCCTCGCCTCAGCCCGATGCACCAGCTCCCGATGAGCATGTTGCGACCAATGCGAAGCAGCTCTCTCAGCCCACCGTACGAAAGAAGGACGTGGTCACCGCTAAGCCAGACTACAGCATGGCCCTTCCACGATTACCAGCACCTAAGAGTTCTCACTTTTCGGACATGTCTTATGATGCTTCGGCCGCGAGCCCGTCGCCGATGTCCACGACCTTTGCCGCGCAGCCCCGGCCCCGCGACGCTGCCCTTGCCGTGCCTAGGACAAATGCACCACCAGGTTCGGTACCAAGCAGCCCAGCTACGGCATCCATGCCGCGCGCACCACCTGCGTCCACTCACCGGCGTAGTCACAGCGTGTCAAACCGCCCAAATGGCGCGCGTGCTTGGGGTGCAGTGTTCGGCGGCGGCGGGCCAGAAACTATGGGCGAGGAGGCGACGCTACGGGTGCATCCGGACCCACTGAGTCCGCCAAGGTCCGCCGGTCCGGAGCGGACATCGTATGCCGAGCAGAAGGAGAGCGAGGAGGAGCAACGCGCACCACTTATATCCGCTGGCGCGACGCTGGTGCGGAAGTTCGGCAGCCTTTTAGTTGGCGCCAAGGGGGATGAGACAAGAAGACCTTCGGGCGGTGGCACAATGAGGAAGCCCAGCATCCTCACGTCTTTCACACCACGTCCATCAGCCGACGTTGGAGAGAAGGTCGTGGATGAACATGGTGCGTTAGTGAACGAGAAGAAGGGTCAAGACGCGGCACCCGCCAGCCCACAGGACACGGTAACTCACAGTCAGAGCCAGCCTATCGCGTCCCCTCATCGTCGCGCTGCCACCGTCTTGGATGCGCAAGGCCGAGCAGCAAGGCATGAGCGCAGGAATAGCGCAGGTCCTGCTCTTTTTGCTAACGCCGGTGGTGGTACTATCGGCCGTCATCGCCGACCCTCTACCGGTTACTCTACAGACTTTCGACGACCTCTGGCAGATAGGGTATTTGGCCGGACAGACGAGGAGGACGAGGGTGCAGAGGACCAGTCCGAGGCTACGGCCACCGGGGCTAATGGGAACGGTGGAGACCAATCAGCCCACCAGGAGGATGACCATGGTGAGGAGAAGGAGTTCAAGCCTGTTTATATGAAGGGGCTGTTCAGGTATGTGCTGGGTCGACGTACCCCATCGTAGCGTATGCATGGTAATGATTGTGAATTAGTGTCGCGACGACGTCAACGAAGCAGCCGGTGGTGCTGAAACAAGACATCAAACGTGTATTGGACCGCATGCAAGTGCAATACCGCGAGACGAAGACAGGCTTCGAATGCATCCACATGCCTTCAATTGATGTGGCCTCTGTCCAACCACCGCCACCGCCTGAGCGTCAACATCGGAAACGAGGCTCGGCCGGATCCAATGAGACGGATACTACCAGACGCTCGATCGTCCGGAAAGCGTCCAAAATTTCATTCATAGCAAAGGGTGCGAAGGATAAGGACCGCGACGGCAAGGAGAAGGAGCTTCCCAGTCGACCATCCGGCGGCACTACCCTCAGCGCTACAGCGAGCAGTGCCTCCTCGTCGTTCTTCCATGTTTCCTCAAATGCGCATACGGATACTGCGCGCTCTGACACGGTCGAGGCAGTCCCTGCACCCGAGGATATTGTTCGGTCTCAGACACCCAGTAAGGGGAAGATCCTCCCTCCGATTCCTCGCGACCTCGCAGGAAGTCCCCAGCCGTCCAACCCACTGCCTACCGGAGAAGTCGACCCTGATGTCTTTGAGAGCATCGGTGCTAACTCGTTGGCTGTCCGTTTTGAGATTAATATTGTCAAGGTGGGGATAGATCACCTTATGCAACTAATAAATACTGAACTAAGTCATACTTAGGTTCCCTGGCTACCACTACATGGCATCCAATTCCGCAGAGCTGGCGGTGATGGATGGCAGTACGGTATGCTGGCACGACGTGTTCTAACCGAGTTGAAGCTATGACCATGGTGACACATTTCTCCCTTTCTCTCTGGGCACTCCTGCAACGCTCTCATGACCAACCGACTCGTATCAGATTACACTCCACTATTTTCCGCTTCGTGTGGCTACTTCGCTCTCCCTTCTGTCTCGCTCTCTGAGTCCACTAGTAGACCATCGCCCCTTGAATTGTCTTTCCGATGATCGCTCTGCATATGCTGCTACTTATTCATACTCTTTACTTGTACCAACGTTATACCATCGGGATCCTTTGGTCAATCATAACTATCGTTCAACAGCGCATTCTTATTTGAGGCTCCAATATCATTGCTCGGAAGTATCGCATTTCTTTGAATAGTGACGGCGCAACGTGACAAGACTTAGGCTTAGATCGCGCGATTGAGTAAAGAATTTGATACACATGTCAGCGGCCACTTTATACCTGAATTTCGCGAATTCAAGTATAAAGACGGAGTTCACTGAATACCATATGTGGGGAAGAAGCATGTCATAGCAACGCAGGATGAGGAGTTCGCAACACACAAGATTTCCTACAGGAGTACAACAGCCCAGACCGGACGTATTGATCTTCCTTCCCTTGTTCTTGGACGGCGTCGTCATTTGTCAGCCCTTGTGCTATAAAAGCGAAGGCCATGACTCCTCAGTATCAGTCGTCAATCCCCATTGAAACTCTAGTCGGCTATGGCTACGCGCATTATTACGGACCTGCCCGTCGAGCTCCTTGTGATGATACTTTTCTTTCTCGATGCGCACGGTCTGATCAACTGTAAACAAGTCAGTCGTATCAAAACAGTGTATTGGTCTTAATCTGATCGTGTCCATGTTCGTAAGGTATGCCAAATGTTCCGACAACTTATACGCGAATCCACTTTGTTACAATATTTCTATGAACTCGAGCTCGCAGGCATGGCGGACGAGCCCTTGTGCCCCCTTCCCTACATGGAGAGACTGCGAAAATTACGCTCCTTGCAGCACATGCGCCGCACCGCTGAGCTTGTGCCAGGGACGTCCTTTCCACAGTGGACGACGCTTGTGTGGACGACCGCATCCGGTGGTCTTTTCGCCCAGGCGAACATGCGAGGCGGGATTGAGTTCATCCAGTTTCCATCCGCAGTTCTTGGAGTTTCAGAGCGTCGATGGTCTGTCTGCAGCGACCGGCTCGAGATGGAGATGGAGACAATGTGTATGGATCCATCACAGGACGTTGTTGTCGTGACAGGATGGGCCCGGGATCAAGTGCCCAACGGACCAGAGTAGGCAATGTTTTGATCACCCTTGTGCGTGTCTTTGATTAAGAAACAGGGGCCGGTACCCGGCACTTCGTATCCTGTCTATTACAAACGGGCAGTCTCATCCTCTTGCTGCTCGCAGTGAGATCAACCTGTCAGATACGGGCAGATATGATGAATTAGGCGAAGTCGAACTAACCCGCAGGGAAGGACGCCAATCCCGTCTAGAAGGCGACTACGTAGCGCATCTTGGCTCTTGGAACCATGAATATGCGGTTCTGGTGTGGGATTGGAAGACCGGTGATTTGCTTTGGGAAAGTACCTATGTCGTGCATGTATGTGGCCCAAACCTGACACCGTCATCATACAGCATCTACAATTTGAAGAAACATCCCCAGAAAATAAATATGATTCCTTTGACTTCGTCGACAGTCGGCATTTACTTGCGACGGACGACAGTATCATTGATATCTTCGTACTAGACAGACCAAGCAAATATACTGGTGTTCCAACCTTCATTCGAGGTTCTCACTGCATATGGGAGCATCCTAGGCGTAAAGGACAATCGTTCACTGCACCCCGGCTTATGTCAACGCACAAAGGCGGATGCTCGCAGAGGAATCCAGCTCATCCGTTCTACTCGTCCTCACAGCGTGGTCTCGTTGCCGTCGCCTGTTACGGAGCGCCGCCTAATGGGGACATCTGGACGGAGGTGATTTTGGTGCCTGCGTCCATGATCCGGGAGTGGGCTCTGCGCGCACAGACCGGCGAGGCCACCATGCGTGTTGGAGATGCTGGGATCGTCGACTGGGCAGATTGGGCACCACACTATCCGAGACTGCTGCGCGCCGGCAGGCCGTTCTCTGCAGAGGTACAGGGCATGCATGCGACATTCGCCAACATCGAAGAGGAAGATCTTGTGCTGGATCATATTGACTACACCGCCGTCGGAGGTAAAGAAGTGGAATTTGATTTCAAGACCTCCCATGACATTGGAGATGAGTGGGACGAAAGGGGGCTGTGTGTCGTCCCTGAGGACAGTGACGGCGTCCATTCAGCATACACCGAGGCTCAGCCGATAGATCAGAGCATCCCACAGTATCTAGTCATCCTTCCAGATTATGCAATTCTACAGGAGGTATGTGATGTCGCTCATGCACTTTGAACGGTGCTCACATATAACATTTAGTATGAGGATGATAATGGGGACAATCAGTGGCAGATTTATCATATCGTCGCCTCTGACTCGGATGATTCGTGAGCCGGAGAGAGAGAGAGAGAGTATGGACATGTACTTGGCTCGTTCATATAGGTGGCATCTTCGTATATCCCAAGAGAATGTGTCAATGGCGAAGAGAAAGCCGGAGCGGTGATCGAGACCACGGCATGAGTGAAAAAACAGAGCGTATTGTAATACCACTATACAGTTTATATCGCGCCTTCTAAGACGTCAAGTGGTCTCTGCAAAATGGCAATGCTGCGGCTTAGTCTTTGGCAGCGCCGCGTTTTATTAGTTGCATCGGAGACTGCTGATACGGCAAAAAGAACATAAAGATCCGTCAACTCGGCCAACACTGCACAACGGCCTCGCCATCAACACGGTCTGATGCAAAATTACGTCCTTTCGATGATCCTCAGCCACTTCTACTCAAGTTCCATACTGAGAAATATCAGCGTTGCGCAATTCATAGACTCTGTATTCATACTACCTCTTGCATAACTCCACAATCTGGACGAATGGCTAGATCTCCCCGCATTGGCTGTACATTGATGATCGGTCGAGCCTGTACGCATACTGTGTGTACCCTGGCGCTTTCAGGAGGGATGATACAAAGTATTCCCTTCTCCCACTCCCATGCGTACTTGACATCGAAAGGGGGTTTATATAGGTTTTCTGTAACGGCTGTGTATTGATAGTCACCCTTCCTAGCCTCTTCAGCGTTCGCGAACAGGCCTCCGGGGCTCATTGCCCACAAGCTAATGGCATTAGGAATTGACCTGCCACGGAGAAGCTTGGCATTGCGGCGCATACGTTGGAAAGATCATAGCCGCCTCAGTTTCTCCACGCAAGTCAGTCGGCAGGCGGGCTCGTCGGTCACGCCCATACTAAGATTACCAGGGGGTAAGCGTCGAGATGAGAGCTAGGAAAAGTAGACAGACCTCATTCACGATGGTAAACTCGCGTATAAGGTGAAGAGGGCGATGGAATCCACCTACTTTTTTTATTGTATATACTCAGGTCTGAAGTTCGAATGGCATGTCCGTAAGGCTGTTGATACTGGACATAGTTATAATCGGATTAGAGGCTACGCGATGGCTAGTAGAAAGACGTAACATGACATCAGCACAGAGCGCCTCAGGCTTAAGAATCTCATGAAATCGATGGAAGGTTGAATAAAAACAGATTTTCGTGTTTGGTACGATGTCTCAATGGTAAGCAACATCCTTTTGACAGCGTATAGGTGTCGACAGATTCTTGAATGCGGCAAACAACGATGGGAAGCAACAAAGAGTGGGTCGGTTCAAAGTTGCCGCTCAAATGTCGTTGGGAAGAAAACGATAAGCAGCCAAAATAAGCGACCATTTCTGCCACCTTCAGCCACATCTGATCGCTTCAAAGCAAAAGGTCGCTTTCTCTCAGTCAGCGACATTCCAGCGGCAACTTTGAATCGACCTAGTAATACGGTTGCACCAGCTAGATCGTCGACGTCTCTAATGTTGGCGCGTCAATACTAGTACTAATCTCCTGTGAGCAAGATGGGATACACTTCCCTCAGCCTACGCAGGCTCCGGGTGCCCATGTGTAACGACTATATCCTGCTAGCTTAACCCAGTTGGAAGGTGCACTACAGTGGGGTGTTTGTCATCAACCACGACTATTTGGGACGTCTTCGGGCTGCCCTAACCCCAGGAGATTTCTGGTGATCGGTACCACCACCGCGGTTATTAATTTGTTCTTGAAGCAGCTCTTCAAGTTTCCAGCAGGGATCGGAAAAAAGATCTCTCGACAGGACCCCCGCGTCAAATAGTAACTAGTCAACATCAAAGGCGCAGCCGACGGGCCAAGCTGGGGTACTTCCCTCCTGTCGGTCGTTAGGTGTTGCGCCTTATCCTTTCGCTTGTTGTACAAGTGCGCTGTTATATGGCTGTACACGAATGGTCATACATGCTGTTCATAAGTTACACTCTATCCCCCTCTGCGCCGGACATTCATCAGCTGTATCAATGCGTTTGTGATCCGCGCGGGCTCCGTGTCACTGTCGTGACCGTAGTAATGGTAGTCGTGGTGGTCGTCCGTGTTGTGGTTATGTGATCTTTGCTCTCCGACACGATGACGGTCTCAGCGATCATAGGTTTGGAAGTGGTTTGAGCGACCTTCTCTTGTTGTTCTTCCGCAGGCTCACAGCGGGTGTGCCTCCATAACTGACAGCGTTCTCCGGGCTTTCTCTTCATCAGTTGGACCTATAGAGTGGAATGCCATTAGGTAGGTCGTCATCTCTATTGATGAACAAAAATCACGCTGACCTTTGTACCTGGAGTCGCGCTTCCCCAATCTGCCAGATCCAGGACGAAGTCCGTGTTTGGCCAATGAATACTAGGAAGCAGGAAGTATAAGAACGAGAAGCGTATAGTCTCATTTGCATGTATACTGACCGCAGGGCACTACCATGCTTCTCGTCAAATTGGACGTCCCAGCAGCTCGGGAATGGGCTGGCTATGATCGGCGCGTTATCGCGGACTGATTCAACCGACAGATACAATTCACAAGACGATGCGCATGCGCTTCTGATGGTGTAACCGCTTCCACTCGGAATGAACTCCCACTGATTGATAATCGTCAGCGTGTGGTCGAGGAAGGCGGATCAATGGTCTACCTGCTGGTTCTGTCCCATGTGTGCGGGGAAGCCGATCAATGACCTCTGGTCCGCGCCGGAAAGATCGAGGGCTGTTCCGCTCCTGGCGTTCAGCAATACATATGTTCCTGGAATCCATGCTTGACTCTCGGTTGGCTGCTCGTGCACTGGCGTGGGGACAGTTTCGACTGGTTGGGTGCGCTCAACGGTCGAGACCGCTGGGTTTTCCTCGATCCTATCCTCTACGGACATGACGACCGTCTGAGGGGTCTTCAGGGGATCATGGGACTCGGGGTTGTCGTCTGGGCTTGAAACTGCTGTCTTTGCTGCCTGAGAGTGCTCCTCCCGCTCCTTGCCTGCTGAGCCGTCGACGTCCAGTCTGAAGCCAACGACTAGCTCGCTCTCTGCCTGTTGATTCACGGCCGCCTGCGGTGCCTCGGCACCAGGCATCTGAGGGGAGGGTGCTGTCGTCGAGGACCTGCTGACCTGCGCAGGCTGGCGACGGGGGGAGTTCGGTGCGCTCGGTGCGTTACCCATGGATTCGGAAGACGAGGATGATCGGGATGGAGAGCTGCGGGCAACGGAGGAATCTGTGGGCTGCTTCTGACGGTGGCCGCGCTTTCTTATGCTCGAGAGGAAGCGGCTGGCGAGCATGTTGATTTCTGCAGCAACGCGCTTCCTGCCCGCTGCCGCAGCGTTATATGCTGCACGCGTAGCTCCTGCGCAATGTACGGGCACCACGAGGCAACGCCAAATTAATGCTGGCGGGATTGCGCGCGCGCAATTCTGATGCACATTGCAAACACAGGTTGATCGCGAGCATCAGGATCGTGACATCACAGGCAAAGATCCGCATCGTGATAGGAGTGATGGGCGAAGGGAAGCCTGCAGGCAGGCAACGCGGCTCTCGCTTGAACGTGTTAGGTCTTCATATCACGAGGAAATGACTTATCCTTATGTCGGCTGGTGCTTAAGGTACAGACCAGCGCTTGTCGGAACACAGCCTGGTCGGAGCTTGCTTGGTAGTCTTAAATGAGGAGACGAACATGCCCATTTCTTCGTGGATATGGTCCTCTGATCCCCGAAAGACGAGTACGGCTAGGCCCGAAGCACGACTTACACGCGCTGGTTGGGTCTAATGCAAGTCAGCGCCCCTGGAGTGATCTCGAGCAGTCGATTGTACTAGAGTGGGACGCAATCACACACGCCGCAAGGTCACTGTCGGCCTTTCCGACTTCCAAAAATCAGTGATTATTCCGTCTAGAAGTGAGCCTGTGTTCACAATTGCACCCTTTTGAGCCTCTCCCATGATTGGACGAGTCTTGAGGTGGGTTCTCGGAAGATATTGCGTCCGCAGATGCATACCACTCGTCAGAAGATTCTGAGCAAGCGAACAGATTCCTGTAAGGCGCAAAGCACCCTACGAGACCAGAATGACTACCTACATGAAGACATACATAACCAGGAGAAATCCTGCGAGAGCATAAAGAAACGTATACGAGGAGACTTCGCAATCGACGCGATGGCCAGACTGCGTGCTGGTAGTCCAACGATTCAAAGAAGATTATCAGGCGGTAATTATGAGGAGTTGTAGCTTAGGAGAACTTCCATCTGCAAAAACTTGAGTCAGACGCGAAACAGCAATGCGAGCGTACCAGGGACGTACCTGTTGTTACATACAGTACAGCTTGATGGCCGAGACACATGAGTATGATGCAAATCGAATACAAAAAGATGTAACATACGTTACGAATGTCTGAAAAAAAAACTCTTATAAACATGAGGCCGTGGAAATGTAAACTGAGCTACTTACTGTCATCGGTTCATCGGCACTTCGTGTCTGAGCTTGGCGGTAACGGCACTTTCTCTGAAAGCGGATATCAGCGCTGATGCTTGACGTTGGCAGCCCAAGCACGACGAACCTGCTTGCAGCGTCCACACTGGAACGCGTCTGTTTCCGCCTGGACTTCTCCCGCACCAAGCGCCTTGAAGAGATTGTCTTCCATAATTTTGCTGTTCGCTGCCTTTCGCTCTTCCGATGCCATTTCCTGTAACGATGAACAGCGGTCAGAGCTGGTCATTACTTCTGAACGAGCTATAGTCAGTTACCTGGCTGGTCATCTTGCAGAATCGGTGTATGGGCAGATCGCCGCTCACAACGCCCTCGCGGAGGCCCGGGTTGTTCTTGTCCTTCAAGTTAACGAAGAACGATCGAATCTTTGCCTTGTACGGCCCTGTTGTGCCGCCGAACTCAGAGATAACGGTACTCTCGATAGCCTTCGCGCGCGACATTATCAACTCGCTCGCTGAGGCACCAAATTAACGAAAAGGAGGGGAACCGGAAAAGAAATACAACGTACGTGCACCCGAGTCGGAAGCAAGAGCGTCGTAAAGAAGCTCGACGCACTTGTCTCGTGTCTTGTCACCAGTGACATCAGTGCTGATGCCGTCGGTCTTCGAAGTCCGCAGCTCTCCCTTCGAGCCAACGGAGGACATTGTGGGTGTCAGAGGTGTTGATGGTGTACGTGAAGGTGTCGCTGACGCAGCGACGGAAGGAGTGCTTGATGCTGTGGAAGATTTCCTCATTGCTGTATCACGACATTAATACAGCTTCGAGGAGAATGAGAGAAGGTAATTACCAAGTGGCTTCTCTTTCGCATTGGCCGCTTTCGCATTGCCGCCGCCATTGCTTTGTTTTTGTCGCTCAACCTCGGTCTTCCAGACCTTGACAAGGTCTTTTGCAAAGTCCGAGACATCTTTGGAGGCGTGTGAGCGCAGCTTTCCCACCGCCAACCCCACCTTGCTTTCCTAAACGAACGCATGGTTCACGATCAGTCCATTATGTTTGCCATAAAAATGGAATCGACCTACTCTGAGGATCGCCTCGGTGATCTTTGCTTCCTGCTTGAGCGTCTTCAAGATACCGAGAATTTCCTGTCGGACGGCACAGATGCGCCCAAATTGGAACAAATCAATTGTTAGTAAAGCGAAAAATGAACGGGAGTGACAGGGAGGCCATAGGGAAATTCATTGGTACACATACCTCGCCGGATGAGGCGCCATTGAGGCCCTTGACGAGCGACTTCAACTCAACGACACTGCTCATGCTTGTGTGTCTGCCTTCCGCTATGCTACGCTGGTACAAGTACACGACACTATCGACCGCTCCTCAGTCGTCTCTGTGGTTTCAGCGTCGGTCCTCGACGTCGACGCTGAGAGCAAGGGAACCTTCGCACGATACCTGGCGGAAGGGATTAGTCAGCAAAGCGGAACAAATACATGCAAACCGCTTCACTAATGTCTATTAGGCCACCAGTGGCGGCCCCTTGTTGCCTGTTGCCCATTGTTCTTACATCCTCATGACCTACCTACACCCGTGCATCACTACATCGCTCTACTGCTTTACCCCGTAGACACCACGCACGACATCCTTTGTCTGAGCGCGCGTTTGTATATCATTGAATGAACAATCGCAGTGGTCCAGTGGCATGATCTTACTTCTCAGGTCCTTGAGTTTGAGTACAATTTAGTGTTTGAGTGAGAAGTATGCGGAAAATCGATTACCACCCCATGGCGTGTGCAAGTGTGAAGGAGTAGGCTTGGCGAATTTACGGAGTTCATGAAAAAAGTAACTTTGATGGTACATTCGGCGAAACTGCTGCAAGAGCCACAGAGCCGATGCTGAAGGAATAGGTGGTGGTTAAGAATTGATGTTTAACAAGGAAACTCTCTGCCTTTACACAAGTCTGTTGTTGTTCAACTATGAGCCACTGCCTCGCGCACCCGGTTGCAGCGCGCGTCGTTTCTCCGCCCATTCCTTCGCTCTCGCTCTCCTAGCACTCTTGACGATTTCATCATCGTCCTTGGTGGGCTCAGAGGAACACGCGTTCCCACTTTCATCTCGGCTACATCGCTCATCCTCGTGCGTGCCCTCGACGCCCTTTCCGGAACTGGTTGACGTGCCTTCATCATCGCTGTCGCCATATCCTGTCAGACCCCCCAGGCCACCACCAGTCTCGGAGGATACATCGGCCTTGTGCGCCTTCTCTTTCTCCAAGTCTAACCTGACATGCCCCTTCGCAATCTTCCATGCACGCGACCACCGCCCTTTCAGGAAAGCAAACCGACGGTCTGCCCCGTGGTTGGCCAGGATGCGCATCTCGAGCTGGCCCGCGTTTGGTGAGTTCAGAATGTGCAAGGCGGTGCGACGCATTAGCTCTCGCTGTGTCTCGTCGGGCTGGACATCGTCTGAGTTTGCGCGATCCGGATAATCCCAATAGTAACAGAGGAGAACACACCTCCTCGTCGCTTCCGCCCCATACGTCCTCAGGCTTGGACTCATCGTCTTCTGTGTCCCCACCCAGTGCTCGTAGGCGCTCCTCACGCCTTCGGTCGATCAATCGTCTCCGCTTCTCGCGGCGGTAATCTTCCACTTCGTCCGCCGTGAAGAAAAACGTATCTTCAGCGTCGGACGGCAGGTCAGACCAGCCACCGGGTGATTCCGATCGTGCAGGATGTGAACTGTGCGGTATATCCGGCAGCGCATCGAGCAGTAAGCGTGCATCGTACCTATTGAAGTGAAGGAAGTCAGGAAACGAGTCATGCGAGGAGAAGGGGAGCGAGAAGATTCCTGACGCCCTGATTGCTATTTCCTAGAGTCGGTCGCGGTAAGATCGTCGGTCCAGCATTGATGATGGAAGCACGCAGTCTTTCGAGAGAGGCCTACCTATCCACCCACAAGCCTTCTATATCACGATCCTCCGTAGGCTTATTGGTGCTCCCACGGCCAAGCTGCACGCGCTCCTCCGCGAAGACATCGGAATCTCCGCGGCTCTGCCCAGCTGAATTCAATTGAATTAGACCATCTCCAATATAAACGGGTCGTCTCCCGCCTCCGCTATCGTATTCCACCTCGAGAGAGCGAGCGGCCGATGCTGCCTGTGGTTCTCGTACAAGGTCCGCTTCATGAGCCTGGATGAATAATGCTGGATCAGGTCGTTCCGCCGGTCCACCGTGGACCTGTGCACTTTGTTGAGGCCGATATTTTCGCTTCCTCGGCTTCGGCGTCATCGATGTGAGTCGAGAGCTGTGATCAGGTAACGAATGAAATTGGTAAAAGTGTCGCCTTCACTTCGCTCTGGCTTGTATGAACTCAGACCACAGTTGAGTCGTAAAGATAATGGTAAATGGCCCGAGACAAAGCCGCGAGTGTGAAATGGCTTTTCGCGCTCAAGATCGACGCGTTTCATTGACTTGACAGCACGTGACCATGCAGGTGGCGCACACTGCAGTAAACCATGAGTTTCGGATCTCTACCTTGTCTCTTCCATCTTGCAATCCTACAATCCCGCTGAACCTCACTATGGGCGAAGAATCGGCAGATGTCAAGCCGAAGCTGAACATCGTTATAGATTTTGAGGGACAAAGTAAGTGAATACATCGGTGAACTTCTGAAGAGCCACTGCCCACCGACCGTAAATGCCTGCTTTATAGCATGCACGGTCAAGGTAAAAGCTGCAACTCCGTTTCAGAAGATATTTGAGGCTGCCGAAGTGCGTATGATAACCTGATTAAACCGAATACCGCTGAATTCATTGTGTTACGCTGTAATTGCTTATAGAAGCGGTTTCAGAAAGAACCAGGCTAGTATCCGCCGCATATGCAGTTGAAGTTATACTTACCGTGAGCTTAGGAACTTTCAAGTTCACGTTTGATGGACAGCGCATACGACCGGAAATGACACCGGCTGAAGTACGTTCTGACATGCTTACAGATTCTTTGTTCTCATGGGGTCCGCACTCTAGCTCGGTATGGAGGACGGTGATCAGATCGATGCACATCTTACGCAGGTACGCCCTATCTTGGGTCTCTGTCATGGGTTCTCGAGCATTCTCATTGTCATCACTCTGTGCCAACTAGGTAGGAGGGCGCAGCTGCGATCGACGGTCATGACAAACCGCGATTCCCATATTCTCGCTCGCTCTCTGTGTGTATGTATACAGGGTTACCTTTATTTGTCTAACTTAGTAATTATATGACCTGTAATGTCCATTTCGGAAGCGGTCACGCTGCGGTGTATTCTGTGCGGCTGAGACGCGACGCGTTGTTTGTTCCATACAAATACAGCACACCAAGAGACGGAACAGTCTACGACATATTAGGACAGCCACCACGTTGTACGGCTCTACTCAATACTCTCGAAGTACTCAACACCTCTGACTCAGAACACAAGAGCGTGCTTTCAGTCAGTGCCTTGGAATACGAGCAGTACTATGCTCAGGCAATAAGGAAATAGCACATAGCACATACTCACCGACATGGCCGGGATTGGTCCCTCTTCGAGCTACAATGAGGCCCGCCACAAGAGGCAGTTGCGTGGATGGCTGACCTACGCATTTGCAAGGTGAAGCATAACGCTGGTGGCTAGTGTCCCGCAGAGAATCACCTTGCTAACTGGGTCGTACGTCTGTGACGCGCTTGTTGAACTAGTGAGGTCTTCGTCATCGTGTCCTTGACACTATTCCTACCCATTTGTCTCGAGCAATTCGCACGGTGAGCATCCCCTTTGCTAGACTCACGCACTATCACAGAGAATTTGCCCAAGCTGTTAGGCGGCACTCGCAAAGGGCCCGCTTATCTGGTTGAGGCAGCCATATGAGTTGAGACTACGAGTGCGTGCTTCAGGCGTCAGAGTATATCTGCAGACTTGGGTCAGGCCTCGGTCTGTGGAGATGGAGCCTCGAGCAACAAAGGCATCCGCTTGAGCAACTGGATTGTGTTTCGGCTCTTTACGCCGAACAGTGAGCTTGAAGAAGCTCGAAACTCAAAACATGCATTAAGTCGACACGCTTCGAACTCGAGGCTAAAGGCCGGCTATGTCTCTGCAGATACACTCTGCTCTAGTTTGGGTGCCCCAAAATGGCTCAGAAACCTACTGATATGGCCGTAGAGACAACGGATACTTGTTGCCAGAAAAGACGCAGCCCTGCTCGTTAGCAAGTGCAAACTCTACAAGGATAGCAAGTCCGCAGGAAGAGAATCGCTGCGTAGTCAAGATTGCCTGGTTATGGATCGACAGTGCTAGCTTCAGGTTTGTACAAGTCAATAAATACCGTTCGGACGTTACTGAAATGCATCTCTCAGCTTATATGTGTATTCGGCCTCAGTGGCTCTTCAAGCCCTCACGGTGATCTCCATGGGCAACATTGCTGATCATCGTATGTTCAGCCAACTCTGATTAGCTGCTAGTCCTGATTCGTTCGAACGTCACAGCACCGCATCGCAAACGCCTGCTGTTGGGATTCGCAGCTCTTGGCTCTTTTGCGGCAATGCTCTTCTTCGTAATCCCTTCCTCTTCCCCAGTCTGGTTTCTTGCTGCACCCCTGGCGATTTGTGCGAACGTCGGCTTCGGGGCGTCCATTGTCGCTCTCAACGCATACCTCCCTTTTCTCGCACGCGGCACACACGAGGTCGTCGCCGCTCGCGAGGCACTTGAGCAGCACAATTACACTCACGCTGCGTCTACTGCGCTTGGCGGCTACGACGAAGAGCTGGTAGCCGGGGCTTTGGGGGACGACACCCAGCTTGCCGCGGAGCCACTACTCCCGCATGACACGCCGTCGGCTACGGATTCTAACGTGCTTGCGGCCAAGCTTGCGCACGACAACGCGCTGTCCAGCGCGACAGCACGCATTTCAGGACATGGCATCGCCCTCGGCTATGCAGCGGGGATCTTCATGCTGCTGCTGGCCCTGATCCCTGTCCGCGCGCTGGGCGGCTCTACATTTGCCTTGCGGTTGGCAATAGGTCTGAGTGGTGTCTGGTGGGCGGTATTCTCTATCCCAGCTGCTTTGTGGCTGCCTGGGGCCTCTGCTATTGAAGCGCGGAGTCAAGATACTGACGAGATCGGGCAAGAGCGCGAAACGAAGTGGAGTGCCCGTAGGGAGATCGCTGCTGCGTGGAAGCGACTCGGCGGTATGCTAAGGTGGCGAGAAGTCAAGAAGCTGAGCAACACGTTCAAGTATCTTGCCGCATGGTTCCTTCTCTCAGACGGTGAGTAGCAGCTGGGAGGTCGTATATTATAAGATCGAGATTCTCCGCACCTTCCGATCCCGATTAATTGTTCTGGCAGGCTTCTCTAGCATCTCCTCGACCGCTATGCTCTTCGGCAAAACAAGCCTGAATATGCCGCCGTCCTCGCTTATCGTTGTCGGCGCTCTAGCTCCCAGCGCGGGCATCTTTGGGTCGCTCGTCTGGCCCATCATCCAACGCCGCATGGGATGGACCAACAAGCGCGTGCTTGTAATCTTGCTGGTCCTCGCATCTCTGGTCCCGGCGTACGGTTGTCTAGGCTTCCTGCCGATCTTCCAGCACAGCGTCAAATTCGGCGGACTGACGACTCCTGGGGAGATGTTCGTGCTGGCAGTGTACTTCGTGAGTGCAATCCTCGGAGCCTGAATGCAATGTGAACGTGACCATTAACTTAACGGATATGTAGGGGTTCATCCTCGGTGCTTTCCAGGGATACGCACGGGCATTCTACGCAGAACTCATCCCGCCGGGCGAGGAAGCTCGTTGGTACGGCTTGTTCTCTATAACGGACAAGGTGAATATCTGCCCTGTTCTTTGTTCAGTACTTCCTGAGTCATTTCTTGCTACTCTTCTAGTCGAGTTCCTTCATAGGACCTCTCATCGTCGGCCTTATTGCCGACACGACAGGCAATATTCGTTACGCGTTCTTCTTCCTGGTTTTCATGGTCTGGTCTGCTGTGCCCTTTTTGGCGGGTGTGGACGTCGAACGGGGCCGAGAAGACGCTAGAGCGTATCGCTATGGCTCTAGATCAGCATGAAGATGTCTTCGATGTACTGTAAAGTTTGAGGATACATTTGCATGATACAATCATCATATTTTAGGAAACAGGAGTATCTTTTGAGTGTGTACAGAGGATCTATTCCGGTCTCTTTGACACTTCACAAGTATAGCTGGTGGTTGCGATTCTCGCCTTAATTTGTAGACCTGTTTGCCTGCTTCACCTTGTTCCTCACTCGCCAGCCCCCCACGAACCAGATCACTTTGACATGACGGTAATAGTAGCTCAAAGATTTCACTTGTAGTTTTGTAGTACACTGTTAAGATGACGTCCTATAGTTCGTGCTTCCGTGATGTGACCTTGAAGGGGCCAGTGGGGTGAGGCTCTTGCATCCTGAAGCGGAGTAGGTGATTATCAAATATCTAGTCAACCTTGTTGAGACATTGCTACAGGAAAAGACATAGAATCTGCAGGCAGCTACTTCGTCTTGTCATCCCACCTGCAGCGTACGCGCTCAGCAATGCGCTTGCTGCATGCATGTCACAAGCGAAGGGAGTACTCACAAGTCCATGAACAACTTCCACAGTATCGAGAACATCAGGCCTTGCAGGCCGTTCGCCAGAATACGGGTCTTAAGCCCGCGCCCGAACAGCCCGCGCAGGCCGTCGGTCGCGATGACAGCCTGTGCAGCCTCCACGTAGCCCACGCGGCGCTCGTGCACCTGGCGGTACGTCTTCACCACGCGGAGCGAGTTCGATACCGTGTCGGAAACGACCGAGGCGCAGAACCCAATGAACGCCTGCCGGAGGAGCTTCTCGAAGAGCGTGGTCGGCTGCGGGAGCGCCTCTCCCAGCCAGTTGTACGTGGAAAACCACTGCGCGGAGGCTCGGGCTCAGCGTCGGGTCGTGGATGGACGGTGAAGGACACTCACTGGGAAGTGCCCGACAAACGTGGCTGCGGCAGTCGCGATCGCGCCCCACCACAGGCTGGTAATACCGTACTTCTTGATCTATAGGGGTACGCTGCCATGAGCGAGCCTCTTGGTTACACGGCAGGGCGCGCTTACCCTGGCTTTCAGAATAACAATGCCCGCCTTGCCGTCGGTCTGCATCGTCGTCTTTACCGTGTCCACGGGCGTAAGGAGCATCCGGAAGCACGCCGCAGCGACGGACGCGAAAACCGTCTTAACGGGCGAGGGCAGCCGCTTCATGAACGAGTTGCTCTGGAGCAGCGCAAGGATCCCTGCGTTTGCTGCTGTGTCACCAAAGCGTGAGACAGGACCCTGCACAAGGGCCGCAGTGAGGCCCTGGTAGTATCGTGTCCAACCGCCGTCGGCGTAGAGCGTCTTGATGGCTTGTGTGGTCGTCGTACCGTAGCGGTATTGGTAGTTCATCACCGTCCGCAGAGGCATAAGTGTCAGCACTTGCAGCACCATGGCTGAACAAGGGGGAATCAAGTCGGCCTCATAGATGCGCTGAGGGGTTAGTTGAGGACGTACCCGCAGCACCGCTCAAGCCGCCGCCCAGTGCGCTCTTCATTGCCTTCCCAAGATCGAACTAGGTGCAGATGCTCAGCCTCAGTGCCTCCGTCGTGTACGCTCTGTAGACATACCTCCACATCGTCAGCATCTATGAAACCCTTGATAAACAGGCCAAGAGCGAAGCCGCCGAGCAGCGTGAGGACGGTGTACCAGCCGATAGCCCACCAGCTCCGCTTCTTTATGGGCTCATCAGCGACAGGGTTCTCTGCGTCGTAGTCTGGGTCGGCGGTCAGCAGCGGCTGCCGCTCATCGATGGCTGGAGAGGGGACACGACCCTCAGACATGGCAGTCGTCTAGAGAAACAGAGCCCGAGCGGGACGCCGTGTAAGGTGGGGGCAAGCATGCTGGGAAGTTGTATTGGTAATGAATAGAAAGCACGCAACACATAATCTTATCTACCCCTCACGGCATAAGCGCCTCAGAAATACAAACTCCAACACATAAGTAAGATGTGCGAGCCAGCCAGCCATCAAAAAAGTGCCAAGTGCCCACGCAGCGCAGCGGAGTCTGGCTGTTGGATTCCTATGGAGTCTGAGGTTGAGATGTAATACAGCAGGAGAATTACAGCATCCATATGATACAGCAACAACAAGAGTGAATCTACTGTGACTGCTCGGCGTAGATCTATTCACGGCAACATGAGCATGTCAGATAGACTAAGAAGAAAATCACCGTTCATACCTTGATGGTTTTGTCGGCACCTCCTGTGATAAGTCGCGTGCCGGTGGCATCGAACGTCGAGCAGAATACGCCCGCTTCGGCTTCAAGCGAGCCAGGCTGCGGGATGTCGTCCATATTTTGGAACGCCGTGCCCGTGTCGTAGTCCCATAATGTTAGCGTGCCGTTGTCGCCTGTACTGCGTAGTCAGCTCGTCGTGTCCCTCACGCCACAAACACCAAAACACACCCCCAGAGAAGAACACGCCCTCTGAGTTCACAGATAGTGTGTTTATGATCGCATTGTGTCCACTGAAGTTGAAGACGAACGCTCCCTCGGGGCACTTCCACTTCTTGATATTGTTCCCGCCCGCCGACGCCGATGCAAACGAGTACTCCGTCGGGTGAATGGCCAGTGCACGCACCGACTTCTTATGGTGTGTGAGCGTGACCATCGTCTTACCCGCCGCGAGGTCCCACAGGCTGTATGCTGCTCAGTGACAGTTAGTTAGATGAGAGATCAGGACACGCACCGAACTGTCGAGTCCATGCTGCCTGTGATGACCTGCGGGTCTGACTCCTGGCACTTGACGTCTGCAACTGTCGCTGTGTGGCCCGACAAGACGTGAATCTGTGCCTTTGTCCGCATATCCCATACTCGTGCTGAGGCGTCGCGCCCCGACGTCACGAGAACGTCCAATGTCGGATGCAGCGATAGCGCATAGACACCAGACAGATGTCCGTGGTAATGCCGGATGACCTTGTTGGCTTCCAAGTCCCAGCATTTCACCATCTGCCACGGGGTTAGCGCTCTTGTCCGAGATACAGCAAGCAGCGCTCTCCTCACCTTGTCCTCCCCACACGAGAAAAGATACGGATGTCGATTCGACACCGCAAGTCCACGTACAGTCGAGATGTGTCCAGTCAACGAGAGCTTGAGCTCGCCCGACGCGAGATCCCATATCTTGATCACACGGTCACCCGCACCTGTCGCAAACCACTTGTTCCCCGGCTCAACTGCGACACTGCGTACCCAGCCGAGGTGTCCCGAGATGACGCGCATGAGTTTCCATGGTGCATGGTACGTCGGCTTTATCGTGCGCGTGGTCTTGTGAAGCTGAAGTGCTTTTGTGAGGTTTGTTTGTGAGGTGAAGGTGGACGGTTGTGGAGCGGGCGTGTTGTCGATACTCGCAATCATGAGGCTAGTGTCCGTGCTTGTTGACGCTGATGCTAGATCAGTCTCGAATGCTGCACACACAAGTATGCGAATACTTACGTCCGGCCGTTATAGCTTTACGCTGCTCCTTTGGTCGTGCAGGCCCGACTGCGCCTTGTTGCGCAAGTAGCTGTGCAGGGAGCTCTCGTACATCTTTGTATTCGTCGTTCATTTTCACGGAGAGCCGCATGCGAGCACTAGTGGAACCCATTGGGACTCATAACTTCAAGGATGAGGTAGGCTCACCTTTTCGGCTCCTCCTGCATGCTGTCGTCTGGACATGCCACGAAGATATCTCGTGTGCGCTTGCCGCACACCTTCAGCAAGGGGTTTATTGGGGGTAGTGACGAAGTTGCCATCCTTTTGTACGCACAATGAAGAGACGCAGCCGAGAGAGACTCTGGAAATGGAGAACCGACACCAGCGACCAATGCCGTGGTCACGTGGCAATACCACGTGCGCAAAGGACAGCTTGTGGCACACTCAGTACTAACGAGTTTTGTGGCGTCTCGCTACCATGCGTCGGACGTTGTTCAGGTAGTGAAACAAGCCGTATACATTCGTATGATCTGAAAGACTTGAAATATTTTACCCTGTGCTGGTATTTTGCCTCGAGTCTCCTCTCCTTGAGACCGACTTTTGTTATTCTATGCCTCATGTTGAGTTCAGAGACCGGATGCATACCGGCGGCGGGGTGAGTTAAGTCTTACAATATCATACTCTATTGCGGTACGCAGAGGTTTCTTGTACTAGGCTGTTTCCTAGGCATCAGCCTTTTATGACATGTTGATATATACATGAGATTCCACAACGTGCATCCTGAATTTCAAGTATACAGTATTTCAATCCCTTGACTCACGCAATCTACGCCTCGAACAAGGGTTTTGCTTCGTCACATCGCGGAATCATGTGGCATCTGAAATGCCTGCCATTGCAGAGCGACGCTGCCCTTAGGCAGACCACTGCACAGGTGGGTAAGTACTATTGAGCCGATGTGTCCACCTAAAGTCCCACGTCGTCCTGACGAGATCGCAGGCGATTGCTGTGTACGACTTGCCCGTTTATGTCATGATCTTCCGTTTCTCATTGTAGATTTTCGCGAACGGTGCCATGCAGATCTAAGGCGGGACATCTGCCGGCGGGACGCCAATGAGGGTGCATCATGTAGGACAAACGCTGGCAAGCATTCATCTATAATGGCACAAGGGCACGATGCGCCGCTGTAGGCTAGGTGCACCGCCCTTTTTCCTATTCGCAAGGCACTCGCTAATGTCATGTGCAACTATCTGGGCGCGAGTCAATAAATAGCAATCAGAGTATTTACAGCTTGGGTGTCGGGGGCGCCTCTTATGTACAGCCAGCCTACAGCTCCTTTTTCGTTATAGCGATACTGCGCGCCTTGAAGCCCTCCAGAGCTTTCAAACGCTCCGTCAGGGTCGGGTGCGAATGATGGTATGCAGAGTATCTGAACGCTTTGTCAACATCTACTGCTCTCGAATAAGACCTCAGACTTACAGCCAGTCCACCCAGACAGTCGAGAGGTTCTTGACGTGCAGCGCCACCAGCGCACGGCCGAGACGGTCGCCCATGTCAGCCATGTCCTCCGCTTTTAGCATGTGCTGTAGTTCGCACGCGAACTGGTCTGCCTGATACTCGAAACGCCGGCTGACGGCATTCATGGCGATGCCTACGACGGACTCGAGGGGAGAGATGATCATCTGTTCACCGCACAGGAGTTAGTGAGATGGACAGCGGCATGCGATGGGCGCCATATATATCTACCTGGAAGAGGAGGAACGCGACGATGGTGGGCGGGCGCGCGGCGACGTCAGCAGGGAAGTCGAAGACGCGGAGCACCGGTGGCGCGTGCAGGAACGCCGGGAAGAGCGCGAGGATGGAGAAGAGATGCAGCTGCGACACAAGTAGCATCTTTGTCGGGTGGAGGTAGTACCAGTGACCGAGTTCATGCGCTTCGAGAGGTCAGTGAATGGCTAAATGTGTGCTTATGATGAACGTACCGAGCACGGCCTCCACCTCATCGGGCTTGCTCTGTTTGATCAGCGTGTCAAAAATGACGATGTGTTTGCTCTGTTTGTGAGCAGTTCAATACGTCTTCCGCGTCACTCAACAGGCAAACACGCACCCATGGGAGGCCATAGAAGTAGGCGTTGCTGTGAGAAGAGCGTTTGGAGCCGTCAATCTCGTACAGATGCTTGAGCGGAAATTTGAGCTTCGACGCCAGCGCTTCAATGCGCGAGCGGAGTTCCCCGTCAACAAGCGGAGAGAGCTTGTTGAAAAGCGGCTGGATTATGGTTGGGTAGATGACGACCATGATGAGCTGAAACGCGAGCCTGATGGTGTTTCAGCCGCGCACACCATGCTAACCAGGATCGAGTTGACGTACAAGAATGCCATGAGCCAAGGCACGAATCGGTCACCAGCCCACTTGAAGACATAGAGGAACGCGGATAAGAAGGGAGGGGCAATGACGATGCCGATTGCCCAGCCTTTAAACAGGTCAACGACGAATAGCCCCGGTGTTGTCTTATTGAAACCGTGCTTCTCCTCGAGAACAAATGTCTGGTACACAGAAAGTGGAAGTGTGGGGATCGAAGAGACAAAGAAGAGTATGAAAGTAAAAGCAATTGATTGGAGGATCTAATAGTAGATGGTCAGTTAGTATGCGAAGATATGCTTGAGCACCGTCCAAGGGGAGCTCAATAGTACAGCGATGCATGAAGTTCTTTCCAGGATCATGTCTCCGGGAAATACATCCACGCTTGCATGTTTGACGATTAGCTCACCTCATATTCCGATCCATAGCCAAAGAACCGTAATACCCGCCCGCCAGCACTCCATGCCCACGCATACACGCCGATGTGAAGCAATAGCGAATCAACAGCTTGCTTGTACAGTCCAGCAAAGAGCGAGAACTTCGCCTTGTCCTTGCCATAGGTTTGAGACTTCGCGAAGACCTCGTCTGTGAAATGCGCCGCTAGAGCGGGAGGGGGTGCCTTTTTGTTGTATAACGGGTACTGGCGCAAGCTGAAGGTAACACAGTTAATTTCAACGGGCCAAAGTCTCACGCAGACGGATCGGTGAACAAGACATGGCAATCTGGTACGTACATGAGGTATGACTCAAATAGGCACACCGCCCAGGAAAATGCCTGCACATAAGTCTTCCAGTCGATAGGGTCGACAGAGACAAAAGCTAGATGACTCTGTATAGCGGCAAGTTGCGCGTGAACGAAGTCCATAGCTTCTTCACTGGAGTCAACTGTCTGGGACTACAGCAAGCCGTGAGCCGAGAGCAAGGCGCGTCCCGGGCGCGACGCGTGTCGTGGCCTACGTGTCGGTCACGGGACTCGATGGGCGTCTAGTCGCTGGCGTCTCAATGTTCGCAATCCCATTGTTCTGGCCCAGATGTAGAGTCTTGCTCTATTTCACCGCGACAATATGATAAGCATGCATTTGATCATCATCGCAAGAATCGTAGATGCATTTAAGGTTATATGCAGATGCGTAGTTGGCTATTTCAAACGATCTTTGCACATTCTCAAGCTGGCCCAACACAATATCATACCAAACATGGTTGTATGATGCCTCTCATTGGACGTGCACTCGTCAATCAACAGTATTTTCATGGGAATTGTCCAGGCTGTGGATCTACGATCACGTCTTTTGACACCATCGTGGCGTTGGGTGATCAAATCGTTATCGAGATTTGCGATCTCGATGATTTTGAATAGTACCCGGCGACCCGGTCCCTGAGAAATTGACTGGCCAGTGCCTTTTCGCCCCTGTCTGTCGGAAGTCCGTGCCTCGTGCCCTCAGAAGCACGTTATCATGCTGTGCTAAAGCATTTGTTACTACCTCCTGCTCCGTTTAAATCTCTCGTCTTTCCTATCATCTGCCCTCGTCAAGCCGAACATGGTTCAGATTGGTCAAGAAGATGTGGACAGCCCACACGTTGTTATCATCGGTGCTGGGTACGTAACGTGTGGGAATTTCCATAACCATATGATTAAGAGAAGAATGTGCATCTTGCAGTCTTGGAGGGCTTGCGTGCGCAATTGCATTAAAGAGGCAGCTGGGATTCAACAATTTCACTGTAAGCTCGCAAGAGGTTCGCTGCACAAGTGACTCACGACTCCAACCCTCCATCAGATCTATGAGAAGGCTGGAGACGTTGGTGGAACGTGGTGGGTGCGTAGTCTGCAGTGTGTGCGTGTCGCGGCTCAATCAATGCTTCTATCTAGAATAACACATACCCTGTGAGGGTCGACGTGGCTACTTCCTGAACGTTTTTCTTACAGCTTCTCTGTCTTAGGGCTGCGGATGTGACACACCAACACACTGGTACAGCCTCTCGAGCGACCTGAACCCAAACTGGAGCACGGTGACCGCACCTCAGCCAGAGGTTCTCGCCTACTGGCAGGACCTCGCTGTCAAGTACGGGCTGTACGGGCGGACCGTCTTTCACACGAGGGTGCTCTCAGCGGTCTGGAGCGCAGAGCGACAGGAGTACGATGTAGACACTGAAGACGTCCGCACGGGAGAGCGTGCTCGGACGCGCGCACGGGCCGTCGTGTCAGCCGTCGGATACCTCGTCGAACCGAAGATCCCGCAGGAATTCATCGAGAAGGGCCTCGGCAGGTTCAAAGGGCCGGCCCTCCACTCTGCGGAATGGGACCACAGTATTGACTGGAGCGGGAAGAAGGTAGCCGTCATTGGGAACAGTGCTTCTGCGTGCGTCTTGCGTTTTCCTTTGTTATCCTTATTACCGATGCGCTCGGCCTACCCTGCATATGCATTCGTGTAGCGCGCAATTCATACCCCGTCTGATCGCCGACCCCACCACGCATGTCGTCAATTTCTGTCGCACACCCAACTGGTTCCTACCTGGCGTACGTCTTCTCGCCCCTCCTACCATAATTAGAGTGCACCGACCTCCGTTTCCACAGATCCAGAATGGGGAATACTCGACGTGGCAGAAATGGATGTTTGCAAACGTTCCATTCACTTTGCGCCTATACCGTAACTGGCTTGTCACTGTGGGTTTGCTATACGCTCTTTCCTCGGGTAATACTTATGCGACACGTCAGCTTCAAGCGATCGTGCCTATCTTACGAACGTATTGGAGGAGGCTGAATGGCACAACAAGACCTGAGGAGGTGCGCTACACTCAGATCTTGCTGCTAATATCTTATGCTAAGTAATTACAGACCTTGGCAAGATACATCAAAGAAACTGCGCCGCAACGGTACCACGACAAGCTGGTCCCTGATTACCGTGCGTACAAAGATACACATGCGTCACTTTGGCACTAATGTGGCCAGCACCTTTAATCCAGCCGTGGCCTGCCGTCGTCCTATCCTTGACCCAGGTTATCTAGCTTGTCTGCACAAGCCCAATGTTGAGCTGGTGTGGGACAGCATTCGTGACATCTCTGACACAGAGATCACAACGGAGAAGGGTATATCATGATTCTCTCCACTTACCTAGCTCGAGGATTAACGAGCATATCATGCAGGGGATACATTTTCTGCGGATGCCATCATACTCAGCACAGGGTTCGTCACGGTGAGACTTCTCCTCCCTTGCAGACATGACAGGAGGGGAATACCAACTATGGCAACACGTCCACTTACACATTCGTTCCTCTGCGTCAGGACCGATGCCCAGTCAACGTAATAGGCCGCACAGGCGAGACGCTGGAGGGCTACTTCTCCCACCAGGGCGGACCGTCTGCATATCATGGCGTGACCGTACCTGGCTTTCCCAATTTCTTCCTTGTCGGAGGTACGAGCACACTCGGAGTTTCCGAAACCGATCAGCAGTTGAGCACTTTCGTTGTGCACAGGCCCGAACACGGTGACCAGCCTTGGCTCCGCCGTCTTCACGCACGAGATCGCGGTATGTTCCTCAGCCGTCAACACGTCCCCTCTATATCTGACGCCAATTTGTGCAGATCGATTACATGATGCAGCTTCTCCGGCCACTTGTCGATCCCTCGCCCACGAGATTGACTGCGCTCTCCGTCCAGCCTCCTGCGCACGATGCGTACAACTCGCACCTGCAAGAGCGCATGGGTGCAACGACGTATGTAAGCTGCGCCTCGTGGTATCGCGCAGGGGCAGACGGGCGCGGAAAGAACTTTGGCATCTTCCCGGGGTCGTTGCTCTCGTTTTGGTGGTTGATGCGCAAGGTTCGATGGGAGGATTATTTTCTGGAACGTTCTTGCTCATGACGAGTTGGAATCGGTGCGCACTAAGCTTGTGCAACTTGTAAAGGCCTAAGCTTTGATGGTAAAAGTGGATAGGAAAAACATCTTCGAGCGACGAGAGCACTACAACAGGAAGTTTCCATATGCTATAAAATTAAGTTCCTCCATAAAAAGTACGTCCATCTACAGCATCTGCAATCTCTGAGAGGCCAGTATCGGGGTCTCTCTGTCGGCGAATTCTTCGCGAGGACCACGAAAGCTACGCCTCTCCCAGCGCCTTCCCAGCGATATGGGTCTGTCAGAAATCACAAAATGTTGAGCGATAAAGGTAGGCATCGGAAAAAACCAAGCGTGCTTCAGGGTGTGGGCTGCGCCACACATCATCACCGCTGTACGCCGATGTTAGCACTCCCAACAAGCGCCACAGCACAGTACCTCTATAACTTATTTAACATTGTACACACCCGTCAGCTGTCAAATCACCCACTGGTCTGAGTAGCACAGTCGAAGTCTGGGCGCCTTGAACTAGGACCGATCTCTCTAGCCGATCACTTCTCGACGGCCAATCAATCTGCATTGTCCTGAGCGCCAGGTTTTGATGATACAACAAGTAGCTGAAATATCATTATATGTATGTAGTACAGAATACGATCGCGAACATGCGAGATTAAATATAGAACATGCTCTCTTTCAGGTCAGCATGGACGCCGTTGCCCCAAAGTTGCATCGCACTCCGGAACACCTGCTCCTTCTCTTCCTCCTCTGTTCTCCTTCCTCCGCTGCTCCCAGCAGTCGACTGCTCGGCAGCCAAATTGAGGAGCGCATTCAGATAGAATCTAGCTCTCTCGCAGGCCAAGTCTGCATAGTAAGCCGGAGGGACGAGGCTGACGGCTTTCGTCGCGCGTGCATACAAGTAGCTCGTGACGTGAGTCCCTTGCTGCAGCGTGTCCGCGTCATAGTGGAAATCGTCGTACACGACGAAGTAGTGCGTTGGGCGTGCGTGTCCCTGCAGTCCTTGATGTGCCTAAAGCAAGCTTCGTTATTGGTGCCAAGCACGACTAATGGACTACGACGTACCTGGAGATAGTAGTCAAATCCGTATACGTCCGTGATACCCTTGTCGACCACAGTCCCGGGAAGCGTATTTCCGTTCCTCGATGTGTCCTTCGGGTCGGCAGGATAGAAACGCGCGTGGTGACGCTTCCCGCATACCGTGATTGTCAGCTTGGGTTTGTACGGTGTTTGCGGCGAGATCTTTCTGAACGCTTCACGGATTCTGGGCAACTCTTCTTGTACGACCAAATGGTATTGTCCCTGAAGTGCAAGTCAGCGCTCCATGCAAGTTCGGTCAACAAAGACACCGACCTCAGACACCCCGTCACGGTATATTAAGATACGGTCCGGAAGTTTGCCGCCGTTCTTCTTCTGGTACAGTTGCAAACGCTCGATCATCATCTGAGTCAGAGACTCGACCATCTGGCACCAACGTTTTCAGATGTGGAGTCAAACGACGCCAAACTCTAAAGGCTGCGCACCTCTTTGGCTTCCTTGTTCCAATCCGGCTTCTGCGGCGACAAGCTCGCGGGGAACTGGACAAATCTATCGTCTATGCTCGCCACCACGGCAGCGATTGACGGCGTCCCCCTCATGCTGTTGGGCCCCGGGTGCGTGACGTCGATACCTACCACCATCGTCTTCGTCTTCGTCAACCAGCTCATCGACCGTGGATCCAGCATATGATTGACACCGCCGAGCTTCGTGTTGACTTTCAGAGCGACGTTCGAGAAATATTGGTCTTGTTTCCTCGGCTCGCCGCGCGCCTTGTTGAGCAGCATGTGCACCGTGTGTATGCCGAGGTCGACGTCGCACATCCGCTTGATGCCGGGGTAGATGTAGCTGTCGACGCCAGACAGGAGCACCAGCACGAACGAGGGCTTGCTATTGGAATTGAGCTTCTCAATCAACGTTCTGCGAATCTGCTCGAGGGCGGTTCTCCTCATCGGATCCTGATTCAGGCGAGGCAACCTGGGCGTCTGCATGATCACGGGTGCATCAGGGACATTCATGCCGCTCGAGCTGCACTTCTGTGAGAACATCTTCAAGAACGAAATTAGATCGGGGTCTCCCGGGTTGCGGAACTCGCTCCGGCCACCATCCTGGACGAGCATGACGGCCCAGCGCGCCATGCTTGCTCCCGAGTGGAACTGTACCTGCAGAATATTCCAGCTGCCGTCCTTCACGGTCGGCGTGCCCCGGCTATATGTGATGCTGGGAGGGGGGAGGATGCGGGAGGGAACACCCTCCATCTCGTCGCTCACAGAGATGCCGAAAGGGGTCAGAGGGCCCGCCGCGGTGAGCCCCAAATTGGGGAACCCTTCATCGTGAATGGCTGCTGCGTTCACCGCCGGCGGGTTGCAGGCGAAGCGGATCATGTTGGAGGTCTCGTTAGGGCTGAGCTTGCCGTAGTAGGGCTGGCCCTCGTAGATCTCGCAAAGCTCTGCTGGTACGAAATTGGACTTCGCCCGACTCCCCAGATCGACCACAGGCAAGTCATTCGCGTGCCGGAGGGTAATCTTGTACTCTGTGAACACCAACCGTGCGGTCAGTCACCATTCACTCGCAAGCGCAACGGACCTACTTCGCTGGAAGTACTGCTCTACTGTCACTATGCCACCGAGCTCTTGACAATCAAACTTGATCTGGCGTGCTGTCTGGTCAGAAACACGGAAAATGGCCTTCTTCCGGGTGTAGCCCAGGTGGGTCGTCGCTACCTTCAGCTTGTCAGTGAAGGTCCTCGGCATACCACCGCCCGTCTGCTGTTGGAAAGCCATCATGGCCTGCGCCAAATTGCCTGGAGTGTAGAAGGCCGTCATACAAACATTCACGTTCACCATGAGCTGTTTGTACGTCGGCCTGATGGACATGAAAAACCCTCTTCGCGCCTCGATGCCGAGACTGAGACCAAGAGGTGCCTGCGTCGCGGCGCTAAAGAAGTAACGGTTACGGCCTACACGTACGCCGGTATTGGAAGCGTGTTGCTGTAGAATGAGGTTCAAAGCTGATATAAGGGGCTGAGAGTCGTAGTCTTGATCGTTGCCATCCATGTACCTAAGTAGTATATCAGATATGCACCACGCAGGTATGAATGGAATATGACGCACTTATTCATGCCGTTGTTATCCAACTCACGAATGAACTTGATGTCAACAGTAAACACCAGGGCATTGTTCTGAGGCACTGTCTCGCCTTCCTCGATGTATTGGACCTGGATTGACAGAGGCTGTGGTAACTTCACTACGGAGACGAGTCTCTGACTGCGGTCGTGAGCAACCTGGTTCGCATACGGCGCGAATTGCGGATGGTTCTCCAGGATCTGAAGAATGCGAGCTTTGCGTTCTCGCTTTGCTTGCGCCGCAGGCGTGAAGGCCACCTCGTAGTCATAGATAATGCGCTTGGTGACACGCACGGCGAAGAAATTTGCCCTGAGCACCTGTGGCTTCCCCAGGGTGCCGTATCCCGGACGAAGCGGCATCTCGTCACGAATGGCCATGCGCTTGAACGCGCTCACAAGCTGATCCGCGGCCGATACGCGAGCGTCCACACGTACAGGGCCTGGGGCGAAGATTTGCGCGGGGCCGCCCCCGCGCCCTCCTCCGCCTCCTCCGCGACCTCCGCCGCGAAAGTCACCGCCACCTCCACGGGGGGCACCAGCACCGCGCCCGCCTCCGGGACCTCCTCGTCCTTGGCCTTGCGCAAAACCTGGGGGACCGCCGCGGCCACGACCTCTATCGCCAAATCCGGTGCCGGACGAGGCGGTAGAGGGCGCGGGACTCATGCGCGAGGAGACCGGGCTTCCTCGTCCACCCGCAGGGCTGCCTCGCGCACCCGCGGGACTGCCTCTCCCACCCGCGGGACTGCCTCTACCACCTGCAGGACTGCCTGCACGACCACGGCCGCGACCACGAGTATCTCCTCTGTTGCTCATAATGTCGAGATAGGAACGGAGAGTAGAATGAAATACGAGAGTGGGACAGTAGAATGTTATATGAGAAAAGTTGACGATTTCAGGGATCGGATTCTGTCCACTAGAGGGTGGGCCGAAAACAAGCTGGGAGTGTCGCAGCTGGCAGCAGCGGATCCTTATATACACCGCCATGGCGGTGACTCACCGTGGACATGTGGTGTTCGCTTAGAGCGCCTCATGTCACAGACCCTGGGCCGGCCACCGCAGCGCCAATCTATTAAAGATTTAGACGGTGCTAGGCTGTGTTGTTTTTCTGACGCTTGAAAAGGAAGCATAGTGACGCAGGACCGGGAGGCTGTGCCGCAGCTCGTCGTGCGCATTGCTCAATGGGTTCTGTTGGTGAAAAGACCCGGTCTGACCGCAGCCGCAGCCCCAGTCGCAGTTACGTACGCCGCCTCCCGACAATTCTCCAGGCTGCCTTATCTCGGCGGCACGCTCAGACGATCGTAAACCAATGCCGATTCTAGACATTCTTCGTAGTTGCACCGATAGCATGGTCAACAAGATCTGCGCGCGATACAATAAGTTGGAAGCGATCTCCACCGAGACGGAGTTGAGGAAACGCAACAAAAATGGTCATGCTTTACACCGCGCCGCCTCCTCATGTTTGCACTTAATTGTCCCACGCCTTTGACTCCAAAAAGGGAAATCAACGCCCGGGCGTGCCTCGACACGGATCACCGGGTAGCGGGCAGTCCGGCTGCGGAGTGCGAAATTCACGCAAGCCTGACTTTGAGGCCATCAAAGAATTGTGTAATGATACACTGTTTTCAGGACGTGTTTGTAGGACACGAACCATCGAGCCGAGTCCGACTGTGACAGCAGACAGCTCAAATGACAGCTATTCGTTCGAGCCAAGAACTGAGGTTATCGACACCTGATGCCATTGCCAGAAATGTTCGCTCACTGTCTTGTCGAAGGTAGGGAAGGTCAGGTTTGAAATGTACGCACGCGCTGATACCGAGTCCATCTTAATCAATATGTAGTCACCGTTCGCTAACTACTCAGTCCTTCCTGAAAAGCTGGCCCTACGTCTTACTCGACACGTATGAGTTCATGTCCCTCAATCCCCTCTAACCCATCCGTTCACGTTGCCACCGGGCGTAATGGGCGATGCCTTCTTGCCGCTGTCCCCCTCGACTTCGTTCCGCTCTCTCGCACCCAGAGGCTTATTATCCGCTTCGGCGTCCGCATCCCCAACAACCTTCGGCCGAACGCCCCATCCTTGCATGATGAAGAACAGCCTGTTTATCGCGAAACACGGGTCTCCATCAGCATTCCATCCGGAAACGCGTCGAAGGAGCCTCCCACGCACCACTTCAATCTATCCAGCCGGAAGACGTGGAACAACAGCAGCCAGATGGCTAGCGCACGGAAACAGGTCAACGCTCGCAGCACACACTCGGTGGCGCTCAAAGCGACGCACTCAGCTCCATGTATGTGAAGAACCCGAGCGCGCCTCCCCGCGCCCCCCGCTTTACGAAGCGCAGCACGTCTACCCACAGCTTCATGTCCTTCGGGATGGGCCGCGCATTCTTGTCCATCAGGAATGTGAGCAGCATGCGCGTATCTAATTTAAATAAGCCAGTGATCCTAGCGATATCTCGCATCTTCACGGTCAAATAACGTACAAATTCCTATATGACTGTCGCAGATAATTGGCGACTGTGGCTTTTGTAAGACATATTGAGAACTCACAAATGCCCGCTACATAATTTAGACCCAGAGGCGGACGTTGGGAATCACATGGCGAGTTAGACGGTTGTGTTTCCAATCGTGAGCGACTTACACAGTTCCTATGTCCCAGGCTTAGTGCTGCCTCATGAACAGTATCCTAGACGTGTCGCTCACCGATCGCGTTCGTATATGATGAATTGGTCATCAGCACCGACCAGTCCTCCGTTGAAAAGTTTTGCAGGTACAGATTCGGCCGCTGTGCGATCATCAGCATCGCCACCCTGACCGACGTCACGCTCAGAAAACATACTTCGTATCCCTCAGGGAACAGGTCGTCAGGAAGGAAGCCTATTTCTGGCTTTTGGAACCCGGTCGCAAGCACAATCACGTCCGCGGAGAACTGTGCATTACAACATGCGCCATCAGCAATAAGAATGGTAGTGCGAGGCTGCGCAATACGCTGACCTCCTTCTCCTCGCCCTCATCGCCGGGCTTGCTCGCTCGTCTGCGCACATTCACCCGCACACCGCCGCTGGTCAGCTGCTGTGGGTCCCCGCGGACATAACTGCACCGTCCCCTGCGTACGTGGCCCAAGAACTCGTCGTTGACGACCTGCCCGTCCTAGCCATAAGCGCAAGCCGTCTCACTGACACGGTGCACACTCACCGGTGTACCTTCAAAAAGGCCCAAGCGTGCCGGTGTCAGGTCCTCGACACCATGGTAGTTCCAAGCCGTGATAATCTTCTCCCACACGATGCTGCACGATCGATCCACTATGAGTAAACATTCTCCTCGCATGGAACTGGAAAAGAGAACTGACACCCACCTCAAGGGCATCTCGCGCCCGAATGGCTGCGCCGAGATGAGCGTGTCCATCACGATGTTCCTCGGTATAATCCACTATACCACTGTCAGCAAGGAGATTACGCCTCCACCCAGACAATGTACCTTGTCATTGCGGGCAATCATCACCACGCCGCCGTCCGTCGTCTTTGCACCGCGCTTGATCGCCGCCTCGACCGCCTCCACACCACTCGCGCCGCTGCCGATCACGATCACGCGCTTGCCCTCCAGTGGCGCGTCGTCCATCTCGGACGAGTGCAGCACCAGCCCCGCAAACGTCTCTTCTTGGCTCGTCCCGGAGCTGTTGCTGTCCTCGCGCTTGTGCGTTGAGCCTTTCTGTGTGTGTTTCTTGTATACCGGCGGGTATGGCTCCGGAGTGTTGCCTTCACTCGTGTCTTTCTCGTCCTTGGTGCCGTTCGCCCCTGTCTCATCGACGTCATTAGAGCTGGCGTCGGCATTCTGTGCCGCTTCCCTCCGGTGCTTGATCTCTTCTTTGCTGGGCATGCCTGGGAACCCGATCCACCGCGGCTTCCCGCATGTCCCGACTGTGACCACGACCGTATCGAACACACCGCCACCTTCCACATCGTCGTTGATCACCCAGAGCCCATGGCCTTGATTGTGCGTATCGAGATCATCTGCTGCAGCATTGCATGTCATACCCGGTTTGAGCTCAGTCAGCGTGCGTGTCCATGAGTTGTCCGCATACCTTCGCCGACATCGTCAAGCTCCTGAGGCTTTGCTCGGCGTACCGATGTGACAGGTGTTGAGAGGCGCGTGTGCCGCTCAAGGTCATACTCCCGCCAAACCCGGGTGATCTCTGACGCCATCATGAGCAGATGCATGGACGTACCCTTGCTAAACCAGAACAACAGGCCTTACCGCTCAAAATCTCGTCTCTCTTCGGAAACGCGCGCGACCACAAAACAGCTGGATGGAAGCGGTACAGCAGCGAGTTGAGCTGCAGGCCCGAGGATGCATTTACATGCGCCCAGATGCCTCCTGTGATGTCGCCATTAGAACCCTTCAAAGTTGGAGCAGTCTAATGGAGATCCCGAAAACTACAGTCATTCGTTGCTGTATTATCAAGAACACCACAGTAGCACCAACAAGAGCGGATGGGACGCATGGCCAGGCATGAAGCTCACCAATCCGATCCCCTTGCTCATACAAGACGACGTCGAAGCCATGCGCGACCGCGTGCGCTGCTGTGGACACGCCTGTGAGGCCGGCGCCAATGACCGCAATGCGACCGCGATACGCGATCTTCTTGTGCCTCGGCGGAGGCGGCTGTCAACTGAGGTGAGCTCAAGTCTAACTGGCACGAGCAGTGGAGACATACCGGCTTGAAGAGCCAAATGATGACGAGCTGTGACAAAATGTATACCGTGTTGAAGAAGAGGCGAAACATGCGTGTTGGCGACAGGAGGGTGAGCATGTCGCCGTGCCGCAGGGCGTCGACGGTATCGCGGAAGAAGGCGGCGTAATTCTCGCGTTCAGCGGCGAGGGACGACATGCTATTGTTTGACTGCACGGTGAGTGTCCTGTCACTGCCGCATGCAAGGGTGGACGAACCTGGTTGTATGCGCTACGACCGGGATAGAGGGGTGTGTCGCTTTAAGTTTTAGGTTACGCGTCGAGCTGGGCTTCGCGTCGACTTTGGCCATTAACTGAGAGCGCCTATATAGTGCGGGGTACTGACGTCACCCGTGACCGCGTTTGCCTCGCGAGCGGAATACGCGTGACATCATACGGGCAACGCGGGGCAGATCTCGATCGCTTAGATGGCAGAATACCGCTCTCGTCTTTGTCCCTACCTAGCCGCGAGTATATACAGAAGTAGTAGAAGTAGAAGTGAAGACTTACAGCAAAACCAATATTGATAGACCTCCCTCGCAAAAAGTACAGATAGGCGGCATGGAGCATAGCGGCGCTCGGCACCTCGGGGGTGACGTACCCTCATCCCCCAGAGATCTCAGTGTTGTTCACGGCAGCCATAAATAGTCGTAACCCACGCTGATGTCTCGATATTCGTCTATGGGTCGAGGTCTACATCGTCGCTCTCTACTTCTGCAAACAAAGGTAGACAGCGACAAACCCTGCGATACCAGTAGCTTCCTTAATCTGGCCCAGTAAAACGTGTTCCTGATGCACTTTACTTTGATTCTCGGTATGTAGGCGAGCGTCATACAGGCACGCATCGCCAATGCCTTCGGTGAGCTGCCACTACCTGCATGTGTGCATACATTGGCATGGATATGCTATGCGTAGGCATTTTGCCTCCGCGTACTTTAGAGTGCGGTGGGAGTGTGGCGCGCTAGCCTGTGGGGAGTATTACACAAGGAAAGTCCTCATTGACATATGTCACAGAAAACGGCGTCAGGAGGTTCTACGATCGCAGAGGATAAATGAAGCATATGTTCAAACGTTCAAGGCCTGGCTGCGTGCAGCTCGATATAGACTGTACATGGAACTCAGTGATAAGTATGAAGTTAGAGCTCGAGAACACGTCCATGAAGGTCACGAGTGCATAGACGCCCGCAAGTTGAGTCGCCATCTTGCCGTTATCGCTTCCCATTCCCCTTGCGCTTCACCTGTGTCTACCCTCCCTCAACGTCTAACCACAATGAGCCGAAGCGTGCGATAAGTATGTTGGCTTGAACGCATCGTGCGATTAGTTCAATTTTGCGCGAAATTGTTCGGCGGGCCCGTCCATCGGGGCACGCAAGACCGGTGCGTCTAGCAGCTGCTTCCACCGGTCTTTGGAGACATAGCACTTTTTCGCCCGACAGGCGCACCCTCTCAATAAATCCATGATCTTGTATGCGGCCCCGCTAGATCGCTCGATCTGGTCCCGATCATGTTGTTTGCTGCGGAAGAGGGCTTTGGCCTCGTCAGACCTAGCATCGCTGGCGTGGGTCGCTGGCAGGATCCCTGACCTCACAATGATAGGGGATACCGCTCCACGCGCCGCCAATGCACCACCGCTGGCGACTTCCGGCTCCAGCGCAACGGCAGGAGGCGCAGTTGACCGCAACCGGGCGTTTCAACGAGGATCCCGACACTGAAACTTCCCATACGGGGATCGATGAAGCCAGTAGGAGACCTAGCCGTTTTCCAAACTCTTAGCGGGGTTCGTCCCGCGGTAGTTTGGTCGAGTGCCTCAGTGCTGAAGATGCATTGCGGAGCTCTACCAGACTCTCGCATCGTACGACTAGGCTGGATGGTCCCTGGGTGCTGGAGATAGACGGTACCTTGGGAGGATGGGAGGCAGGTGATTAGTATACGTAGAAGCTAAACAGACCTTCATAGTGTTCAAATTAGCCCAGACGGTACCATCAAAGTAAGCCGTCATTCAATATGCAGTACTGCTCGTGGGCCTGACAGTATCTTCCCCAGGACATTGAGAGCAGTATGGCCAATCTTGGAGTCAGACAGGCACGACGGGATATTCTGAGTAGCGACCCTGTCACGTAGCTAGCAGAGGACTCTCGTCAGCGAGAAGCGCATTTTGATATCCCTTCTTCAACCTGCAGCTGTTCCACATGGGCTTCACGATTTGAGCCTTACGGCTCAGTCTGGCGTATGAGAATTGCCGGACCGTCTTGATGGAGATTTCTGAGATATATTCATATCGAGTCTTGAGCATAGGCAACTATTTACTGGTAGGCCCCGCGACAAATGTGCAAGACACGCGGTATACTTCAAACAGGCGAGATACTAACTCAGCGATCAATGACGCGTGACGTCATCTTTGCGGGGTGGATCTCGATCTGCTTTTGGTGACTACTCCAACACGAAACCCATGCCTCGAATGCGCCGCACACCTTCAGTGTGCTTCACAACAATTTCTAGCATCGCCCAAGTCGCCTCGAGTCTGGTCCGCTTCACGACAGCCTGTATAATATCATAAAACGGCCTCGAGTGGACAAATCAGCGATGGAGAACCCCGTCGAAGAAATAGAGGGTGTCGTGCTGTCCATAACGTCTGCCACCAACCCGGAGACGCAGAAAGCAGCTATTCTCAGGTGCGCATGCACGCGCACCCGATACCGAGTACGCGCGGTGCCTGGTTCTGACCATGCACAGGTACTTCACGCCGGACGCAACCTTTCGCCATCCCCTCTGCACCATCCCGTCGTCCTTCGCTGCACCACCCGCCGGCGCCGTCGGCTCCCCTACCCTCCCGCACACGCCGTCGCTTCTCCCGCTCTCCTCGCGCGACACGATCCTGCGCATCTACCAATGGTACCGCGTCCTCTCCCCGCGCCTCACCGTGCGCGTCCGCAAGGTTGTGTACGATCCCGCGCGCCACGAGATGTGGCTCGACATCGTCCAGACCTTCCACCTGTTCTTCAGCCCCCTCCGCCCCGCGCAGGCGCGCCTCGCGACACACATCGCCCTGCGCGAGTCGCCGCACCCGTCGGGCGACCCCGGCAGGCACATGTACCACATCGCCGGGCAGGAGGACTGGTACCACCCGGAGGACCTGATGGCGCTTCTCGTCCCGCCACTGGTGCCTATCGTGCACTTCCTCCTGATACTCGGAACGTGGGCGAGCGTCTTGGGCGCGTGGTTCGGGAGTGTGCTCGGTAGGTGTACATCGTAACTTTATCGGTCGAGCAGTGGGAATGACGTCACGCCGACCTCACGCAGGACTCTGGGCGGCGCACGCGGGAGAAGGTGGGCAGGGCGTAGAGCTGCAACCAGCGGGTGAGCCGCTGCCTACTCCGGCGAAGGACGAGGGCAAGGTTCTAGGCGGATAATTCACAAGCTATTAAGCTTGCGGAGGTAATAGGCAGCTGCTAAATGCGGTTGAGCGAGGAAGCGGAGAACCCTTGTACCGGAGTGTTGACTTGTGTGACGCGACCCTGTAATAGTACACAGCCTGCAGCATGTCTTCTGCACTGCGAGGGAACGGATCTTGTTGGATGCCTTGCATCGGCCGACGATTCGGACTCTGACAGCAGTAAGCTTCGGGGACCAATTTAGTAATTGAGACTGTACCATGTACTTAATCCTACGCACTACAGCAAAGTCTGATATGCAATGATTCTGTCGTGGCTTTAATACACGCTTTATCTTGGTACTCTTCGGAAGCTGCCTATGGTGACTACTGTTCTTTGAAGCCTAGATACCGGTGGACCGTTCGCAGTGTGCGTTACACCCGAATCTTGACTTGACAAGTATTTCGTCCTGTTGGAACCTGAGATGGTGGCGAGCGCATGCCACCGTATTTGGCATTGTTTGTAGTACCTCGCAGACTTTGCGCGAGCCGTTCTGTACACTGCATGCGGTATTCAATTTTCTAGTACAAGAAATCAAATAAAAATCGAAAAAAAGTTAATTTACCTAATCGGTACTCTGGCGCCTAATATGGAAGTGAAATCGAAGGAAAATCGATTATGTAATCCATTTTCCATTGTCTCTTTCAATTTTCCTTCAATTTCTCTTCAATTTCCATTCAATTTCTACATCAGTAAGATTCAATAGGTGCTATTTGCTTTTAATTCAATTATGATTTGATATTTTGTGCAGGAAAACTGATTCCTGCATGCAGTGGTATGTTGACTTTTGGGTATGTCGGGCAAGCGTCGCTGCCGGCCCGGGTCACGTGGTCATGCGCCGGTGTGGGAATAGGACTTATGTAGGCGTCGCGCGCCGTAGGTAGCCCCATCGGTTTGTAACCTTATCCACCATTGATCCCTGTCCATCGAGGACGTTGGCTGCCGGCGGTCTTTACGGCGTCGTTCTCACATGGTACATTCCTTATGCGTTTGATAAATGAAACATTTGTCTTTCCGTTCTATTCCTTGTATTACTAGCGCCCATACTGGCGCCTGTCTTAGCGCTCACCCGCAGGTTGAACATTATGTAGCTTACATATTGGGGTCCGTGCGCACTTCGTACCCGGTATTGTGCCACTACGTTTCTTTCTTTACTAAACACGACCACACAGACACGATGGTCTGTGTGTAGCCGGTACTTGTATAAATAGTTGTACCATTAGTCGGTCGAACCCTAAGTTTGACCTGGTTATTCATTCAAGTCTCTGCTCCTCTTCGCTTGGGGTAGTGGTCATTCTCGACTTCCTTGCTCGATCTTCAGGACGACGCACTGTCCATAAGCCCTTGCTCGTTGCCTACGAGTCAGGCATCGATATAGGAGTATAGACCATTGTAACAAAAGGTCGAACTTTCTAAGCTACGTTCCTAGTTTTACCTAGTCGAACATCTCATCCACCATCACGTCGAACAACGCAGTCAACCCGGTTCCTTTGGGACTACCAGCCCTCGCAGGATCACCACTCCTCCAATACGACCGAGCAGATCGCTGCTTCGTCACCTCCACAAAAAGGGCTCCCATCTACCCTCGAGGCGGCACCTCGGTGTCGTGCAACTGGT